GACAAGAGTAAAACTCTGTCTCAGGAAAAAAAAGATGTGTTTGTTACTAGGATGGAATACTATTAGCCATTTACAAAAAAAGAATGAAATCATGTCATAACATTATGTTTGAAATAAAATAGATCAGGCACAGGAAGACAAACATCTCAGGTCCTCCTCATATGCAAGTGCTAAAAAGAAAACCGAGCTCATGGAAGTAGAGAGTAGAATCATGGGTATTAGAGGCTGGGAAAAGCAGGAGGGAGGAGAGGCGGGGAAAGGAGGAGGTGTTGGGTTGATGGCTACCAAATTAGAGCTAGCTAGGAGGAATGCGTTCTGGTGTTCTATAGCACCACAGGGTGAATAAAGTTAACTATAATTTATTGTGTACTTTCAAAAGCTAAAAGAGAAGATTTTGAATGTTCACAAGACAAATGATAATGCTTGAGATTATGGATATGCTAATTAGTTTACACATTGTATACATCTATTGAATATCACTCTGTAGCCATAAATATGTATAATTTTGTGTCAACTAAAAATAAAAGGAAAAATATTCATCCATCCCATGATAAAATAGAACGTGGGCCCACCTCATGACTCTTTTTCATGAATAGAATGTGGTACAGGTACAGCATGCGACTTCGGCATAGGGTATAAGAGGTTTCCCTATCTCAGACTCATTGCCCTTGGAACCCAGCCCTGATCTTGTGAGGAACTCAGGACTTGGACAGATTAGTAGTACACAAAGCAAAGATTCCAGTCCCCCAGGCTTTGAGCTGTGTCCAGGGACCTGACGGGACAAGATTCCCTGGCCGAAGATTTTCCCAAAACACAGGTTTCCTGAACAGAATAAACGTTGTTGTTTTAAGCCAGTAAATTTTGGTACTTTGTTAGGAAGCAATAAGCAGAAAAATGTATTTTACAAAAAGAGACAATAAGACACAATAACTAATATCAGAGGAATTCGTCTCATTCAAAGTAGAACCTAATAATGTAGAGATTTTTATTCACAGCTAACAATGACAAGCAGATAACCAGGAAAAAGTGTAAGAGTATTCAGAAGTTTTTTCTAAAGTTCCCTCCAATTAGAAATTCTTATAACTAAACAAGTGTACCTCCAGAATTTTCCCTAAAGTTAAGGAATAAGAAGACTAAAGGCAAGGAGACAAGTATAAAAGTTGAAAAACAACTAGAAATATTTGTTTTAATACCAAAATCAGAGTCTTGTCTGATTTCAATTACTGAAATTCTAAAAAAAAAAAAAAAAGATAAGCAGCTTTGAGTACTTTTTAAAATACAAGAAAATTTTATTTGTATATAAAGACTCTAAGAATGATGACATAAGGTTAACAGAGTTGATGTCAAGAAACAATTAGGTTTGAAGTTACAGATAATAAACACTGTTGTTTCATTGAACCTTCCCTTGATTACATTAGACTGCATCCCTGGTATGCTCACAATGGAATCTTAAGCATGATGCATCCAGGCGATACAGCTGTAATTCCTTTCTGTTACTCCTCGTTCTCTCTCTTTTTTTTTCTTTTTCTTCTTTTTCTCTGGACTAGGAATTGTTTTGCTGGTACATGTTCTTCCTCAGAAAGCGATTCTTCCTTAATGTTTTTCTTTTTACCCTTTTTCTTCTTCTTCTTCACAGATGTTTCTTCTACCACTTTTTCTTCTTCCACCTCTTCTTCAACTTTAATCTTGGCTTCCTTTGCTTTCTTTTCAGTAATATCATCCTCTCTATCTACCTGTTCTATTTTGCATTTTTTAGGATGGGTTGGAAGTGTGGAGTCACCAGAAGGATCATAAGTCTTCACTTTTGTGTTCACATTTCTGTTTTTGCTAACGCCTTTCCTGTTCCACTTATTTTTCTTATTCCTCTATCTTCCAAAGTTCTCAACCTGGCCTCTAATTTGGCTCCGTTCTCAACTCCCATCACAGAACTTGAATCCACCAAAGCATCATAACATATAGCCAAAACATTTTGGCTGCCAGCCTTCAAGAAGTCTTTCCTTTGTGCTTGGGACTTGTCTGGCCTACAAGTGAAGCATGATAAATGAGACCATACTTAGGGATATCCTATCTAGATTTGAGGGCTCTGAAATGTGCCTTTCCTGCTCCATGAATCTGAACTATAGAAGTTGCATGCCTAGCCAAATTCAAAAGAGAACCATTAATGCTATGAACTTAACCACAAGACATAATTTTTAAAGTGCAACCAATACATACTGCCATCAGTTACTGCTACAAGTTAGCTATCTATGAAAATAGGTGAAGAAAATGAAATCATCTGATCTTATGACTTCAGGCACCTGAATGAAGTCTTCGATTAATGATGCAGGTAAATTAGTTATACCAGACCAGGTGCCGTGGCTCATGCCTATAATCCCGCACTTTGCAAGCCTGAGGTGGGCGGATCACCTGAGTCAGGAGTTTGAGACCAGCCTGGCCAACATGGCAAAACCTCATCTCAACTAAAAATACAAAAATTAGCCAGGCATGGTGGCAGGTGCCTGTAACCCCGGCAACTTGGGAGGCTGAGGCAGGAGAATCACTTGAACCCAGGAGGCAGAGATTGCAGTGAGCTGAGATCGTGCCACAGCACTCCAGCCAGTGCAAAAGAGTAAAAATCCATTAAAAAAAAGTTATGCCATTTTAAAACATGCTGATAGCATTTTTATTATAGCCCATCATCCTTAATATTGCCATACATGTATACAGCATTTATTATAATCAGTTGCTGAAAATATTTTTGAAAGTCAATATATTACAACTGCATACTCAGTAGTGAAACTAAGATAATCAATCAAGGGTATATATCCTCTACAGTGATTTCTTAAAACTGCATTCAAATCTATGTCTAATGGAGGTTATTATTATAGAATGTTACTGTTTTATCCTCTTATATTCATCTGATTATTCTAATTAACCCTAACAAACTCTTAACAATCTAGTGCTCAATCTTCATTTTCCTTCCTCAGTGAGGAAGTACAGAGAACATTACAAAAATCACTTCTAATCTGCCTTAGTATAAAATTAATGTAGTGCCCTTTGAATGTTAAGAAGTTAAATACAATTTCTCCTTTACCTTACTTTAAGCAAATCCGTATAAAGACTGTCTCATCTTTATGTTGGACCACAATGCTTCTCCATATCTTACCAACTGGCTCTGAAATTTTGAAATTCTAGTGACTAATGTGGCTATGATTTCTCTCTCATTAATTACCTAAACACGGCCAGGTGCAGTGGCTCACACCTGTAATCCCAGCACTTTGGGAGGCTGAGGTGGCTGATCACGAGGTCAGGAGTTTGAGACCATCCTCGCTAACATGGTGAAACCCTGTCTCTAGTAAAAATACAAAAAATTAGCCAGGTGTGGTGGCAGGTGCCTGTAATCCCAGCTACTTGGGAGGCTGAGGCAGGAGAATTGCTTGAACCTGGGAGGCAGAGGTTGCAGTGAGCCGAGATCGTGCCACTGCACTCCAGCCTGGCGACAGAGGGAGACTCTTTCTCAAAAAAAAAAAAATATCTAAACACTACATGATTTTTAAGTGCTGCACTTATGAAAATTTTTCTTTGAATGGGTTGAACTATTGATTCCATGAACCATGTACAGTATAACTGTGCATTTCTGTTTAAGTAAACAAAGGGAAATACTAGAAACTGTGGTTTCCAAGAATGTAGGATCTGTGCCAAGAAAAGATCAGACTCAATGCTATACCTTGAAAACCCCAGGTACCAGATCATAAGAGGATTTAACTATAAACTGAAAGATGATCGATTAGCTCAATTTCCAGTAGGGAAAGCTGACAACCCCAACTTTATCTCTCTTTCCTAGACAGTAAACATTTAAGATGATGAATTCACAGAATTCATAGATGATTCTGTGAATTATAATGAGTTAATAAAACATAATGTAGTAAAAGACTATGTCAGCAGATTCTGTGATCAGGATTTGATGGAAACGGGACTGGAGAGAGAGGTACTGGGTGAGACTAAAGGTTTGAAAGAAAAAAAGGAATGAACTCGAGCTTTGTAAGCCTCACTTTCCATCATGTAATAGGGTCTGCAAGGCATGAGCCACAGACTCCTTCAGGAAGCAAAAAGTTGTAGGGGTTCAGTCAAGATGGTGAGAGAAATTGTAAAATTATAGGAAATAGTCACAAACCTTCTTGAAAGGCCAGGGGGGTTGCACAGCCTCAGTTAAAGGTTTGGCTGAAGGAAGCCTAATCCTCTTTACCTTGAATTAACAGCAGAAAAACAATTAACAAGGGAATGTGGGAGAGTTTATCTAAATAACATGTTTACTCATTTGGTCCTAAAACTAAACTTCGATCATTTGCAGGCAGGGTGGCTCTCTCTGGGGGAGGGTGACCAAGTTAATTACCCTCTAGTGGTGTTGACTCAAAGCCTTTGTCATTTAATATGTGCTGAATAAATGGCCGGTGAGGCCAGCTAGTCAGGGCCACCATGGCTGCTACAACTCTTTCAGTGAGAGGCCTGGCTCCCTAGTCTGCTCTTTCACTGAATATCTGTATCTGGGTACATTATTCATCCATTGTGCAGCTGGGGTCTGCGAAATGGACCCCAGCAAAAAGTGAAGTTAAGACACTGCAGTATACTGACTATTATTACATAAATAATATACAAAATAAGCAACATGACTGAAAAAGAGTTCTCATTAAACTTGGTTTGGTAGTGGCATAAGAATAGACATAGATCAACATATTAGAATTGAGAATCCAAGCCGGGAGCAGTGGCTCAGGCTTGTAATCCCAGCACTTTCGGAGGCCAAGGCAGGCGGATCACAAGGTCAGGTGTTCGAGACCAGCCTGTCCAATATGGTGAAACCCTGTCTCTGCTTAAAAAAATATAAAAATTAGCCAAGTGTGGTGGCGCGTGCCTGTAGTCCCAGCTACTCAGGAGGCTGAGGGAGAATTGCTTGAGCCTGGGAAGTGGAGGTTGCAGTGAACCAAGATGGTGCCAGTACACTCCAGCCTGGGTGACAAAGTGAAAAAAAATTAAAATTAGAATTGAGAATCCAAAAATACACCCACACATTCAGGGGTGACTAATTTTCAAAAGGGTAACAAAACAATTAAATGGGAAAAGAACTGTCTTTCCCACAAATGGTGCTGGGACAACTGAATACCCGTAAGTAAAGAATAAAGTTGGACTCCCACCAAATACCATACATAAAAACTATAAATTTCGCTCAAATATTTAGCTCAAAATAAAACAGCTAGAGGTAAGAGCTAAAACTATAAAACTCACAGCAGAAAACACAGGTATAAATCTTGTGACTACACTTAGCGGTGGTTTCTTAGATCACAAGAAAAAACAAATTAACTGGAATTCATCAAAACATTATAACTGCTGTGGCTTGAAAAGACACTATGTAGAAGGTGAAAAGGCAAGCCACTGAGAGGGAGAATATATTTGAAAAGCATACATTTGACATAAGATTTACAACTAGGAAACAAAAAAGCCTTACAATTCAAAAATAAAAAGATACCAAGCTAAAAAATGGGCAAAGGATTTGAATAGACATTTCTACAAAGACTATACACACACGGCTAATAAGCACATAAAAGATAATCTGCATTAGAGAAATGCAAATCAAACCACTTCACACCACTAGGATGGTATCTTTTTGCAATCAAAAAGAGAGAAAATAATTGTTAACAAGGATGTGGAAAAATCAGAACCCTCATATGCTGATGGAAATGTAACATGATGCAGCCACTTTGGAAACAGACTGGCAGCTCCTTAAAAGGTTACACATAGACAGCACTATTCACAATAGCAAAGATAGGAAATCAACCTAAATGTCTATCAATGAATGACTGGATAAAGATAATGTGGTATATACCTACAATGGAAAACTACTGCCCATAAAAAAGAATAAAATCATGTCTTTTGTAGCAACATGGAGGGAACTGGAGGCCATTATCTTAAGTAAAACAACTCAAAAACACAAAGCCAAATACCACATGTTTTCACTTATAAGTGGGTGCTAAATAATGTGCACACATGAACTTAGAGTTGGAATAAAGTCATTGGAGACTTGGAAGGGTGGGAGGGTGGGAGGAGGATGAGAAATTACTTAATGGGTACAATGTATACTGACTGGGGAATGGTGACACTAAAAGCCCAGACTTCATTCACCGCTGCCCAAAAAAATTTATACAAGTTTTTTTAAATGTTAAGCATAGAATTACCATATTACCACTTCCAATTCCAATTACCAATTCCACTAGAAAGTATAAACCCGAGAAATGAAAACATATGCAAAAACCTGTACATAACAGTTCACAGCAGTGTTATCAGTAACAGCCAAAAAGTGGCAACAACCCAAAAGTGCATTAACTGATCAATAAAATGATTTATCCATACAATGGAATATTACTCAGCAATAAGAAGAAATGAAGCACTGATACATGCTACAACACAGATGGACGTTGTTATGCTAAATGACAGAAGTCAGTTTCAAAACACCACACATTGTGATTGTCCAGAGTAGGCAAATCTATAGAAATAAAGAGGTTGAACCAGGAAGGGGAAACAGGTAGGGAATAACTAAGGAATGTAGGGTTTCTTTTTAGCATGATGACAATGTCCTAAAATTGACTGTGGTGATCACTGTATAACTCTGAATATACTAAAAGCCACTGGATTGTATACTTTAAATGAGTGAATTGCATCATATGTTAATTATATCTCAGTAAAGCTGTTACCAAAAAAATTGATCTGATACTAGTGACTTGGGGTCATGTAATGGTGTATTGCTTGTTTTTAGATAATTGCCCAGGGTTCAAGACATAAGAGAATCAGCAGCATGCCTGTTTTATACAAAAATGATATAGTACAAAGCTATCTTTTTTATGGCTGCATGGTATTCTATGGTGCGTATGTACCACATTTTCATTACCCAGTCTACTACTAATGATAGATGTTTAGGTCAATTCCATGTATTTGCTATTGTGAATAGTGCTGCAATGAACATATGTGTGTTTGTATCCTTATGACAGAATGATTTCTGTCCTTTGGGTATATAACCAGAAATGGAATTACTAGGTTGAATGGTAGCTCTGTTTTTAGGTCTTAGGAATTGCCACAATATTTTCCACAATGGTTGAACTAATTTATACGCCAATCAACAGTGTATTAGCATTCCTTTTACTCTGCAACCTCACCAGCATCTGTTATTTTTTTACTTTTTAATAATAGCCATTCTGGCTGGTGTGAGATGACATCTCATTGTAGTTTTGATTTGCATTTCTCTAATAATCAATAATGATGACCTTTTTTTCATGTTTCTTTGGCTGCATGTATGTCTTCTTTTGAGAAATGTCTATTCATGTATTTTGCCCACTTTTTAGTGGCGTTGTTTTTTGCTTGTAAATTTGTTTAAGTTCCTTACAGATGCCAGATATTAGACCTTTGTCAGATACATAGTTTGCGAAACATTTTCTCCCATTCTGTAGGTTGTCTGTTTACTCTATCAATACTTCCTTTTGCGCTGTAGAAGCTCTTTCATTTAACTAGATTCCACTTGTCAATTTTTGCTTTTGTTACAATTGCTTTTGGTGTCTTGGCCATGAAACTTTTGCCTATTCCTATGTCCAGAGCCAGGAGCCATTATCCTTAGTAACCTAACACAGGAACAGAAAACCAAATACTTCAAGTTCTCACTACTAAGTGGGAGCTAAATGATGAGAACACATGGACACATGGAGGGGAACAACACTCACTGGGGCCTACTAGAGGATGGAGGGTGAGAGAAGGGAGAAGAATCAGGAAAAATAACTAATAGGCACTATGCTTAATACCCGGGTGACAAAATAATCTGTACGACAAACTCCCATGTCACAAGTTTAACTATAGAACAAACCTGCCCATCCACCCCTGAACTTAAAAGTTTAATTTTAAAAAAAGCTCTTTTTATTAGTATCAAGTCCCTAAAAAAGTTTTAAAAAAAAATCTTTATTTCGCTGTTCAAAGCACTGAGAGGTGTATATTTCCCAAAATTAAGTCATTTTTTGGGGTCCCAAAACTTATTAAAAATTACCTTATGTTTTAGCTTATTAATCTGAATATCCATTTCAAATGGACTAGTTTTTAAATCTCCATGGAAACTAAACTCTCCATTTTCACATTCATTTAACGTCTTTCTTGTCATTTTTAAGAGGTTCTTAAATCTGCAGGGAGGTACAAAATGACTAGGTCAGGTTTTTAAAAGGCAAACATTTAATAATTATTTAAACAGATACTATGTTTCAGCACATGAGAGAAACAAATGTTAATCATGATCCTCCCATTTATTTCAATCTGACATAGATTGAAAACACTCTAATGAAATTACAATCTGAGGTAAATAACGTGAAGAAAAACTGTATGACATATACGGCAGATAAAGAGTTAATACTGTAATCACATGGAGTTTTCATAAATTATTACGATCCATTTTAGTATGGTAATATGAAACACTAACCTATTATTAAATACTAGCTAAAACTCAGAGATCAGTGTCCAAGTTGAAGAGGAAAAGCATGCCTAAACCAGGCTCAGTGGTTCATGCCTGTAATCCCAGTACTTTGGGAGGCTGAGCCAGGTGGATCACTTGAGCTCAGGAGTTCAAGACGAGCCTGGCCAACATGGTGAAACCCTGTCTCTACTGAAAATATGAAAACCAGCCAGGCATGGTGGTACATGTCTGTAATTCCAGCTACCCGGGAGGCTGAGGCAGGAGAATTGCTTGACCCCAGGAGGTGGAGGACTATGCTACTGCACTGCAGCCTGAGCAACAGAGACTCCCTCTCAAAAGAGAAAGGAAAGAGGAGAAAGGAAAGAGGAGAAAGGAAAGGAGGGGAGGGGAGGGGAGGCAGAAAAGCATATACACACTTATACACGAATGGTTGATATCCACTGAGCACTGTCTGTAAGAAGAAAAGTACAAAAATAAAGTACACACAAAAAATATCAAGATCATTCAAAGTAGAAAAGAGACAGGAAAGAAAACATCTTTGATGTCTGAGGTAAAGGGGAACAGGAAACAGGGAGAGTTTTAGAAGGAAGGAAATGAGCAGACAGAGCACGTATAAAGACTCAAAGGCTGCTTTCAGAAGAGCTCTAGAAATCTTTGCTAGCAGAATGTTAACAAAGTAAAAGGGATGCAAACCATGTTAGAGAAAGACAGTAAGAGAAAAATAGTGATTACAATCAGAACAAACATAGGTACTCAGCAAATAAATAGAAAAGCAGCCATGTTGAGGGCTTCCAAGGCAATGGGTAACGTTCCATTTTTAAATCTGGATAGTAGAAACATGATCGCTCATTTTACTCTTAAATCATACATATATTTGTATATGTATGAGGCATATATGTTTTAAAACAAACAGAAGTTTAATAACACATATATCTCAGGTATACAAGGGAGATATCCATGGGAAATGAGTAAATTTCCATGATATATTTTATAACTATAGAAAAAGAGAAAGAAAGAAAGCAGAAGCTAAATCAAGATAATTTTTGATGCTTCCAAAGAATGACACAGATCGGTTTTTAGATATTAAAAAATTTGAATATCTTCTTTGAAAGGAAGGACACTACCAAAGACAGAAAGATTACCATAGAGAGTGAAAGTATCTTCAGAAATAAAAATTCAAAGTAAAAGATGAAGAGTAAAGTTGACATTATATGCCAAAGGCATTGTCACTGTTTTCAAAATCATAAAAGAATAAGTGTAATATTTAGGCATTCAAAAAGTTTCAGATTGTGCTACAACTTGTTTCATTAAGAAAAAACTGATGTTGGCTGGGCGCAGTGGCTCATGCCTGTAATTCCAGCACTCTGGGAGGCTGAGAGGGCAGATCACAAGGTCAGGAGTTCGAGACCAGCCTGACCAACATGATGAAACCCCATCTCTACTAAAAATATAAAAATTAGCTGGGCGTGGTGGCAAGTACCTGTAATCCTAGCTACTCAAGAGGCGGAGGCCGGAGAATTGCTTGAACCCGGGAGGCAGAGGTTGCAGCGAGCCAAGATTGTGCCACTGCACTTCAGCCTGGGCAACAGAGCAAGACTCCATTTCAATAAATAAATAAATAAATAACAAGAAGAAGAAAAAGAAAAAGAAGATATTAAATAAATTTTTATCTAGGTTTGAAATAAGTAAAATTATAGTTAAATCAATTAACAAATGGTTAAAATCGATCTGAAATATTAAAATCTTACCTAGTTATCTCTCCTTCTAATTCAACATTTTTTTTCTTTTCTTGATCCAAATTACATTCCAGAGACTGTTTTAATTCTGTAAGTTTCTTTAATTGTTCCTTTTCATCCTCAGACTTTGAAACAAAAAATTTTCAATTATTTTAAAACTCTGGAAACACTCTTCTTAAAACTATTATTCTCATAAGTTCATAAGTAACATATGTTTAGGCAAGTTTAAAAAACGGAGTTTACAAATCTGATGCCAACTAGAACAGATTTCAAAAATGACTTTTCTTAAAACACTTTACATTTCTTTTCTGGAATTTAAATTACCAAAATTTATTTGTTAAAAATATAAGTGTTTACACATAAATAATAAAATTAATGAAAATTCTTTTTTAACAAAGTTATTTTAGATGTACATTCTTATTTCTAAAGTTACTCTAGAAACACTGTCATCAATAGTTCAAGCTATTCCAGGTTTTGTTAAATCAAATCATAGTAAGACAATTTTTAGAAAACCTTAATCTGGTTCCTGTTACATTTTTGATACTCGCCCGACTTTATGATGAGCTATTTCTTATTCTCTATAAACATTCTTCCATGAATTTCAATTTTTCCTTTTTTATTAACCATTTCTCTTTAAATATTTCTCCACAATAAACAAAAACATAACTTTTTCCTGATTCTTGTGGCTTTTTTAATCATCGTGTTTTTCCACTGGACTCTCTTGTTTGTTTGTGTTTGTTTGTGACAGGGTCCAACTCTGTGGATCAAGCTGGAGTACAATGTTGCAAACTCCAGGGGAGTGATCCTCCCACCTCAGCCTCCTGAGTAGCTAGGATAACAGCATGCACCATCACACCAGCTAATTTATTTTTTACACACACACACACACACACACACACACACACATTTTTTTTTTTTTGATGGTTCACCTCCAATATTTTAATTTTGGTGGTGCAGAAATGATACATCATCAGTAGAAACTGTACTTGGGAGTACTCATACAATCATTGTTTATCACTTTCAGCACACTTCAATAAATTACCAAGCTTTCTAACACTTTATTATAAAATAGGCTGTGTGTTAGATGGTACCTTACAGGTGTGTTATGAAGATTAAATGAGTTCATACATATATTTTAAATAAACAGTGTCTGGTACCTGGAAGGAGGATAGGAAAAAGGAGCTATTCCTATTGTTAATGATGGTGATTTATTCAGCACCTACTGCCTAATAAATACAAATGCTCCTCAACTTCCTATGGGGTTTCTTCCTGATAAATCCATCATAAACTGAAAATGCCATATATAAAAAATGCATTTAATCCACCTAACCTACTGAACCGGATAGCTTAGCCTAGCCTGCCTTAAACATGCTCAGAACACTTACAATGGCCTATAGTTGGTCAAGCTCATCTATTTTATATTTTTTTAGAGACAGAGTCTTGCTATGTATGTTGCCCAGGCTGGTCTTGAACTCCTGGTCTGAAGCGATGCTCCTGCTTCAGCCTCCTAAAGCACTGGGATTACAGGTGTCAGCCACTGTGCTAGCCAGACTCTAATATTTTTTAATACATGGTCTCATCTAGAGATCTATTTTTTTCATCACTTGTCTTCTTTTATATTAAAATCTAATTTTCAATCTTAAAATTCTCATTTTAAAATTCCAAAAGCCCTATTTTTTAGTCCTTAATCTGCTTTACTTCTCAGCAGCAGCTACTAAGTTACCATCCCTCCCCTCGGCTCTTCTGACCCCACTTCATTTTTAAATGCAGCAACTCCTCATGCTGAGTCCTGTCCTCTCTGTAAATTCTCTAAGAGCTCCTTAAATCTCAAGGCTTCATCCCAGATTCCCTAATCTAGATTTCTAGCCCGGACCTCTTTCCTGAGGTCTCTTCCTTCTGGTTCACTTCTCATAAACGATATTCTCAGCCATACATCCATAAACTATTACTTGGTGCAGATTTATTTTGTAGACAGCTAGTCTTGTACATTTTATGTTGACTCTTATTGGTGTTAGAGTATAGTGTTAATTTCTCATCTTGGGTGGGCACACTCACCCTTGGGATGTTGACCAACGTACTTTGTCTTCTTTTTCATGCACAAAAGTACTTTTAAAACATTACATAAAATTAACTTCAAGCTACTAATATAAGGTACGTATGAAGCATAAAAAAATTTCAGACTTGGGTCCTATCTCCCAGATATCTCATTATGTAGGTACAAATATTCCAAAATCCAAAAAAATCCAAATCTGAAACACTTGTGGTCTCAAGCATTTTAAATAAGTAATACTCAACTTATTCTACCACTAGAACAATAAAATTCCTTTTCAGGATGAAAGAAATTAAGAGGTTGACTTACCAAATCTGCATTTAACAAGTTTTTCTGAAGCTCTTCAATTCTGTCCATTTGCTTTTTGATTTTAACTTTTAACTTGGCATTATCTTTTTCAAGCCTGCAATGTATATTTTAAAATAATTATTCTCACAGATAAATTTTTTAAATGCTGTGTAATTTCTTAAAAAACACTTGAAAGTATAATTACATAAATTCTTAAAGATTTGAAAAGTAGGTCATTTGGCAACTCATCATTTTTCTAGTTGTGGTTTGCGGATAATGCACAACATTCTAGGATAATATAAAAAATTATGCATTTCAAAATAGCTTAATGCAGAAATTATTCCTTAACTTCACACAGATGTACTTATAATCATAGCTGATACAATTCTCATACTACACTGCTTATTTGCTCTATAAATAATCACATTATTCTGTGTACTGCTTTAAATTGTTACTTTTGCTTGTGATCTTGCATCTTCTCAACACATCTGACAGCTTCTGCATGTTGATCCTGTGCTTCCTGCAACTAAAACAAAGAAAAAAAAAGTTTACTAATAATCTAGTGCAAATCTGCTTATCACATGTTTTTGTAACTAAACCTTATTGGAACGCAGTCACACCCCTTCAATGTGCATATTGTTTATGGCTATTTCTGTGCTGTGACTATAGAGCTGATTTCTTGCAGCAGGTATCTTACGGCTCCCAAAGCCTAAAATAATACCATCTGGCCCTTTATAGAAAAGTTTAACAACCTGCATTCTAGAACTAAAACACATTATTCTTGTTTTCAAACTATATTTTATCAGATAAATACTACTCAAACTTACAAAATTGGTAAAAGGGGGCCGGGCACAGTGGCTCATGCCTGTAATCCCAGCACTTTGAGAGGCCAAGGCGGGTGGATCACGAGGTCAAGAGATCGAGACCATCCTAGTCAACATGGTGAAACCCCGTCTCTACTAAAAATACAAAAAATTAGCTGGGCAAGGTGGCGCGTGCCTGTAATCCCAGCTACTCAGGAGGCTGAGGCAGGAGAATTGCCTGAACCCAGGAGGCGGAGGTTGTGGTGAGCCGAGATCGCACCATTGCACTCCAGCCTGGGTAACAAGAGCGAAACTCCGTCTCAAAAAAAAAAAAAATTGGTAAAAGGGAGAAAGACAGGAAATTACCTTATGGTAAACATTTATATTTTTGAATTCCAAGTACCACCACATCAACTATAATTGTAAATATTTATAGATGTGAATGACCATGGCTATGCCAGTGATAATAAAAATTAACATGATGACATGTTAGGTGACAACTAGATCTTTCATGAAATTGAGAGGCAGTATCCACACAGAAGCTGGAATGGATGGGTGGGAATCTCAGCTCCACTAGTTACCAGTTGGGTGACCTTCAGCAAATTAACATTCAATGTCTCAGTTTCTTCATTGGTAAAATAGAGACAGTAATAGTACCTTCTTCACTGGAATGGTAAGAAGACTCAGTCGAGGAATACACATATAAAGTACTTAGATGAATACATAACACATAGTGAGCTATATTTCTACTTTGAGACATTGATATAATAAAGTTTTTATTCTATTTTGTTATTTTTTTTACAAGCCCAGAGCTAACCTAGATGGTTATTCTAAATATATTTTAAGATTGATGCCACATAAAGTGGTATCAATCTATGAATCCCAGAACTGGCTACACATTAAATGTAAATTTAGATTTTTTTTATATAGTGAGAAAAACATGAGCATCTGATTGAATAACTCCTTTATTAGATTAAGTTGTTTCTATTTACTTAAAATATATTTAGAATTACCATCTAGGTTAGCTGTGGGCTTGTAAAAAGAATGAAATAATAAATAACAAAAATAGAATAAAAGCTTTATTATATCAATGCCTCAAAGCAGAAATTCTTAGTATAATATAAAGTAATTTTATCCTAACAACTGCTAAAATATTTTCAACTTATACAAAGATAAGTGACACGCATATCAGACATTATTCCCCTTGTAGGCAAATATATAATTAGACATGATTCTTTCTCATGAAAAAAATAAAAGCGAAGTTAAATTAAGGACAAATTGTTCTATACAGACTAGACAAAAAATGCTAAAGTGTAAGGTCAATGAGAGCCAGAACAGTCAGAGAAAGCTTCCCAAAGAAGGGGGAATTGTGCACCAGTGCGCCAGGTCTGAACAAATGAGGCTAGATGAACAGAAACTGCAAAGGCAGGAAGAACAGCAGGAGTAAAGCAGAGGGACAGTGAAATCAGCCCAATTAACCCTGAGGATAAAATCCAGTGGCAGGAGAATAAAAACATATGTCTTATAAATAGATGTTCATACTAGCATTAATTACAGTAGCCAAAAAGTAGAAACAATCTAAAGGCCCATCCACTGATGAATGGATAACTGGTATAGCCATACAATAGAATATTATTCAACAATAAAAAGAAAGCGCTGATATGTGCTACAACACAGGTGAAACCCAAAAACATGCTAAGTAAAAGAAGTCACACATAAAAGACTGCGTATTGTATGACTATTTATATGAAATGTTCAGAACAGGCAAAATTTTTTTTTCAGACAGAGTCTTGCTCGTTACCCAGGCTGGAGTGCAGCAGCATGATCTCAGCTCACTACAACTTCTGCTTCCCAGGTTCAAGCAATTCTGCCTCAGCTTCCTAAGTAGTTGGAATCACAGGTGCGCACCACCACGCCCAGCTAATTTTTGTATTTTTAGTAAAGATGGTTTTCACCATGTTGATCAGGCTGGTTTCAAACTCCTGACCTCAGGATCTGCCTGCCTCAACCTCCCAAAGTGCTGGGATTACAGGCATGAGCCACTGCATCCAGCCTAGAACAGGCAATTTTAAGGAGACAAAATGTAGACGATGGTTGTCTAGGACTGGGCAAGGTGAAGGGACATAGATGGGGTTGGTGGTAATGGCTAAGGGATGTGGGGTTTCTTTTCAGGGTGATAACAATGTTCTAAAATTGACTGTGGTGATGGTTACAAAACTCTCTAAATAATCTCAGAGACACTGAATTGTACACCTTGAATGAACTGTATGGTATGTAAATTATGTCAATAATGTTGTTGTTTTTAAAAATCCAATGGTGGGATCTAGATACTTTTCTTAATTCTCTAGTTTAGAAGTACATACAATACATGATCTAAATATTTCTATGTTTTTGTAATACATTTTAAATGAAAGGAAAATAAAGGAAATGCCAATTTCAAATAGTTTGTAAGTCAACCTAAAACATCTGCATTTTGGAGAAAAGTTAATGATCTTTCTGTACAAATTAACTTGAAAACCATAAAATAAATTGACACAGATTCTGTATCCATTCACAAAAGTGAAAATAAGAAATAAGACAATTATCTGGAACATTCCATTAAACATTATCCTCTAACTTAATCTGGCTTGCTTCACCATGACAATAGCAAAATCACTATGACATACTGTTTAACAGTAAAAAAAACTCCCTCAACTTCCATGAGGAATGATGTGTAATTCTCAAGTTTCCTAAGGCTAAATATTATTTTTTTTAATGTGCAATTATAAGAAAACATGGCAGAATGAAAGTCATAGTTTAATAAACAAGATGGGTGTGGTGGCTCACATCTGTAATTCCAACACTTTGGGAGGCCCAAGCGGGTGGAACACCTGTGGTCAGGAATTCGAGATCAGCCTAGCCAACATGGTGAAACCCCAGCTCTATTAAAAATACAAAAATTAGCTGGGCATACTGGCACATGCCTGTAATGCCCAGCTACTAGGGAGGCTGAGGCAGAAGAATTGCTGGAATCTGGGAGGCAGAGGTTGCAGTGAGCTGAGATCATGCCACTGCACTCCAGCCTCAGCAACAGAGTGAGACTCTGTCTCAAAAAAAAAAAAAAAGAAAAAGAAGCAAGTGTATTATAACGATAATAAAATTTAAATTAATTATAATGAAAATTCAAAAGAAGGCTATCCACTGAAATGAGCATGATAAAACACTTTATATTTAGCCATTTATATAAATATTAACTGTTGACATGTTAAATTTCATACATACTTGATTTCTGATTTTACCTAATTTCTTCTTTAAATCCTGTGTCTCATCTTCTAAATTAATACGATAACGTGATGTAACCTCCAGAGAAGCCTCTGACATAGACTGTTTTTTTAGGGTATCAGCCAGTTCTTGTTGAAGCTGTCTCACAACAATCTGATAAGACATTTTTGTTACTGATTTTGTAAACCACCTTATTATTAAGTTATATTAAAAATAAAGGGGGGAGGACTCAAGATGGGGCTGTGAGAACAACCCAGGATTGGAGCTCTCGTTGAATCCGCAAACGGTCAGTCGGAGCTGCATTTCCAGACTGATCTTTGTTGCCCACAGAACGGGGAAACTCCCAAGTATAAAAAAGACACGGGACACCAGGCAGATAAACGTAATTCACCACATAAACAGAACCAAAATCAAAAACCACATGATTATCTCAATTGACGCAGAGAAGGCATTTGACAAAATTCAACAGCCCTTTATGCTAAAAACCCTCAATAAACTCGGTATCGATAGAACGTATCTCAAAGTAATAAAAGCTATTTATGACAAACCAACAGCCAATATCATACTGAATGGGCAAAAACTGGAAGCATTCCCTTTGAAATCTGGCACTAGACAAGGATGCCCTCTTTCACCACTCCTATTCAATATAGTTCTGGAAGTTCTAGCCAGAGCAATCAGGCAAGAAAAAGAAATAAAGGGTATTCAAATAGGAAAGGTGGAAGCCAAATTGTCTCTATTTGCAGACGACATGATAGTATACCTAGAAGACCCCATCACCTCAGCCCAAAAACTCCTGAAACTGATAAGCAACTTCAGCAAAGTCTCAGGATATAAAATCAATGTGCAAAAATCACAAGCATTCGTCTACACCAATAACAGACTTAAAGAAAGCCAAATCAAGAACGAACTGCCATTCACAATTGCTACAAAAAGAATAAAATACCTTGGAATACAACTCACAAGGAACGTAAGGGACCTCTTCAAGGAGAACTACAAACCACTGCTCAACAAAATCAGAGAGGACACAAACAGATGGAGAAACATTCCATGTTCATGGTTAGGAAGAATTAATATCGTGAAAATGGCTATACTGCCCAAAGTAATTTACAGAATCAACGCTATCCCCATCAAGCTACCATTGACTTTCTTCTGGAAAAAACCACCATGAACTTCATATGGAACCAAAAGAGAGCCCGCATAGCCAAGTCAATTCTAAGCAAAAAGAACACAGCGGGGGGCATCACACTACCGGATTTCAAACTATACTACAAGGCTACAGTAATCAAAACAGCATGGTACTGGTACCAAAACAGAGATATAGACCAATGGAACAAAACAGAGGCACCGGAGGCAACACAACATATCTACAACTATACAATCTTTGATAAACCTGACAAAAACAAGCAAGGGGGAAAGGATTCCCTGTTTAACAAATGGTGTTGGGAAAACTGGCTAGCCATGCGCAGAAAGCAGAAACTGGACCCCTTCCTGACACCTTACACTAAAATTAACTCCAGATGGATTAAAGACTTAAACATAAGACCTGGCACCATAAAAACCCTAGAAGGAAATCTAGGCAAAACCATCCAGGACATAGGAGTAGGCAAGGACTTCATGAACAAAACACCAAAAGCATTGTCAACAAAAGCCAAAATAGACAAATGGGACCTAATGAAACTCCACAGCTTCTGCACGGCAAAAGAAACAGTCACTAGAGTGGATCGGCAACCAACAGAATGGGAAAAAATCTTTGCAGTTTACCCATCTGACAAAGGGCTGATATCCAGAATTTACAAAGAACTCAAACGGATTTACAGGAAAAAAACAAACAAGCCCATTCAAAAGTGGGCAAAGGATATGAACAGACACTTTACGAAAGAAGACATATATGAGGCCAACAATCATATGAAAAAATGCTCATCGTCACTGGTCATCAGAGAGATGCAAATCAAAACCACATTGAGATACCATCTCACGCCAGTTAGAATGGCGATCATTAAAAAATCTGGAGACAACAGATGCTGGAGAGGATGTGGAGAAAAAGGAACACTTTTACACTGTTGGTGGGAGTGTAAATTAGTTCAACCATTGTGGAAGACGGTGTGGCGATTCCTCAAGGCCTTAGAAATAGAAATTCCATTTGACCCAGCAATCCCATTACTGGGTATATATCCAAAGACTATAAATCGTTCTACTATAAGGACACATGTACACGAATGTTCATTGCAGCACTGTTTACAATAGCAAAGACCTGGAATCAACCCAAATGCCCATTGATAATAGACTGGATTGGAAAAATGTGGCACATATACACCATGGAATATTATGCAGCAATCAGAAATGATGAATTTGTGTCGTTTGTAGGGACAGGGATGAATCTGGAGAACATCATCCTCAGCAAACTGACACAAGAACAGAAAATGAAACACCGCATATTCTCACTCATAGGTGGGAGATGAAAAATGAGAACACATGGACACAGAGAGGGGAGTACTAAACACTGGGGTCTATTGGGGGTAAAAGGGGAGGGCTAGTGGGAGGGGGAGGTGGGGAGGGATAGCCTGGGGAGAAATGCCAAATGTGGGTGAAGGGGAGAAGGAAAGAAAAGCACACTGCCATGTGTGTTCCTACGCAACTGTCTTACATGCTCTGCTCATGTACCCCAAAACCTAAAATCCAATAAAAAATTTAAAAAAAAATAGATAAATAAATGTTAATAATATTTAACTATGATATATATAACTTAAAAAATACTGCCATATACACTGATTCACCTTCTTGTTCTCATATTTACACATTCCTGTTTATTACTGAATTCAGTTAAGGACACAGAAAGTGTTATCTTCCTGCCAAATAGGTCTGATGTTACTTAAACAACAGATTCAGCTCACTATTCATTCATCCCCTGATGAATTCACAATGCTTAACAACCTCCTCAAGTCTCGAAATAATTAAATGAATGAAACTGGTAGCGATTAACTGCACCCTATGCAACATTTTCTCTCTTTTTTATTAGAAACTCAAATCAACTTCAGAGCTCCTCACATATTCAATTGCTTGCCCAAATTCTTCCAACAGATTCCTATCTCAGAATACAGGTAAATTCCAATGGCCTTAGAGGCCCTAGGTAACCTGACCTCCACCTGCCTCCCTGACCTCAGCTGCTATGACTCTCCCCTTACTCACTCCACTGGTGATACCCTACACACTGAAAATGGTGATCCAATACAAAACTAGTAAATCACAAATCACTATACTTACCTTTGTACTGAACAAAGTTACACCCAAATGATAGTTATTGAGCCTTGAAATGAAAATTATGAGCAAGTTATTTGCTCGTAATATATTCAAAGTAAATCATAAATACCAGTGGGGAGATTAAATCAAATGTGGTTGCTAAAATTCACCACATTTTCCCTAAATTATGGTTTAATAAAAAGTACATGCTTTAAAGAATTGACAGATCATAACAATATGTAATTTGAGGCTGAAATATTTTTAGACTTGTCAAATTAACAAGAATAAAAATAAAATCACATCAACTGAAATATATAAAAAGCTACTGACAGAAAAGTATTAAGAGATACACCAATATACTTCAGTTTATCTAGGAAATCTATTAACTGTCAAAATAACACACTTAATTGAATCTTAATTTCAAAATACTCATTTCAGGTACGAGCATTTCCATTTATCCGCTTCATGGTGGCAGAAAAATGGAAATGTTCTTAAGACGTAGCAACATAAAGACATTAAAGTTACTACTTCAGCAGTAAAAGAATACATTATTCACATTAGTTTACTATTCATACTAGTCTCTACTAACAATTCATAACTTAAAATTCAAAGTTTCATAGATGATATAGTAAAGCATCTCTCAGCTCTTTTATTTGCTGAAAACAAGAGATGTTTCTAAACGGATAAACTTATCATCTATTTATTTTTATATTTAACTACATCCAACCTTTAGCCAGAAACAATTTTTTTTTAAACGGAGTCTCACTCTATTGCCCAAGCTGGAGTGCAGTGGCATGATCTCAGCTTACTGCGACCTCTGCAGCCTAGGATCAAGTAATTCTCCTGCCTCAGCCTCCCGAGTAGTTGGGATTATAGGTGCCTGCCACCATGCCCGGCTAATTTTTGTATTTTTAATAGATATGGGGTTTCACCATCTTGGCCAGGCTGGTCTTGAACTCCTGACCTCTTGATCCACCCACCTCAACCTCCCAAAGTGCTGGGATTACAGGCGTAAGCCACTGTGCCCGGCCCAAAATATTATTTTAAATTTTCTTTCAGGAGGTTTGAAAAATATTTATCTGTCTTGATACTTACTTCTCTTTCTGCCTTTTCATTTTCATATTGACACTGTCTTTCTTTTAGGTGATTACATTCACTGATTAACTCCTTATTTCTTTCTTCTAGCAGAAGACTTTGCTTTTCACTCTCAGCTTGCAGCTTTTGTACAATAGCATGAAACTGCTCTTGGATATTAATCACTGTCTTCTCTTTATTGTCAGCCTTGTTGTGGGCATCGTCCAGTTGTTGTCAAAGCAACGTATTCTCACTTTGTAGTTGAGACAATCTCTCCTCTACAGACTCCTGCTTTCCAATGTATTTATTCACTTTAACTTGTTCATTTTGATACTTTTGTTCCATTTCCTTCAGTTGACACTGTGTTTGGCTTAGGTCTGTTTGTACCCGTTCTAAACCCAAAGTCTTTTCTCTGAGGGCATTTCTCACGTGATGGAGCTCAATTTCTAGGCTATTGAGTTTACTTTCAGTTTTAGAAAGTTGTTGAGAAAGAATCTCATTGTTATCTTTTAGGTTAGACACATCAAAATGCATTCTGTCTTGTAAACGAGACCACTCATCTCTTGCTCTCTGGAAAGCAAGTTCTAGGTCTCTTTTTGATGTCTCACTTTGATCACGATCATGTATAGCAGCAGCCAGTCGAGCACGGTATGATTCAACTTCTGTTTCCAGTCTGTCCTTGCTTTGCTTTTCATTCTCCAGTTTAGACTTTAGCATCGCATTCTCTGCTGTCAGAACATTAAGTCGTCCATTATACTGGGATATTGTTTGTGTTAATGTTTCCTCATTCTGTTTTATAGTCTTCTGAAGGTCTTCATTCTTTTCTTTCGCAATTTCAATGTCCTCAAAACATTTCTTTTCTTTTTCCTGGTTTTGACTTTTTATTGTGTCTATTTCTAGTCTTAGTATAGCAATTTCTTCCTGCAACACACTATTTTTATGCAATAGGCCTTTTTCTTCTTCATGACTATGAGAATTCTAGTAAAACAAAGGAAACTTTTAGCTAGCACCCAAGAAAATGACATATCACGATTTCCTTGACATTAAAGAATCACCTGTACATTTTACAATAAGGGGGTTACAATAAGTATATATCCAATTGAAAAAAAAGTTGGATCAAAACTCAAACCTTACAGAGCATAAACTCCCAAAAGTTCAAAAATTTGTTTGAAGATAATTAATTCATGAAAGTAAAAGAGAAACCATTAGAGAATTTTTAAGAATCTCAGAATTGGAAAGGCCTTTCCCTGAATTACAACAAATTCAAAAGCATAAAAGATTAATAATTTGACTACATTTAAAAATTGGGTTTATACTCTGCTATCTAACCCATACACCATCCCATAGTAAGAGCCCTGGCTCTGCATATATTTAGACAGATCAAATTTCCAAAAGTCCTTTAAGTTCCTTTTTTCTGAGAATATTCTAGAGATATTCTACTTTTCTAACATCTTTATAGTCAGTTATAACAATTACATTTATTGATGAATAATAAATCTAGGCACTGTACTAAGCACTTCTACATATGATGAACTCATTTAGTATCACAATTCTGAAAAGGAAAGGTTAAGAAAATATAAGCAAACTGTACGACTTTCCCCAGGTCTTCTGACTCTATTTGCAGTGGTGTTCTGCTAAATCACAATTACTTCTGTGATATAAATATTTAAATACAAAAGAAGCCTTTTATTTCAGAACACTAATGGTAAATAAGACAAAATTTGTAGAGCTCCTCTTAGAAATATGAGACTATTTGTTGTTGCAATAACTTTCGTTTCCCCTTCCTATTGTTTGAAACCGTAATAGTGTGAAACAGGTAGAAATAGCTCAACTGTTTTACTAGGAACAAAATACGTATCACTAAATTATCACTAAGTATATATGATGGCATATCACTGTTTCAAAAGCTCTTTTTACTGAAATAAGATACTACTTGCAGCAAACTATTACTCTTCTCAAAAGTGAGAAGAATAACAGCCACAATATGGTCCCTGAACTAGCTGTACTTTTCCTCTCTTCCTATGGGTAGAAGTAATAAACTAACCTCTCCATTAGTATAACAAGGTGATGAAATCGCTTCCAAAAACTTGAGAATCTATTGTCAGTAGCAAAGGTTTTGAGATTGTGGAAAGACCATCAATTCCTATGGAAGATACTATTAAAAGCTTCTCCTTTGGATGAGGCCATTCTGAATGTCATTACTTGACTGCTGCAGACAGCTGGTTTTTAAAATATATACACATACAAATACATATACACACATATTTGAAAATGACTACAAGAAATACCTCAGAATTCATTTTCTTTTGAGTCATTTCAATCTCCTTTTGTTTGGAAAGGTGATTGGTCAGAATTCCATCTTGTAACACTCTGGCATTCTGTTCTCGAGAAAGTTGCCTCTGAGTGTCATTTCGCTCTTGTACAACCTAGAGATACGTTAAGTTTTGGGCCTATTAGCATTTTTTTAAAGTCTAAAAGGTTAATCAAGAGCAGAATTTTAAAAAAAACTTATAAAAAAGAAAGAGCATATTAAAACACAAGAACCTTTATTACTCAAGAATTACTCAAATTTTAATCGCATAAATGACAGCTAAATTCATCAAAGAGCAAAAACAGTTCTTAAATGCAGACAAATATAGAAGTGTGAAATAAAATGTCTTCACAAAACATTTTACTAGTTTCATCATTTTAGAGGTATTTAGCCTTTATTTTAACATAAAATGCCTAAATTAACATTTATTTTAGTGATTAAACTCAAAGTACCCTCCATTCCTTCATTCAGAAAAAAGACTGAGCGTCTATTATGTGCCAAGATTTATCATGAATAATTTTAGTTATAAATGTAATAGTTCAGTTTAAGATGAGATAATATTTTTGTTTTAAACCTACATAATATATTTTAAATCAAAAGGATGTTATGAGTAAATACTGATGAAATAAAGTTAAGAATATAAAATTTTTACCAAAAATTAATTTACCTGATTCAAATTACTTTTTACAGTTCTTAATTCCATCTCCAGTGTTTGGAGAGTCAGTTCAAGTTGCTGTTTCACTTCAACTTCTTTCCTATATTGCTCTTCTTTCCCTCTTAACTGTTCCCTAATTTTTTCATACAACATATCAGCATTTCTTCTCTTCTCTTCTTCTTGGTTTAGGCTAAATCTGCAGTTAAATATGCTTATCTTAAAATTTGTTTTGTTAGAAAATAAAAAGTTCATGTGTGATCTGCCACTTCATATGTTGGTTTATTATCCTAATAAAATTTGTGTGTTATTGAATACTTTTCCTTTCTGGTTCTCAGGTTTTTAATTTCTCACTTCAGTCTTTTCCAAAGAACATATATACTTGAAAGGAAGTGATGAAGAGACATTCTGCTAACTGGTAAGTTTCTGTTACAAGTACCTCTGGTAAATATTATGGAAAAGGATACTGGAAATTATTCAGTAAAGATACAAGATCAAAATTATCTTTTTGGTCAGGTGCCAGTGGTTCATGTCTATAATCCCAGCACTTTGGGAGGCAGAGGTGGGCCGACCACTTGAGGTCAGGAGTTCCAGACCAGCCTGGCCAATATGGTGAAACCACATCTCTGCTAAAAATACAAAACATTAGCTGATGTGGTGGCAGGTGCCCTAATCCCAGCTACTCAGGAGGCTGAGGCAGGAGAATCACTTGAGCCCAGGAGGCAGAGGTTTTAGTGAGCCAAGATCGCACCACTGCACTCCAGCCTGGGCGACAGAGTGAGAGTCTGTCTCAAAAAAAAAAAAGCAAATTATCCTTTCTTAAAACAGTCATAATTACTCCTCAATTAGGAAAGATAATTTACAGTTAACTAAAAAGAAGTTATTGGTTATTAAAGTATTTATACATTCAATAAAAATAAATTTTTGTTTTTATGAAATATTACAAGTGTCCCTAAAAATTATTATACTTAAGAAAACACCCTCAGATGTCTTTCTTACAACATATATCTACAGATTAGTATAATTAAAGATTGGGCTATGGAGCCTAATATTGGTTACCCCATATTTTCTATGTTTCTTTTTCTGGTAACACTTTCAACTTATCTTCTTGATTATTACATATTGCATAAACAATTTTTAAATTTTGTTTAGAACAAAACAGAATCTAATATTTAAGTAAACCATAAAGAATAATATGTGGTTTCAACACAGAACTTTGAATTAGCTTTATCTATGTATGAGAGAGAGATCACTTTTGTAGTCACTTACCATTCTATTTTTTAATTCATGCATCTTTTTTTTTTTTTAATTTTTTATTGGATTATAGGTTTTGGGGTACATGATCAGAGTATGCAAGACAGTTGCACATGGCAGTGTGCTTTCTTTTCTTCTCCCCTTCACCCACATTTGGCTTTTCTCCCCAGGCTATCCCTCCCCACCTCCCCCTCCCACTGGCCCTCCCCTTTTCCCCCCAATAGACCCCAGTGTTTAGTACTCCCCTTTATGTGTCCATGTGTTCTCATTTTTCATCACCCACCTATGAGTGAGAATATGCGGTGTTTCATTTTCTGTTCTTGTGTCAGTTTGCTGAGGATGATGTTCTCCAGATTCATCCATGTCCCTACAAACGACACAACTCATCATTTCTGATTGCTGCATAATATTCCATGGTGTATATGTGCCACATTTTTCCAATCCAGTCTATTATCAATGGGCATTTGGGTTGATTCCAGGTCTTTGCTATTGTAAACAGTGCTGCAATGAACATTCGTGTACATGTGTCCTTATAGTAGAACGATTTATAGTCTTTTGGATATACACCCAGTAATGGGATTGCTGGGTCAAATGGAATTTCTATTTCTAAGGCCTTGAGGAATCGCCACACCGTCTTCCACAATGGTTGAACTAATTTACACTCCCACCAACAGTGTAAAAGTGTTCCTTTTTCTCCACATCCTCTCCAGCATCTGTTGTCTCCAGAGTTTTTAATGATCGCCATTCTAACTGGCGTGAGATGGTATCTCAATGTGGTTTTGATTTGCATCTCTCTGATGATCAGTGACGATGAGCATTTTTTCATATGATTGTTGGCCTCATATATGTCTTCTTTCGTAAAGTATCTGTTCATATCCTTTTCCCACTTTTGAATGGGCTTGTTTGTTTTTTTCCTGTAAATCTGTTTGAGTTCTTTGTAAATTCTGGATATCAGCCCTTTGTCAGATGGGTAAACTGCAAAAATTTTATCCCATTCTGTTGGTTGCCGATCCACTCTAGTGACTGTTTCTTTTGCCGTGCAGAAGCTGTGGAGTTTCATTAGGTCCCATTTGTCTATTTTGGCTTTTGTTGACAATGCTTTCGGTGTTTTGTTCATGAAGTCCTTGCCTACTCCTATGTCCTGCATAGTTTTGCCTAGATTTTCTTCTAGGGTTTTTATGGTGCCAGGTCTTATGTTTAAGTCTTTAATCCATCTGGAGTTAATTTTAGTGTAAGGTGTCAGGAAGGGGTCCAGTTTCTGCTTTCTGCGCATGGCTAGCCAGTTTTCCCAACACCATTTGTTAAACAGGGAATCCTTGCCCCATTGCTTGTTTTTGTCAGGTTTATCAAAGATTGTATAGTTGTAGATATGTTGTGTTGCCTCCGGTGCCTCTGTTTTGTTCCGTTGGTCTATATCTCTGTTTTGGTACCAGTACCATGCTGTTTTGATTACTGTAGCCTTGTAGTATAGTTTGAAATCCGGTAGTGTGATGCCCCCCGCTGTGTTCTTTTTGCTTAGAATTGACTTGGCTATGCGGGCTCTCTTTTGGTTCCATATGAAGTTCATGGTGGTTTTTTCCAGTTCTGTGAAGAAAGTCAATGGTAGCTTGATGGGGATAGCGTTGATTCTGTAAATTACTTTGGGCAGTATAGCCATTTTCACGATATTAATTCTTCCTAACCATGAACATGGAATGTTTCTCCATCTGTTTGTATCCTCTCTGATTTCGTTGAGCAGTGGTTTGTAGTTTTCCTTGAAGAGGTCTCTTACGTTCCTTGTGAGTTGTATTCCTAGGTATTTTATTCTTTCTGTAGCAATTGCGAATGGCAGTTCGCTCTTGATTTGGCTTTCTTTAAGTCTGTTATTGGTGTAGACGAATGTATAAAAATTTTCTTAGTATTGTGGGTTGAAAAAAATGGCCATTTCATTCTCTATTGATTGAAATGTAAATTAACACAAACTTTCTTGAGAACAATTTAAACATTTGGATCAAAGGCCTTTTTAAAAAAAATTTCTATACTTTAAACAAATAATTCTATATTGAAGAATTTATTCAAAGTAAATAACTAGAAATATAGAAAAATATTTATAAAAAAGTATTCCTTCCACCATTAACTATAATACAAAAAACTTTCAACCCAAAGCTCATTCTATTAAATAAATGAGATTTCCATATGGTAGACTACATACATACATTAAAATGATTTAAAAGAATATATATTTAGTAGAAGTACATAGTTAAGAACTAGTTATATTATTTTCAAAAATTTCACACTTCACAAGACTAAGAAGTCTTCTTCCCTGCTAAGCCCCAGAAGGTAAGTGAGCAATTACAAGAAAACTCCTATATATCTTTAGTACAAAGTAAATACACATTTCTTCAAAACTAGGCTATTGTACCTTAAAGAGCACAGTTCTCGTTCCCATTCAACTTTTTGATGCTCTAACTGTGATTTTATTTCTTTTGTTTCAGACAGCTCCTTCTGTAGTACATTAACCTTATCTTCCATTTCTTAAATTTTTACTGTAAGTAGTTCACAGTGATTTTTTTTAAGTTCTAATAATCTTTCACAAGAAAGAGCTGCATCCTGGATTTTCAATAGGGTAACAGAATCTGTAACAGAGAGAAAACAAGACAGAAATAAATATACGAGTACCTTTCGCATATAACGAACTTTACACTAGAACATTCACTAACCAAATATATACTGAGGGCCTACAATGTGGAAGACATTAAACCAAGCCCTGCAGATAAAACGGACAAGACCTCTGCTCTTGTTTAGCTTCAAGTACAGTGAAGAAACAAAGACAAAAAAAAAGTGACAATTATAAATTCAGATAGATGCTGTACAAAAACAGAGTTCTAATGACCACAAAAGAGAATTTGACCTATACTGGGCCCAGGAAAGATTTCCCTGAGGGAGAGGTGACTACACTGAGAAATGAAGCATGAGAAGGCAGCAGTTAAGCAAAGGGGGAAGAAAAGCATTCCAGCCAGTCTGTGGCATGTGCTGAGGCTCTACTGCAGTCTGCTTCAAGAACTGACTTTCCTTCTTTTCTGAAATGACCAAAAACAAAATAGACAAAATACATGAAACACCGAGTTTGAAGACAGTGGACTCAGTCAATGAACACAATGATCCCTGACAGACAAGAAACAAAGGAAGTGGCCAGGCACAGTGGCTCACGCCTGTAAGTAATCCCAGCACTTTGGGAAGCCAAGGCAGGTGGATCACCTGAGGTCAGGAGTTTGAGACCAGCCTGGCCAACGTAGTGAGACCCTTTCTCTACTAAAAACACAAAAATTAGACAGGTGTGGTGGCAGGCACCTGTAATGCCAGCTACTCAGGAGGGTGAGGCAGGAGAATCGCTTGAACTCCGGAGGCAGAGGTTGCAGTGAGCCAAGATTTCACCACTGCACTCCAGCCTGGATGGCAGAGCAAGACTGTCTCAAAAAAAAGAAACAAACAAACAAAGGAAGGAAGTCTTATGAAAGCCCAGAGCCTCGCCTTCAGAGTTTCCAGGCCATGATGCAGGGAGGAAAAACTTACATAGAGTCCAGCAGACTCCCTGAGTTGAAGTGATGAAGCTGACAGTCTAGTAAATGCAAAGTAGACAGAGATCACAGGACACTGGAGAGGAGCGACAGGTACAGAGGAGAACCCTGGAGATTTGCAGAGATCCCCTCTTGGGTACTGAGCAGAGTAATGAACAGTGAATGTGTGCTAGGAAACTACCTGAAACCAAAGAAACCCCACCTAAAAAAAGGAGAGGAAATCCTGCCTGGTGTTCCCACAGCACCAGGAAAAGTGTTCGTTCCCATGGTCAGGCTGGAAAAACTCATAGTTCTCAGGACAGTGAATAATCAGAAAGATATTGCCTCAGGAGTGGGGAATTAGCCCAGATCATAAAAGCAAGACTGGAAAAAGTCAAGCTGTTTACACGTAACTCAACTGTGCCCCAGCTCAAGAAGATAAGTAGAGGCATGGAAGATAGTTTTTAAAAACCAAATTGCACTTGTAGAGATGCAAATTACAATGTCAAAGATGAAAACTAAATTAGATGAAAATAAACACAGATTAACCATCACAAAAGATTCAAAACTTTTAGACATCAGTGAACTATGGAAAAAAATCCAAGCACCTAATATGTAAGACCCCAAAAATGGAGGAAGAAAGACAGAAAAAAAATGTGAAGAAAAATTGGCCAAAACTTTCTAAACTTAATAAAAATTATAATCCCACAGATTCAGAAAGGATATGGCTGGGACAGAAAAAAATGAAAGCATACTATTATAATTATACCATACACCAGAACTATAACAAAATTATACCATATATGATGTTATAATACTACTTCAAGGTGGACTGTGGTAAGTTCAACTCATATACTATAAATCCTAAAGCAACCACTAAGACAGCAAAACTAAGAGTCATAGCTAATAAGCCAAAAAAAAACTTGAGATAACTCAGGAGCATCTGTAATCAATGAAACAGCAGAGAGTCCAGAAGTAGACCCACATGTATGGAGCCAACTTATTTTTGACAAAGGCACATGGCAAATGCAGTGAAAAAAGACGAGCCTTTTTGACATATGATGTTGGAACAACTGGATATTCCAAAAAAATGAACTCGAATCCATGCTTCAATCCACACAAAAATATGAACTCAAAATGGATCACAGATATAAATATTAGACCTAAACCTGGCCGGGCGCAGTGGCTCACACCTGTAATCACAGCACTTTGGGAGGCTGAGGTGGGTGGATCACTGAGGTCAGGAGTTTGAGACCAACCTGGCCAACATAATGATACCCCACCTTTATTAAATAATATTTTTTAAAAAGTAGCTGGGTGTGATGGGGCATGCCTGCAATCCCAGCTACTCCCGAGGCAGAGATCCCCTCTTGGGTACTGAGTTCAAGAATCAGGAGGTAGAGGTTGAGACGTTGTAGCAACAGTGCCCTCCAGCCTGGGTGACAGAGGATGAGATTCTGCCTAAAAAAAAAAAAAAAAAAAAAAAAAAAAGACCTAAAACTATAAAACATCTAGAAAAAAACACAGAAGAAAATCTTTGTGACCCTGTGTTAAGCAAAGACTTCTTAAATATGATACAAAAAGCAAAATCCATAATTGAACAGATAAATTGGACTTCATCAAAATTAAAAACTTCTGCTCTTCAAAAGATACCATTAAGAAAATAAAAAGTAAACAAAAAATAAATAAATAAAAATCTAAATTTAAAAAACAGAATGAAAAGTCAAGTCACAAACTGGGGGAACAAATCCTTGCAAAAAAAATATCTAAAAAGAGAATAAGATCAAGAATATATTATATAAAGAACTCCAGCTTTGCACAGTGGCAGCATCGTAGCCAATGAGGTTTATTGTTTTTTTGAGACAGAGTCTCACTCTATCACCCAGACTGGAGTAAAGTGGCTCCAGCTCAGCTCACTGCAACCTCTGCTCACTGAGACCTCTGCCTCCCGGGTTCAAGCGATTCTCTCGTCTCAGCCACCCATGTAGCTAGGATTACAGGCATCTGCCACCATGCCCAGCTAATTTTTGTAATTTTAGTAGAGACGGGGTTTCGCCATGTTGACCAGGCTGGTCTCAAACTCCTGACCTCAAGTCATCCGCCCACCTCAGCCTCCCAAAATGCTGGGATTACAGACGTGAGCCACCATGCTGGGCCACCAATGAGGTTCATCCAAGACATGATTATTGTTAATTAAAAACTTTTCCATTAGAAAAAATAATTTAAAAAAAATTAAAAGGAACTTTTAAAATGCTACTAGTAAGAAAACAACCTACTTTTTTTAGAGGGGTAGAGGGGACAAAGTCTTACTCTATCACTAGGCTGGAGTGCAGTGGTGTGATCTTGGCTCACTGCAAACTCCACCTCCTGGGGGGGGTTCAAGTGATTCTCCTGCCCCGGCCTCCCTAGTAACTGGAACTATAGGTGTGTACCACCACATCCAGCTAATTTTTGTATTTTTTATTACAGATGGGGTTTCATCACATCAGCCAGGATAGTCTCAATCTCTTGACCTCATGATCCACCTACCTCAGCCTCCCAAAGTGCTGGGATTACACATGTGAACCACCATGCCAGCCCAACAACCTAATTTTTTTTTTTTTGACACAGAGTTTCACTCTTGCTGCCCAGGGTAGAGTACAATGGCACAATCTTGGCTCACTGCAACCTCCACCTCCTGGGTTCAAGTGATTCTCCTGCCTCAGCCTCCCGAGTAGCTGGGATTACAGGCATGCGCCACCACGCCCAGCTAATTTTGTATCTTTAGTAGAGATAGGGTTTCTCCATGTTGGTCAGGCTGGTCTCGAACTCCTGACCTCTGGTGAGCCACCCACCTCGGCCTCTCAAATTGCTGGGATTACAGGCATGAGCCATCTTGCCCAGCCCCAACAACCTCATTTTTTAAACAGAAAAAGATTTGAAAAGACAGTTCACCAAGGAAGATTTACAGATGGCAAATAAGCACATGGAAAGATGCTCAACATTATTAGTCATTAAGGTAACATATATTGAAACCATAGTGATATCCACAATATACACCTATCAGAATAGAACAGCTAAAAATTTAAAAATTTTAAAAACAGCAAACTAGGTGTTTGTGAGAATACAGAGCAAATGGGCCTGTCATATACTGTTGATGGGAATGGAAAATAGAACATACAAATACTTAGAAAACAATTTAGCAGTTTCTTAATAAGTAAACATAAAGGAGCATGAGGGAACTTTTGTGGATGATAGCTATGTTAACTCTCTTGCTTATGGTGATGGTTTCCCATGTGTACACATATGTCAAAACTTAGCAAATTGAACATTTTATATATGTGCAGTTTATCATGCATGTGTCAATTATACATAACTAAAGCTACTGCTTACAAGAACGAACATCTAAGAAAGTGGCCGGAACACAGAGAAAGAAGGATATGAAATAATTCAGGGTAAAGCTAGATGATTCAGATCTTTAACCTTACAGCAATGAGAAGTGATAGCTGGGTTTTAAGCAAGGGGGTAACTATGATCAGATCTGAATTTTTAGAAATTTATAATTACGGTTACAGAGTAGACATAGTTTCAGGAGGTAGAGTAGCAGGGAAAACAGCTATAAGCTTATTGTAGTATTCCAGTGGGGAGACAATGGTAGCCTGACCTTGGGTGAGAAGCAGAGTCAACAAACAGACTGGAAAAGTACAGAGGAATTTTCCTAGGTCTTTGGCTAAGAGTGTACAATATTCAGTTGTTCTCATCCTATTTTAACATAAAGCATATTTGTTAGATCAACATCCCTAAAACACATCGGCACTCTAAGGTAAAGGGTGCCATGCTAAGTGTGCTAAGCATAGCATAATATATGCTAAGTGTGCATACATTACACTTTATTACATACATTATACTAAGCATAACATAATGCATGCAAAGGGTACATACATTACAATGGGATACATAAAAAGGCCGTAAATTTATGCAATGGTCCCACCTTTACACTCCATTCCAAGTTGTTCAATAAGCAACATAAAATTCTTGTAATTAGAGTGGGGCAGTTCACAATCCTCCGAGGCTGTTTCAGATGACTGAGTTAAGTCAACATCATCATCTATAGACTGCATGTGGTTTTTGACCTATGAAATAAATAACACTGTTTCAAAATGTCCCCAAAATATTTATAGCATATACAGAAGGGGTAATTATCCATCTTTCTATATGAGCAAAAACACAGGTATTTCTTAAAAGAACTAATTTTTGTTAAAAGGATAGATATCCTTAAGCCGGGTACAGTGGCTCACGCCTGTAATCCCAACACTTTGGGAGGCCGAGGCAGACGGATCACCTGAGGGCAGAAGTTTGAGACCAGCCTGACCAATATGTGAAACCCTGTCTCTACTAAAAATACAAAAAAATTAGCCAGTGGTGATAGGCACCTGTACTTCAGCCTGAGAATCCATCTCAAAAAAACAAAAAAGGTATTTTTTATCAATGGCTAGTGCTTCTTAATCACTTTTTTTAAGTATGTCTTTACAACAAAAGATTATCTGGTTTTTTATCATTTCTTTTTTCTTTCTTTCTTTTTCTTTTTGTGAGATCAGGTCTTGCTCTATCATCCAGGCTGGAGTACAGTGGCATGATCACAGCTCACTGCAGCTTCAAACACCTGGGCTCAAGCAATCCTCTCACCTCAGCCTCCCAGGTAGCTGGGACTATAGGTGCACTCATCACGCCTGGTAATTTTTTCTTAATTTTTGTAGATACAGGGCTCCCACCATGTCACCTAAGCTGGTCTCAAACTCCTGGGCAGCAATCCTCCTGCTTTAGCTTCCAAACTGCTGGGATTATAGGTGTGAGCACTATGCCCTGCCCACTTTATCTTTTATAACATGTTTTTTTAAACAATGATTTTGATAATTTATTTTTTACAGTACCTTGTTCTTTTCATTAGATGTCTTCTTAGTAGGCCTAAAAAGAAAAAAAAAAATACCTTTCAGGCAAATAGTAAATATGTAAAATACAAGGAATATCTAAAACTATTTTTTTTAATAAAATCTCTGCATTTATAATTTATTTACCCTATTCATAAAGTTAACAAGAATCTTTTTTACGGGTAATTTAAAACATAATAACTTTCTACAAGAGGTATTAAACTATAAACAGAAAGAATAACAGTAAGGGACAAGAAAAATACACTAATAATATCATAACAAATTTAGATCAAGCTTTCTGACAGTCAAAGCAAAAGGAAAACATAGTGTTACTTGCATTATTCAACAGATACATACCAGCATTCTTTGCTACTGTCCTTTTCAACAAAAACAAGTTTTTACTGGCACTAAAACCTATTTGGAATATTATCACTTAACATCCTTACATGAGGAGAACCCTTTTTGAATGATGATATTAGTTAGATTTTTTCAGGACTCACAATGCAGGTACTATGCATTATTCTAAGCACTGTACATATGTTAAACTCATTTTAATTCTCCTAAGAATTCTGTGAGGTTGACAACATATTAAGTATTTTATAAAAGAAGAAACTAGGCACAGAAAAGCCAAGTAACTGGCTCCAACCACTTATAGCTGGTCAGTAGCAGACCCAAAATTCAAACCCAACCATTCTAGCTCCAAAACATATTTTGCTGTGCTGTGAAAGTAATGTTTAGTTTCAAGTATTTTTAAGTGATATGACAGCAGATGAATCTATATTATCATTCTATTTTTGGCAATAATTATAAATAGTAATTTCTGAATCTTACAAATATTTTTTAAAATAAAAAGACCTGCCGGGGGTGGTGGCTCATGCCTGTAATCCCAGCAATTTGGGAGGCTGAGATGGGCAGATCACCTGAGGTCGGGAGTTTGAGACAAGCCTAATCAACATGGAGAAACCCCACCTCTACTAAAAATACAAAATTAGCCAGAAGTGGTGGCACATGCCTGTAATCCCAGCTATTCGGGAGGCTGCAGCAGGAGAATCACTTGAACCCAGGAAGTGGAGCTTGCGGTGAGCAGATATCGTGCCACTGTACTCCAGCCTGGTCAACAAAAGCAAAACTCTGTCTCAAAAATTAATAAATAAATAAATAAAAAGATCTTATATCTAGCCAAGTTGGAAACCTACTTTCAATAAGCTAAACATTTATTTTTTCTAAAGAAATTCTTCAACATTCATTCATTCATCTACTCAACTCGATTCATGCATTCAAAAATTATTATTGAGGCTGGGTGTCGTGGCTCACGCCTGTAATCCTAGCACTTTGGAAGGCTGAGTTGGGCAGATCATTTGAGGTCAGGAGTTCAAGACCAGCCTGGCCAACATGGCAAAACCCTGTCTCTACAAATACAAAAAATAGCCAGGTATGGTGGCATGCACCTGTAGTCCCAGCTACTCGGGAGGCTAAGGCATGAAAGTTGCTTGAACCTGGGAGATGAAGGTTGCTGTGAGCTGAAATCACATCACTGCATTCTAGCCTGGGAAACAGAGCAAGACTAACTAAAAAAAAAAAAAAAATCTTTATTGAGCATACAATACATGTCAATGACATTATTGGCATAAGGCAACATGGTTTTTAATATTTTAGAACTTTAAAATCTAAAGGTAATAGTCTGTGATAGGTTGTCAATAGTTTAATTTTCTACAGTACATAAACAAAATCCTACCCTTCTCCCCAGAATCTAAACAACTATTAAGTTAATAAACCTGATCTTTTAGTCTTAGAAAATCATAGCTGTTCATGATGCTACTGTCAAAAGCACTCTGATATCTTCAATCATCAAGAAATATTTAAATTCAATTCAGTATAGCCTACATGTTTGTATGTTTATAATTAGATAATTTTTTTAAATTCATAGAGTTTTTTTACATCATCGACACATTCAATTATATTAGAATATTCCATTTCTGAAAGAGTTCTAAATGAACCTTGTAGTGAAAAACGACATAAACAGACGTTCTAAGGACAATTAGTTTATTATAAATCTTTAAAAGATAATGGATCAAGCTTTCCAATGCTTAGACATGCAAACAAAACTAAATTTCATAAGCATTTCCTTTGCTACTGGCTTACTCCCAAAAGCATATAAATATACTCTAAAAGTTTCCATTTTAAAATAAAAAAGAAAGAAGACTCCCTTGAATCCCACATTCTTCTTCAGTTACCACCCGTTTACCTATTGCCTTTCCATCCAAGTTCTTTCAAATGCTGTCTATGCTCATCCACGACAGTCAGGGCTCCATGGTGACCATTTATTGAAACTGCTCCTTATCAAAGTCACTCATCCTCTTCTTAATCTTTCAGCAGTCTGGATATAGTAGAGTATTCTCTGGCTTTGAGAGACTACACTATTCTATTTTCAGAAAAAAAATGACTGCTAACCTTCCTCTATAGAAAAATATTTTATTTTGCTTGTGTTTTATTTTTCCTCCATAGAGAAATCAAGAAATTATAGATTTTACCTTCCTTCATCCTCATCTATTTCACTTAAACTGCTGTCATCATCCACTTGTAGCAGGCCACCAGTTAGTAAGCTGGCCTTCTCAAACACCAGTGAATTCACAGATTCTTTTGAGGTAGGTTTTCCTTTTTCAATTCTCTTTACTTCCTTCATTTGCAAGGCAGGACCACTGCTTTAAAAAAAATCCATGGGAAATGACAGTTATATAAGAAAAGAGAAAAAAAGAAACAAAATGCAGAAAGAGTTAAGGGAAAAAAAATAAAAATTAAAAATCCACTAAAAAGCAAATGTTTTCTAATAATTCTGACAAAGAATAAAAAAAAGTTTATAAAATTCCAACATTTGCCCCACCTCAATTCACTCATTAATTCAAAAAACTTATGAATTATCAGCAATATAAGAGGAAATGTATATTCCTCACTTCAAAAACCACAGTTTTATAATACCATTATGATGAAATGCGTTGTGTAAGAGTTGATATATAAAAAGTTATATCTAAGCACAAGGACAGCGTTAAAACAGAAAAGGCAAAATAAACGAAGAGTTCACAAGACAAAAAAGTGGGAGAAAACCATTCTACTTAGAGAATAGAAGGTGAGCATAGATTAGGCATATGGCGTCTAGATGTTTCCCAGGAACTTGAAAAGAAAAGATGAATGCTACACTAAACTTGAATGCTACAGTAAAAGGCTGGAGCTCACTGCCTACAAGCAATGACCTTCAGACATGGAAGTAGCAATTAGATTTAGGCTAATCTTTGGCTTTGTTTTTAAATATCATAATGTATCACTTAAACAAAGTGGTTTTTTTTTTAAATGAAGTTTTTAAAATAGCATGAGGCACATGTAACATGAAAGAAGAAATCAGGAAAATATCCTGAGTAGGGGGGAAAAAACCTTACTTTTAGAATATCCTATATGCCATTACATGCAGTTCCAAAATAGCTATATTCTGATTACTTATGATTTTGTTTGAAAATAAAACAATGCGCTGGCACGGTGGCTCACGCCTGTGATCCAGGCACTTTGGGAGGCCAAGGCGGGTGGATCTCGAGGTCAGGAGCTCAAGACCAGCCTGGCCAAGATGGTGAAATCCCATCACTACTAAAAATACAAAAAAATTAGCCTGGTATAGTAGTGCAGGCCTGTAATCCCAGCCGCTTGGGAGGCTGAGGCAGGAGATTCACTTGAGCCTGGGAGATAAAGGTTGCAGTGAGCTGAGATTGCGCCACTGCATTCTGGTCTGAGCGACAAGAGTGAAACTCCATCTCAAAAAAAAGGAAAAGAATTGGTAACTGTTACAGACTTTTAGCCTAGTATCTAATCCTAATATAAAAAGTTGGATTTACCAGAAGAAAAATTATGATTTTTTTTTTTTTTTTTTGGAGATGAAGTGTCACCCTGTCACCCAGTTTGGAGTGCAGTGGCACAATCTCAGCTCACTGCAACCTCCACCACCAGGGTTCAGGTGATTCTCCTGCCTATGTGTCTGGAACTCTGACCTCAAGTGATCCACCTGCCTCAGCCTCACAAAGTGCTGGGATTACAGGCATAAGCCACTGCACCCAGGCATGACTACTTTTTTATAGGGTAAAAACATGCACAAGGATATCACTATCATACACCTACATAATTTACAGAGACTCAAATTTCCCACTGTGTTATGTTAAGAGTTGAGCATGAGCCCCTAAAGACACTCAATATACTGAAACGTTTACATGGACTACAGATCCCTCTGTGCAATCCCTTGGCAATATTCAGATTAATTTGAGAGTCCAACATTAGGGACACTCTAATAAATATCCTTAAGATACATATGTATATATGTAACATGCTTATATAAATATTCTTTACATATAGTATTTATTTTTAACATGTTATGTACATATTATACATAGGCTTACTGTATATTATCCATAATATATAATAAATGTCCTTAACTTGTGTGTGTGTGTGTTTTTATGTAAGCCATATTTTCCTGCAGAATCTAGTTCCAGAAGTGAAGCTCTTAGGTTAAAGATAGGGAATATTTGAAATTTTGATATATACTAAATTACCCTTCAAAAAGGATTTACCAATTTCATTTACCAACAGTGTATGAGAATGCCTTTTTTCTCACATTTGCCATCACTGGGTATTATTTTTTAAATAAAATATCAATAAAATTCAAAAAACAAGTATCTCATTGTTTGTTAATTTGCATTTTTCTAATTACAAGACATGATTGCATATCCCTTGCACGGTAAAAGTATAAAATTTATTAATCATGAATATTAGTCCAAATTCGAATTCGTTTTATAGCACAGGAACAACTGTCTGCTGTTAAATATGCTATTGGCTTACCTAACATACTCTTTATTTTCCTTCCTAGGAAATTGTTGATGATCAGTTTTTCCACTCCTTCTTTCTTGAATTAATCCAACATCATCATCAACATCTTCATCATCAGTAGCACTATCATATATGTTTGCTGATACTTCCGTTTCATTTTTTCTGTGTTTTTTCCTTTCTTCTTCAACCTTTAATGAAAGTTTGATACTAAAGAACTGCTATTACTTTATTAAATAGAGAATTTGTTTTCATTGAGTTTATCATTTGACTCAGTTTAACTGTGGTGACTTTAGCCAATAAAAACATTTTCTGCTTACTTTAATTGGATCATTGTATCTATGTTATACAATTAAAAGCTATAATTATCATAATTTTATCCATGAAATTTTTATAAATTCTGCTTCAGTTCTGTTTGAGTGAAACAGAATTTTCCAAAATTTCGAGGGCTCTTCTTAATTTTGTGCTTTTATTCCCATCCAATCTTCACTATCTACTACTATGAATTTTCACCCCATTTTACTGGTAGGAACAGAGAAAAAAGACAAAGATACAAGATGCATCTTCTTTTTCCTTTACCACCTTGATTTTATACCACACAGCCAGATTTAGAGGATGTAACACTGCTCCAGGAAAAGAAAGCAATCTTTCTGCTTTCTGCCCTAAGCTGTTGTTTTCCCCAATGTCCTTTATAATTCTTTTTTCATTTGGATCCTGGGATATCAACAAAGTGAAGGTGCTCAGTGAAATACAGAAACTAAAGTTTGCCACAACATAAAAAACAGAGTGAAACTGCTGAGTTGCTGGTGTGGAATTCTGGGAAATGAGATGCTTTCCAAATTTCACATTCAATAATCATACAATTTTATAGCTGGAGAACATACAGTATAAGTATTAATTATCTACATTAGCCCCATTATCTACTGATAATGAGAGTAAAACAAGATAGATTAAATGATCCATCCAGAGCTCCTAAAGTGGCATTATCTAGCATTTTATGGCACCAAAAGAGATGCTATAACTCCATAATGCTGAATCAGATAAATTATCAGATAAATTCATCAAATTTAATCAGATGAATTAAACGTATGACACTGGCAAAGTAATTTAATGCCATAGCAGGGAGGTAATTTAATGCATAGTGTGGGAGGCCTCATCTACTTTTACTTCTAAAGAAGATTATCTGCAGATTATTGTTTATCTTTAAGACTCAATGTACAGAACTCAGCTTTCTACTTTGGAGTTAAATACTAAATCTCTGGCCAAGGATTTATGCTACTTATATGGTACATATCCCCAAACTTACCATACTTTATTAAACAACCTCATGCAAAGGTCTGATTCAATACATATATTTGACCGATGATTTTAAAAATAGGTGAAAGTATATGTATTTGTTGCCAAAAATCTTTAAAGTGATCATAATGGAATTCTAAGTTCCAATAGTTTGAGTCAAAAAGATAAAACTTGCACACATGAAAGCACATTAAATAGGTTCCTTTGGCTGGGAATATTTGTTATAACACTCAAGGCTAGATACATTTTTACATCTCTTCTCAGTCACTGCTTCTTTCCCACTGTATTGCCATGTTGTTTAAATAAAAGATTCATCTTTAGGTCAACAGGGAAAAAAATCCCTGGCACTTATTACCTTTCACAAAGCAATTTCCTTTACACTTATCCTGGTTCACAAGGTAACATGGTATATGGCTAAATTCGTTTTCCCAGTCCATATGCGACTTGGAAGACTGATAGACTTCTTAGGTTGATTAAGGAACAATGATTGTGAGAATGTTTTCCTTAACTCCTGTTACTTAGCAGAAATAATTATTTCTACACACGATTACCTATTTAGGTAACGCCATTTTATACATGAGCTCTTCATAAGCAGAAAATCAGAATGGATCAGATAATTGACAGAGAAAAAACAAAGAGTAGCAGCAAGCAAACCTCTACCTCTTTTTGAAGTTGAACTTTTTCTTTCTCCAAAGCCCGGAACTCTACTTTTAACACGGCTATCTCATTTTTAAACCTTTGAATATCTTGCTGTAATTCTTCTTTTAGAGATACTTTTGATGTTCTGCCACTACGTGGTGGAGAAGACCTCACATTTTCTAATTCAGGTTCCATGCTTTGATAGTTATTAGCACTGCAATTATTATATAGCAGCTTCTGGAACAAGTTCTGTATTGATTTTGTTTCCTTGTAAGCATCTGTACCAGCAGAAATACTATGCCTTTTTATTTGAATCATATGCTTCATTTCTTTGGAGCAGATCAAATCAAAAGGTCTTTTTGGATCACTAGACCAAGGCACATGTCCAATGTCTAATTTCCAATTAGTGGCATTTTGGTTCATATTTTTTGTCATTTGCATATCAAACTCTTCTTTCATTTCACCTGTAACTACTTGTGGGTTCCTTACTTTTTTATTTTCTGTATCATTATAAAAATTCTCATTTGTGTTAAAAACATGCTCAGTGTCTGGTTTGTTATTTCCTCGGACTAATTTATTTTCATTTAAATAAGGATTGGAAGATGACTGGCAAGCGTATTCTGGGGACCCAGAGCATGAAGGAGATGGAAAGACATTTTCAAGACTGGGTTCTTTTGGTTCGGGCAATGCGTGGAATACCACAGAGACAGTAGAATCTTTCTCATCACAATCAAGTATATTATTTGTCAAAGAAGAGGGTAGTTCCTTAAAATCTGCACCTCCTTTAGAGCTATCATGCAGTGGCTCTCTCCCAGGACAAGCAGTAATTTTGTATTTTTCACAAGTTTCACCACAGCTCTGCTTTAACTCATTTGTGATGAGTTTTAAATTATTTTTCCACTCTAATTTGCCTCGTTTGGTCGATATTTCTTCATTTTGCACACAAGGAAGTCCTGAATATAGATATATCCTCTCTATCACACTCCTTATTCAGTTCTGGTTCTTGAGACATTTTTTGCAGACATTGTGAAAGTGGAAGATTAATTTGCTTGTTTTGTTTTTCAGATGTCTTTTCTGTCAGGGTGCATGTTTTTAAAATAACTTTATCCTTAAGTAATCAAGTATAAACAAAGAAAAATTAGGAAATAATTAAAACCAAACTGTTAAACTTCATCTATGTTTAGTTACTCCCAAATCACTGAACTGTAAATAAGAAGTAAAAACTAATTTGCCTTAGCCTAAATTAGGAGAAAAACATGAACCAGCAAAGTTAACTTTATCACTGTTCCTTTGGATTAAACTTAATTAATTATGTGTTAAATCTACTGAAAATAAATTAGCAGATGAGTTGTAGTATTATAAAGGCATCCTGACTTAAAAAGACTTTACCTTATCATACCTCAAATACTGAGCCCCTACAGTATATTTAAGTACTTTTTCTAAAGATTTCTAACTGGAGAGCAGGGAAACTTTAAGTTATTAGGAGCCAAAGTAAACACCAATCAGAACAAAAAGCAAATTCTTACATTTTAATTGAAATTATATACCATAATGTGGTGTTACACATCTGAATTGACTATCAGCTCAAGTCCAGTTCTTATATAAGGTTCATTAATAGTAGATTAAAAAATTCCGTGGTATTTACTGATTTCCTAGACGGAAATAATCGTTATTGTTTATATCCTAACAATGGAAAGATCCCATTCTGAAAGGAACTAATTCAGTTATTAATTAATTCTGATTCTCTTAATAACTGGGTTGATTTTATAACCCCATTCTTTCCCTGAATGTAGGCGCTGAAGTCAACAGAGACCACAAAGCAAAACGCAGAATAAATCTTTTACACCTTGGAATTAGTGACCAGCAATATAAGAATGTAAATCCTGGCTGGGCACGGTGGCTCATGCCTGTAATCCCAGCACTTTGGGAGGCCGAGGTGGGCAGATCACCTGAGGTCAGAAGTTCAAGACCAGCCTGACCAACACGGAGAAACCCCGTCTCTACTAAAAATACAAAATTAGCTGAGCATGGTGGCACATGCCTGTGACCACAGCTACTTGGGAGGCTGAGGCAGGAGAATTGCTTGAACCTGGGAGGTGGAGGTTGTGGTGAGCCGAGATCATGCCATCGCACTCCAGCCTGGGCAACAAGAGGGAAACTCCATCTCAAAAATAAAAAAGAATGTAAATCCTGAACCACTGGGAATGATTCCTCTTTAAAATGAATCCAACTCAGTGGCCATCAGTGTTAAATTGTTCATATTTTCTACTGCTTAATAATATGATTCAATATTTGATGCTACCATCTTTATCACATAAGGAAGTTATACAAATGAAAGAGGAAACAATACTCAGGAAATTTCTGGCTTCAATTTCAAGGGTAAAGAGTAACTATAACAAAAACAAAAACGAAAGTTTAGCTAGAGTTTACTGCACATTCTAAGAATATTTATCTAGTCAAAATGTTTTTAATACTAAATATGAAATAATGATCTACTGACTCTAAAAAGCTAGTCTAAAAGGCAATTTCACTTGGACTATGTTACATCATTAAGGCAAAGAAAACCATATTAAACCGGAAGTTTTCATAAAAATTGAATACCTGTGACTGGTTATTTTCACTTCCTTTCCTTTCTTGCTCTTCTTCTGATGTTACCTCTAAGTCATGTTCAGCTGAAAACATCCAAATGTTTAGTTAAATGAACTACTTAGAGCAGTTAGGTAAAAGGTATAGTCTTTATAGAAACAGAAAATAACATTTATTTGTATTTCATAAATTGAGAGGGTTTTTTTCTATTTGTTTTTGAGACAGGGTCTCACTCTGTCACCCTAGCTGGAGTGCAGTGGCACAATCACAAAAAGATTCAGTAAATGTTCTTTAGTGGAACATTTACTTCCCAGTAAGAAATACTTCTAACTATCAACTTAATGAAGTATCTAATTAAAACTTCAACCATTATCCAAAACTTCAACAAACACTTGAGGAGACAAGCAACACTAGATGATACCAGGTTAATGCCATACAAAGGTTTACTCACAAATTCATTCACCCAACATAAATGAGCTAAACTGTCAAAAACAAAACAAAATCTTAAGACATAGTGGAAATACATAAAGTAACACTGTAGAATGTTCTCTATAACAGTACCTTTTTTTTTTTTTAATGTAAAGACAGAGTCTTGCTCTGTCGCCCAGGCTGGAGTGCAGTGGCGCAATCTGGGCTCACTGCAACCTCCACCTCCTGGGTTCAAGCAATTCGCCTGCCTCAGCCTCCTAAGTAGCTGTGACTACTGGCACACGCCACCGCGTCCAGCTAATTTCTTTTGTATTTTAAGAGAGTCAGGGTTTCACCATGTTGGCCCTGCTGGTCTCAAACGCCTGAGCTCAGGCAATCTACCCGCCTCGACCTTCCAAAGTGCCAGGATTACAGGCATGAGCCACTGCACCTGGCCAACAGTACCTTTTTAACAAGGCACAAAGAGTGTTGTTCATTATTAATGAGTTCCAAAATTACTATTACTTTTTACATCTTTATCATTGTACATCCTGCTCCTTATATCTGAAATTTTGACAAATTTCTTTTCATCTTTTAACACTCAGACTGCTATGTGAAGTTTTCTTCGATTATAGCTATCTTTCCCCAGATAAACCAGTGTCTCCTTCCTTGGGGCTGCCTTCTACCTTATCTGTGTACTGTATCTTTTCCACCTGAACTGTAAATTATTTCTCCATATGTCTATGCCCTTGCTCCCAGACTGTAGGGGACGATCTTTCAAGTTATCTTATAAATAGTCTATCTATTTTAATCAATAATTATTTATTGAGTTCCTGCTAAGTGCTAAGCACTGGGGTTTAAAGAACGTAAGTAAGAACAAGTCACGGCGGCTCACGTCTGTAATCCCAGCACTTTGGGAGGCTGAGATGGGTGGATCACTTGAGTTCCAGACCAGCCTAGCCAACATGGCAAAACCCCTGTCAACTATAAATACAAAAATTAGCCGGGTGTGGTGATGGGTGCCTATGATCCCAGCTACTTGAGGAGGCTGAGTCAGGAGAATCGCTTGAACCCGGGAGGCCGAAGTTGCAGAAAGCTGAGATCATGCCACTGCACTCCAGTGAGACTCCATCACAAAAAAAAAAAAAAAAGAATGTAAATAAAAGTCGTCAAAGATGGCTTTTCTAGAGATCATGCCTGAGTTGAGACTTAAAAAGTGAGGTTAGCCAGACTAAAGGGAGTAGAGGGAAGGAAAGGGTAACAGCATGCAAGGCAGCAATGACAGAGGGAAAGAAGCCTCAAATCCCATATGTATTTGTCTAAAATACAAGCACTGGAGAGGAGAGCATCACCAGCAGCTGAGAAATCCCAGAGAAAAGGGCAGAAAGAGGAAAGGGCTAAAGATGGAGAGTTAGGCAGAAGTCAGATGATAATAGCCTTATATGTAATCTAGATGTTTGAATATTTGTGTTTTCAAGAGGGACTCATGGTCCTATCTGCACTGGAGACAGATCACCCTAAATACTGTGGGGAGGATGAACTTCAGGGGCATATGAATAAATAAAGGGAGACGAATTAGAAGACAATATTGTCAAACAAGGATAATGCAGGCCTAAACTGAGGGAATGTTTCTAAAAATATTTAGGATATACAATACCAGTGCCCGATATAAAATGAAGTTTTATTAAATGAATAAATGTATATATCTGGGTCCCTAGAGAATTAGACTCTATTCATTACTTTATAAAAGGTATTACATGAGAAGTGAAATGATCTACAGGAACTGTTTAAGTTGTTTACTTCATACTTCTTCTGTTTCATGTCTTCCTGTGTTGAGGAATTTCATTTAAAGTATTTTGTTTTAAAAGTCCTGTTTCAGCCAGGTGCAGTAACTCATGTCTGTAATCCTAGCACTTTGGGAGGCCAACGCAGGCAAATCACAAGGTCAGGAGATCGAGACCATTCTGGCCAACATGGTGAAATCCTGTCTCTACTAAAATACAAAAAAGAAGCCGGGTGTGGCAGCATGGGCCTGTAGTCCCAGCTACTCGGGAGGCTGAGGCAAGAGAATTGCTTAAACCCAGGAGGCGGAGGTTGCAGTGAGCCGAGATCACGCCACTGTACTCCAGCCTGGTGACAGAGCAAGACTCCATCTCAAAAAAAAAAAAAAAGTCTTGCTTCTTGGATCTACCAAGCTCACGAAGAAATAAGAGCAAACAAACATATGTTTAGGTAGGAAGGCAGCAAATTGCATTGCCATGTATGCACCTATGCAACAATCCTGCATGTTCTTCACATGTATCCCAAAACCTAAAACGCAATAAAATATATATATTAATAATAATAATTACTGGCCAGGCATGAGCCTGTAATCTTAGACTTTGGGAGGCTGAGGTGGGCAGATTACCTGAGGTCAGGAGTCCAAGACCAGCCTGGCCAACATGGTGAAACCTTGTCTCTAACAAAAATACAAAAATTAGCCAGGCACGGTGGTGCATGCCTGTAATCCCAACTACCTGGGAGCCTGAGGCAGGAGAATTGCTGGAACCTGGGAGGCAGAGGTTGCAGTGAGCTGAGATCACACCACTGCACTTCAGCCTGGGTGACAAAGACTCTGTCTCAAAAAAAAAATTACTTTCATCATTTTTAATAATCAAAGGTAACACACACACACACAGACACACACACACACACACACACACACAATCTGCTAATCAGAACTCCTGATTGGCTTTAGATCATCAATTTAATAACACTAAGATGAAATGATTAATGCTAAAATATCATTATTGACATGTTTGCAAGTAAAGCTTTGCTCTAGGTAAAGATTAGAGTTCCAATAAGCATTTGAAACACTGGGGAAATCTTAGTGTCTCATAATTTACCTCTGTGAATCCCTAACAAGTATAGAGATTCCAAACTGGAAACTTTAGGGTATCAAAACATAAAAGTGGAAACCTCTAAGTTAAAGCCTACATTTAAAAAATTTCTTATTCTTACGCTTGTAAATATCTTTTATTCAAATGTGAATACCAACAATATCATCTACATTGTTTATGTCAAATCATTCCATCAGGCCAGTTGCAGTGGCTCATGTCTGTAATCTCAGCAATTTGGGAGGCCGAGGTGGGCAGAACACCTCAGGTCAGAAGTTCAAGATTAGCCTGGCCAACATTGTGAAACCTCATCTCTACTAAAGATACAAAAATAAGCCGGGTGTGGTGATGTGCGCCTGTAGTCCCAGCTACCCTGGAGGCTGAGGCAGGAGAATCCCTTGAACCTGGGAGGCAGACGCTGCAGTGAGCTGAGATCACATCACTGCATTCCAGCCTGAGCAACAGAGTGAGACTCTGTCTCAATTTAAAAGAAAAAAAAGTCCTTCCATCAAATTTCAGGGTAAAAAGAATTAGGAATAAGAAAACTGTGAGCATTTCAAATATTTCAAATATTTTAATGTACATCCTTCCAGAGTTAAATATGTATTGCAACATTTACCTGCTTTGGATGTTTGTACATTCTTCATTCCTCCTGCTGTATTTGGAACAGAATCTTTCATTTCAATGGCAGGCTGAATGGGTTTTGAAACAAAATGATTAATAAATAATTTAGATTTTATACAATATGCATTTGATAATTCAAGATAAAAATATAAAACTTACTACATTCAAGTGACGATCTCTCTCAGGAGACTCTAAAAAGCAAAAGGGACATATAATCAATTATATGCAAATATGACAAAGCCAAACATAAATTCATGCAGTGTTAGTATTGACATGAATCATCATGCTTGGTTTGAAAATGATTAACTGTTGGGATGTTTTTCATTTTGGTTAGGACAGCAACATGACAGAAGTATACTGAAGAAAAACATAGAACGTAGGTCTAATAAAACATGCAGTTTTGATTGAACATGGGATTCTGTCCCAAGTGACTATAACTAAAATAGAAAAGTGCACATATGCCAACGTGAGCACGCTCATCAATGCGGAGAAAAGCGATCTTTAATCAGAGGAGCAAAGCATGATCCTGAGAGGAAAAATGTCAAGGTCGATGGTAAAATGCTACAGAATATCTTTAACGCAACACATGAGAGTCGTTTATACCATTATACTACAAGTATTTATCATGTTCTTCACTTTGCCCTATAACTTGGGAAGCACACCGTTGTGATGCCACTTTAGTTGGACATATAACTCATTTCTCATCAGAGAAAGCGTTGTGAACTGATCAGCTTGGATATACACTTGTAGAATAATAGTTAACAGAAATACTCATTTTTTTCCATACCCATGTGGGCTACTGGCATGCCTACATTTCTCGTATCCTCTAGTTTAGCCATCTTAAAGTTTCTTGATCCACTCATGCAAGAAGGTATATAAAACATACCTAAGAAATAATGTATAATAAGCTTTCAATATTATAATATTTAGCAAAAGAAAAAATTGAATTGCCACAGAATTATTAGCTATTAATTATTTATATTTCAAAATTAGTGCAGTTTTTTAAATCAATGCAGTGTTTACTGAAAATAACAATTTTAATATTCAAAGAATTATTAACTGTAATTTTTTCATTTCTAAAATATGTTAGCCTCTAAAGGATTTTATGAAACAGCTATCATATCAAAAAGCATCCTTCTTTAAGAAAAAAGTCAATGCTTCTATATTCAAATTAAACTCATTTGATTAATTAATAGCAATGCAACATAGGCCTTTTTTTTTTTAATAGAATCTCACTCTGTCACCCAGACTGTAGTCAGTGGCACAATCATGACTCATCGATTACTGTAGCCTCAACCTCCAGGCTCAAGCAATCCTCCCACCTTAGCCTCCTGAATAGCTGGAACTACAGGCCCATGCACCACCATGCCTAATTTTTGTATTTTTTTGTACAGATGGGTCTTGCCATGTTGTCTAGGCTGGTCTCAAACTCCTGGGCTCTAGCAATCCACCCACCTTGGCCTCCCAAAGTGCTGAATGACAGGCGAACCACCATAACCAGCCCAAAGCGACATATATCTTTGATGTCTGACAGTTAAAGAGAGGAGATATGAATCACTGGAGTTTACCCCACTTCTAGCATTCTTCCCATAGTCTCTGGAGCAGAAATGATCTAATCATTTAAATGTAAATATACTGAAGCCATCTAAAATGAGTTCTTTCGAGTTTCCTCCTCAACTCCAAAATAACCTAGCTAACTTTTTTCTTTCCTCTCTCTTTCCCCACTGACAATGTCTCTTCTTTTGCAAAAGTAATGTCTAGATCTGTGGTCTTGATTCCTCCCATTCTACATTCTTTCCATGGAATATTTTCAGCACTTCTTCTTCATGTAACAATAGTATCTTACAGCTATAATTTCTATTTCTCCATCTCTTTGTTCCTAACCCCCTAGCCAGAAACATGCTCAGAAATAAAAGGAAAATAATGTTTTAACTTGAACTGTTATGCCTTGAATTGTTGTCCAGTGACTCTTCTTTCAGATTTCTCTACAGGGAAGTCTACACCCTTACTACTCAGAGTGTGGTCCAAGGACCAGCAGCATCAGTGTTGCGTGAGAACTTATTAGAAATGTAGAACCCCAGGCCTGCTGAATCAAAATGTGCATTTTTAACAAGATTCCCAACTGATTTATTAAATTTTAAGAAGCTCTGTTCTATACTGAGTGTGCCTCCACATTCTTTTTTTTTTTTTTTTTTGAGACAAAGTCTTGCTCTGTCGCTAGGCTAGAGTGCAGTCAGTGGCACAATCTCGGCTCACTGCAACCTCCGCCTCCAGGGTTCAAGTGATTCCCCTGCCTTGCCCTCCCAAGTAGCTGGGACTACAGGCGTGCAGACCCACACCTGGCTAACTTTTTTTTTTTTTTGAGACGGAGTTTCACTCTTGTTACCCAGGCTGGAGTGCAATGGCGTGATCTCGGCTCACCGCAACCTCCGCCTCCTGGGTTCAGGCAATTCTCCTGCCTCAGCCTCCTGAGTAGCTGGGATTACAGGCACATGCCACCATGCCCAGCTAATTTTTTTGTATTTTTAGTAGAGATGGGGTTTCATCATGTTGACAAGGATGGTCTGGATCTCTTGACCTTGTGATCCACCCACCTCGGCCTCCCAAAGTGCTGGGATTACAGGCTTGAGCCACTGCATCCGGCCCTACCTTTTTGTATTTTAGCAGAGATGCGGTTTCACCGTGTTGGCCAGGATGGTGTCAATCTCTTGACCTCGTGATCTACCCGCTTCGGCCTCCCAAAGTGCTGGGATTACAGCTGTCAGCCACCGTGCCTGGCCCCACATTCTTTCATATTAGCATATCCTTTTGGAATCTGGCATCAAGTTCCTCCCTATCATGTCCCCCAAACTGAAACTGTATTACAAGTCATAAAGTTGCCACGGGCTTTTTACCAGAGTATGGCTTCCTTGATCTCTCCATAAGCAACCCTACTCTCTTCTTTCCAATTACCTTCTTTTGGCCTCTGAGACACTATCCTAAAAGTAACACTTTCTTTTTTTTTTTTTTTTTTTTTTTTGAGACAGAATCTCACTCTGTTGCCCAGGCTGGAGTACAGTGGTGCAATCTCGGCTCACTACAACTTCCATCTCCTGGGTTCAAGCTATTCTCCTACCCAAGATTCCAAGTAGCTGGGGTTACAGGCATGTACCACTATGCCTGACTAATTTTTGTATTTTTAGTAGAGACGGAGATTCACCATGTTGGCCAGGCTGGTCTCAAACTCCTAACCTGAGGTGATCTACCCATTTCGGCCTCCCAAAGTGCTGGGATTACAGGCGTGAGCCACCATGCCCAGCCTAAATGGGGCTGACCACATATGCTTGTATTCATCTATGACAATATGGCTGACCACATATGCTTGTATTCATCTATAACAGAAAGATGGTCCAGTACCTCCATCCTTGCCTTCCCAACAGTGAGGAGGATAGATATAGTGCGAAAAATTTGCTCTACTTCTCTGACAAGTTTTGGTACTGGAAGCTCATTTTAAACTCGTCCTACCTTTCTAATACCCTACCTTTCCATTTTCTAAAGAATTAATTTATTTTATTTTTTATTTTTTTTGAGATGAAGCCTCACTCTGTCGCCCAGGCTAGAGTGCAGTGACGCAATCTCAGCTCACAGCAACCTTCGCCTCCCAGGTGCAAGCAATTCTCCTGCCTCAGCCTCCCTAGTAGCTGGGATTACAGGCACCTGCCACCACACCCAGCTAATTTTTGGATTTTTAATAGACATGGGGTTTGACCATGTTGGCCAGGCTGGTCTCGAACGCCTGACCTCAAGTGATATGCCCACCTCAGCCTCCCAAAGTGCTGGGATTACAGGTGTGAGCCACCACACCCGGCCTGATGTACTATTACGATTATTTTATTTTGCCACTCTCCATTTCATATACTTGTTTTTTGTTCTTCATTCACTATCTATACTCTCTGCCTTCCTCATTCTCATTTCCTCTTTTACTCATCTCCTCTTCCTTATTTCCTGGCTCTCCTCAGGTCTTAATGTACTTTGAAATGGATCTAACAATTCAGCTTCTTTAGTGGCAGTAGCAATTTAACCTGTTGCTGACACCTAAGATATACGACTTACCACAATTTCACCTCTCTTTCTTCTTACTATCCATTTAATAGGTGATTTTCTTTGGCTATTAGAATATATCAACAATCACCTTTTTAAATAAATACTCTGTCCAATGGCTTTATTAAAATAAAATACATCTCTTACCTTCTGCTTGTTCATTTCCTACATTTTTTCTTTTCGATCTGCAGCCCCAGCTAAAGGATCAACATACTTCTGTGGAAAGTTCTCAGAGATACTCTGTTAAAATTAATATCAATAATGAGTTTCAATTTTACAAAAAGAATGAGTTGCTAAAGATCTTCTAATCACTTTCAAATATAATATGAATTTCCTATATTAAAAACAATTATACTTAAAAATAAGATAAGCCTGTATTGAAAACCAAAACATTTCAATAAAGAACCTCATATATGCTCTCTAGATTAAGCTTATCTTTCATCTTTAGATGGCTATTGACTCTGCACACCGAACACAGAAGGACCAAGGACACATATTAACAGATAAAATATTAACTTATGTGCACAGTCCAACAAGGAACTAATATCAAAAGACTTAATTCTACTTTGTATTCCCCATCAAAAATAAGAGGGCATTCTGGGGAGCTTCTCTGAACCTATTCTGGTTCAGGGGCTGCCTGATTAAGAGGGGGAAAAGCGTATTTTAAAAAATAGAATATTCTTGCTATAGTACAGCATTAAACATTTAAAATATTTCTAATCACAGAAATTTGTAGTGTTAAGATATCTGGCATAATAAAAAACTTGGGAATATGTCATGGTAAGTATAAACAGAACACTGCAAAAGCTGCTTCATTTAGGTAACAAAAGCTTGGAAAAATCTAAATACTTTGTGATAAAACTTTTACTGATAGGAAAGTGGTTGACTAAAATGACAAGGCAGTAAGAGAAACTTTGCTTTATGTTATGTTTAAAGAAAAACAAGCAAATATAAGATATAGTATACAGCCCTTTCCCAATTAAGAAATAATTTCTAGGGGAGGGATAGCATTAGGAGAAATACCTATGTAGATGACGGAGTGACAGATGTAGCAAACCACCATGGCACGTGTATACCTATGTAACAAACCTGCACGTTCTGCACATTTACCCTAGAACTTAAAGTATAACAACAACAACAAAAAAAGAAATAATTTCAAAGAAGTATAGCAAGCCTTCATGAAAATAGAAGAATAACAACATTTATGTATTAAGCATCTGAAATGTGCCAGGTATTTATTTGCACATTTTCTTTTCTATGCGGTATAATAATAAAAACAATGATGAGTTACCCCACTTCCTGCTTCTTGGTCATTCTAAGATGTTAAGAGCAAAATGATAAACTGATGTGATGATTGTGCCCTCTGCCCAGAATGCCCTCCTCCCAGCCTTTCACATGGCTGCTCCTTCTCTTCCTTTAGTTGGCAATCTAAGGTCATACTCAGAAAGATCTTCTCTGACTACAGAATTTCACTCCCACTCCTACCCCCATCCTAACTACAAACTCTCTCAATTTTCTCTAACCTAATACTCTCTGTTTTCTTCATATGAAGTGCTTATAGTGACTTATAAGTGTTTGTGGTTTACTTATTTTTCAGTTCCCGCTACTAAAGCATAAGCCCTCACCTTGTATATTCAGTGTCTAACAGCCTAGCACATAGTCAGTACTCAATATCAGAAATTTATTCAAGGTCAAACATTTAAAATCTCATTAGGAAGGTCTCAAGTGTCAATTCACTTTATTCCTATAGGATATCTCCAGTAACTGTCTACTGAAACTTATACCCAAATTAGAAATCCACACACGCCTGTTCCAACTTTCCCATTCTTTTCTTGACAGTAGTGCCTACAAGTTTACAAAAAGTACCCTCAATATTTATTCAAAATCATTGAAAATGATTTTGAAAATCATTTCTACTTATTACAACACCACTCAACCAAACTGTCGTCATTCTCCACATTCTTCCTTCTCTTGAAATGTTCTTTGCAGATCCATACAAATATATATTAATACTTTAAAGGCCCAGGTGTTATCTTTTCAAACTCTAAGTTGTCAAAAAAAAAAAAAAAAAACACACTGCATTCCAAACTGTTTCTCTCTGAATCTCATTAGGACTTTTGCTCATCCATACATAACATAGAGTCATACATTTGGCCATAAGTTGACCTGAAATAATTCTCTAGTTTTTAGATAAACAACTTCAGAATGCACACTGACCCCTTGTGACTTCTAAGCCTTTTTTTCTTTTTTCTTTTCTTTCTTTCTTTTTTTTTTGCACTTTCCTACTCCAGATTATTTTTTTTGTTTTTGTTTATTTTCTTTTACACTGGATTCTCTTTTTTTAATTTTATGACACCTGTTATTGAATACACTGGATTCTTCAATGAATCTTGCAAATTAGCAGAATTTACACTATGCCACAGTCATATACTTAGCACATTATTAATTATGAACTGAAAAATATAAGAAAGAAGTTCCTGATGGATCTACACAGAGGTAAAAAAGTCAAGTCAAAGCATCTCTTTTATGTTTTAACATCACCCAATGCTTATATTTTAAAATAACAGTAACAATAGATAATACCTCAGAATCCCAAGGTGATTCTATGTCTTCCTCTTGTCCTAATCCTAATGTGGACATCATATCTAGAAAATGTTATACACAGATATATTCATGAGAACATTTAGTATTATAAGTTTTAAACACATATATATACAAAAATAAAAAATAAGAGAAACAAAAAAGTTAAATACATACACAAGTCTATCTCCATTCATGAATATTTCAATAAAATAAAAACAATAGCAAAAAAGTATTTCACAAAGTTGACAGTCTCAGGAAAAAATTGGTAGTATGAAGAAAGACAGCAAAATAAAAATATTTTTTAAATGAATATAATATTTGAGTCTGCATATGTTAATTGGTTGTCTTAGAATAGAATTTTTTTTTTCCTTTTGAGACAGATTCTTGCTCTGTTGCCCAGGCTGGAGTGCAGTAGAGCGATCTCAGCCCACTGTAACTTCCGTCTCCCGGGTTCAAGCGATTCTCCCACCTCAGCCTCCTAAGTAGCTGGAGTTATAGGCACATACCATGACTGCCAGCTAATTTTTGTATTTTTAATAGAGACAGGGTTTCAACATGTTGGCTAGGCTGGTCTCAAACTCCTGACCTCAGGTGATCCTCCCACCTTGGTCTCCCAAAGTGCTGGGATTACAGGTATGAGCCACCATGACCTGGCCCCTAGAATAGAATTTAAGGATAGAAAAATATTCACAGATATCCACTAACTTACCACCTCTATTATTTTGGGGCACTTCATCAACATAAGTCAAATTGTCATTATCTGTTTGCTCTAGCGGAGGACTTTCAATAATATCAGCACCATTTTCTTTTTTTCCAGTGGCTGGCTTTGTTGCTCCTTCCTATTAAAAAAAAAAAACAAAATTTCAGAAAACACTGTATTTATTCACTCACCCATTCAATCAGTCACTGTACTAGTCGGTTCTTACACTACCATGAAGAAATATCTGGTCATCCAAGATGGGGACATACTTTTTTTTTTAAAAGAAACATCTGACTGGGTAATATATGAAAAAAAGAGGTTTCATTGGCTCATGGTTCTGCAGGCTGTATAGGAAGCATAGCAGCTTCTGCTTCTGGGGAGGCCTCAGGAAGCTTATAATCTGGCAGAAAGAAAGAGGGAGCAGGTGTCTCACCTGGCAGAGCCAGGGCAAGAGAGCAAGGTCAGAGGTGCTACACACTTTTAAAGAAGCAGATCCCATGAGAACTCACTTGCTATCTTAAAGACATTACCAGTGGGGATGGCGCTAAACCATTCACTACAAATCTGCCTGTAGGATCCAATCACCTCCCACAAGGTCCCACCTCCAACACTGGGGATTACATTTCAATACAAAATGTGGGGCAGGACACACATCCAAATGATACCAGTCAGTAAGACAATAAGCACTTATTGTGTCTATCACATCACAGGCACTATCCTGGGAAAAACTAAAAATACAAACAGAGGACAGATTCTTCCCTATATTAATCAAGTGGGGATGGAGATAAACAAAGACAAGAACAGAAAAGTGTAATTCATTAGTTCTAAAATTGAAGTGAATAAAGGACAGTAACAGCACAAAAGAGAACAGTCGGTTCTACCTGGGAAGCTCAGGAAATGCTGCAAAGACAGGTCCATACTATGAGATAGACCCAGTGCAGTGACATGGTTTGGCTCTGTGTCCCCACGAAATCTCATCTCAAATTGTAATCCTCATGTGTCAAGTGAGAGACCAGTGGAATGGTCACATTTTCTTTTGGCAGCCTCAAAATAAGAAGTAAATTGCAGTAATAAGATATGAGAAATAGTAAGCAGGTAGAAAATAAGGAACTTGGTGAGTGACTTGGATTCGTAATTTGAGGGAAAACTGTAGTGCAAGATTTCTCCTGCTTCCATGTTTCAGTGCTACCCTAGGTGTTATTTACTGGGATAGGGAAACCAGAGGGCAGAGTAGATTACAAAGAGTCGGGAAAGGGTCAGGAACAATGTCTTCAGTTGGGACATATTAATACAAAATTCAAGGCATGCAGGAGACTTAGAAAAAATTTCAGGATTTTTTTTAAGAGACAAGGTTTCACTGTGTTACCCACGCTGGTCACCAACTCCCAAGCTTAAGTGCTCTGCCAGCCTCACCCTCCCCAAGTGCTGGAATTACAGGCATGAGCCACTGCACCCAGCCCACCCAGGGGACTTACAAGACAGATTTGGATAAATACATTTGGGGTAGATGACTTCAGGAAAAGCATATGGTCTTAAGAAGATAAATATTTGTAAAATACAGTAAACTGGTAGAATAATATGAACCTATACAGAACTCTGAACTTTTGAAAATGAAAAGACAAAAAGGAAAAAAAACATGGGATTCAAGGTTTCAATTGCATATTTCAACATTTGAGGCTGGGTGCAGTGGGCCCCACCTGCAATCTTAGGACTTTGGGAGGCCAACGTAGGAGGATCACTTGGGCCCAGGAGTTCAAAACCAGCCTGGGTAACATAGCGAGACCCCATTTCTACAAAAAATAAATAACTAGCTGGGCATGGTGGTGCATGCCCACGGTCCCAGCTACTTGGGAGGCTGAAGCCAGACCCAGAAGATTTAAGCTTCAGTGAGCCTTGATCAGGCCACTGCACTCCAACCTGGGTGACAGAAACTCTGTATTTAAAAAAAAAAAACAAGGCCAGGTGCAGAGGCTCATGCCTGTAATCTCAGCATTTTGGGAGGCTCAGGTGGGCAGATCATTGGATGCCAAGAGTTAGAGACCAGTCAACATAGCAAAACCTCATCTCTACTAAAAACACAGAAATTAGCCGCGTGTGGTGGTGCACACCTGTAGTCCCAGTTACTAAGGAGGCTGAGGCACAAGAATTGCGTGAACCCGGGAAGCAGAGGTTGTAGTAAGCTGAGATCCTGTCACCAGCACACTCCAGCCTGGGCGACAGAGCAAGACTCCGTCTCAAAAAAAAAAACAAAAGGAAAGACTCTTTCCTTTTGCGGCCATCACCTAAGCGGGAGCTGCCGAAATGAAATTCAATCCCTTTGTGACTTCAGACAGAAGCAAGAATCGCAAAAGGCATTTCAATGCACCTTCCCACATTCGCAGGAAGATTATGTCCTCCCCTCTTTCCAAAGAGCTGAGACAGAAGTACAACGTGCGATCCACGCCCATCCGAAAGGATGATGAAGTTCAGGTTGTACGAGGACACTATAAAGGTCAGCAGATTGGCAAAGTAGTCCAGGTTTACAGGAAGAAATACGTAATCTACATTGAACGGGTGCAGTGGGAAAAGGCTAATGGCACAACTGTCCATGTAGGCATTCACCCCAGCAAGGTGGTTATCACTAGGCTAAAACTGGACAAAGACCGCAAAAGGATCCTTGAACGGAAAGCCAAATCTCGCCAATAGGAAAGGAAAAGGGAAAATACAAGGAAGAAACAATTGATAAGATGCAGGAATAAAGTAATCTTATACACAAGCTTTGATTAAAACTTGAAACAAGGAAGAAAAAAAAAACAAAAGGATAGGAAAGAAAGCTATGATTATCCAAGATGAAGATTTAAAAGTCTTCAAACATATCTATGATTATCAAGCAAGACCAGTATTCACATGAAGAGAGAAAAGGACTAAGAAATCAAGTCGACAGGATTCTGAGTTTTAGAAATGAACAAATTTATGAGCAAAGTGTAATAACTATGATACTAAAGTTAACAAAGCTTCCTGATGATGACATAAAATGTCTTCATTGCTGGAGACACTTTTAAAAGTAAAAAATATCTTCCAGAGATAATTTCATAAATTTCCTTGGCAATCTTTCCTTCCTTATGATTCTATAATAGGTAGTTTATTTTAAAAAACAATCATAAATTTTGATCACTTTCATTTTGTGTGTGTATATGTGTCCATTAAATACAGATATTAATTATGAGCACAAGATAAATCAGAATATCTACAGAAACTAATAATTGTTGGATTCATTTCTCTAAGGATTACACTGAAATTTATTTTCTCGCTTTTTTTCCCCAAGATGACGAATGGGAGGCCAGGGGGACAAGAGCAAGACTTCATCTTAAAAAAAAAATAAAACAATAAAAAATAAAAATGTTTTGAAATAAGTAACAATGCCATGAATTATCAAAACCTCTGTGATATAGAAAATCATTGCTAACATCATACCTTAGGAAACTAGAGAAACAAGAATAAACCAAACCCAAAACTAGGAGAAGAAAAGAAATAACAAAGATCAGAGCAGAACTAAATGTATTTATAACCAAAAACAATACAAAATGAAACAAAAAGTTGCAGGTTTTTTGTTTTTTTTGTTTTGTTTTGTTTTTGAGTTGGAGTTTCACTCTTGTTGCCCAGGCTAAAGTGTAATGGTATGATCTTGGCTCACTATAACCTCTACCTCCCAGGTTCAAGTGATTCTCCTGCCTCAGCCTCCTGAGTAGCTGGGATTACAGGCACCTGCCACCAGGACCAGCTACTTTTTTTGTATTTTTAGTAGAGACACAGTTTCACTATGTTGGCCAGGCTGGTCTCAAACTCCTGACCTCAGGTGATCCACCCACCTAGGCCTCCCAAAGTGCTGGATTACAAGTGTGAGGCACCACGCCTGGCAGTTTTTTTTTAAGATACACAGTTGATAGACCACAAGCTACGTTAACTAAGAGAGATGACTCAAATAAGCTCAAGTAGGAATGAATGTGGAGACATTACAACTGATACCACAGAAGCACAAAAGATCATTCAAAACTACTGTGAACACCTCTATGCACACAAACTAGAAAATCTACAGGAAATGGATAAATTCTTGGAAACACATAACTAACTCCTCTAGCTTGAATCAGGAAGAAATAGAAATCATGAATAGACCAGTAACAAGCAGTGAGACTGAATCAGTAATTTTAAAACTGCCAACAAGCAAAAAGCCCAGGGCCATAAGGAATCACAGCTAAATTCTACCAGACATTCAAAGAAGAACTGGTAAGAATTCTACCGAAACTATTTCAAAAGACTGAGAAAGGGGGAATCCTTCCTACTCATTCTATGAAGCCAGTATCACCCTAATACCAAAGCCAGAAAAGGACATAACAATAAAAGAAAAAAGAAAACTGCAGACCAATCTCACTGATAAATAAAGATACAAAAATCCTCAAGAAAATACTAGCAAACCAAATCCAACAGCACACCAAAAAGTAATAATTCACCATGATCAAGTGGGTTTCATTCCAAGGATGCAGAGACGGCTCAACTTATGCAAGTCAATAAATGTGATTCTTCACATAAACAGAATATAAACAAAAACCATATGATCATCTCAATAGAGGCATCATTACGTGGATTGTGAGGGCAAGGGAAGGGTATGGGGAAAAAGTTTTTTAAAAAACAACTTACATTTGTAAGACCAGGGTTTGCTAACGACTTGTGGGAAGATTTCGGAAGAGGGTCAGGTGATGGATAGGTAGGATGAGAAAAGCCATGGACTTTGAGTGATGTTGTAGGGAGGCTTTCAATCACAACTTCATCTTGACTATCAGAATCTCTATCCGCAAATGAATTTCTATTTCCTGTTCTCACAATGCCATCTGTTGCTTCTACTACAGTAAAAACAAAATACAGAGTAAATGAAAACATATGTAATTAAGACTCAATGAGTAACAAAAGAATAAGCAGTCTTCGGCCGCCGCTGTCGTCGCCGCCGCCGCAGCTGCCACCACCACCATCAGCGCGCGGGCCCCTGCCGGAGCGAGCCGGGCAAGGGGCGCGCGCGGGGGAGGGCGGGGCGGGAGGGGTGGGTGAAGGGGGCGGGAGGGCGTGGGGGGAGGGTCTCGCTCTCCCGACGACCAGAGCTCGAGAGAGAGACCCTGGCGGCGGCGGCGGCGCCTGACACTCGGTGCCTCCTGCCGTGCTCCGGGGCGGCATGTTCGAGGCTGGCGGGGCCGGGCCGGGCGGCTGCGGGGCAGGAGCCGGGGCAGGGGCCGGGCCCGGGGCGCTGACCCCCAGCCTGCGGCGCTGCCGCTCGCGCCCCCGCAGGGCTCCCCCTGCGCTGCTGCCGCCGGGGGCTCGGGCGCCTGCGGTCCGGCTACGCCAGTGGCTGCAGCGGGCACGGCCGAAGGACCGGGAGGCGGTGGCTCGGCCCGAATCGCCGTGAGGAAGGCGCAACTACGCTCCGCTCCACGGGCCAAGAAACTGAAGAAACTCGGAGTGTACTCCGCCTGCAAGGCCGAGGAGTCTTGTAAATGCAATGGCTGGAAAAACCCCAACCCCTCACCCACTCTCCCCAGAGCCGATCTGCAGCAAATATTTGTCAGTCTAATGAATCCTGTCGGAGTTGTAGCCATGCCCTAGCTGCTCAGGTTTCCCACCTGGAGAATGTGTCAGAGGAAGAAATGAACAGACTCCTGGGAATAGTGTTGGATGTGGAATATCTCTTTACCTGTGTCCACAAGGAAGAAGATGCAGATACCAAGCAAGTTTATTTCTACCTATTTAAGCTCTTGAGAAAGTCTATTTTACAAAGAGGAAAACCTGTGGTTGAAGGCTCTTTGGAAAAGAAACCCCCATTTGAAAAACCTAGCATTGAACAGGGTGTGAATAACTTCGTACAGTACAAATTTAGTCACCTGCCAGCAAAAGAAAGGCAAACAATAGTTGAGCTGGCAAAAATGTTCCTAAACCGGATCAACTATTGGCACCTGGAAGCACCATCTCAACGAAGACTGCGATCGCCCAATGATGTTATTTCTGGATACAGGGAGAATTACACAAGGTGGCTGTGTTACTGCAACGTTCCACAGTTCTGCGACAGTCTACCTCGGAACGAAACCACACAGGTGTTTGGGAGAACATTGCTTCGCTCGGTCTTCACGGTTATGAGGCGACAGCTCCTGGAACAAGCAAGACAAGAAAAAGATCAACTGCCTCTTTAAAAACGAACTCTAATCCTCACCCATTTCCCAAAATTTCTGTCCATGTTAGAAGAAGAAGTTTATAGTCAAAACTCCCCCATCTGGGATCAGGATTTTCTCTCAGCTTCTTCCAGAACCAGCCAGCTAGGCATCCAAACAGTTATCAGTCCACCTCCTGTGGCTGGGACAACTTCATACAATTCAACCTCATCTTCCCTTGAGCAGCCAAATGCAGGGAGCAGCAGTCCTGCCTGCAAAGCCTCTTCTGGACTTGAAGCAAACCCAGGAGAAAAGAGGAAAATGACTGATTCTCATATTCTGGAGGAGGCCAAGAAACCCCGAGTTATGGGGGATATTGCGATGGAATTAATCAACGAGGTTATGTCTACCATCACGGACGCTGCAGCAATGCTCGGACCAGAGACCAATTTTCTGTCAGCACATTCAGCCAGGGATGAGGCGGCCAGGTTGGAAGAGCGCAGGGGTGTAATTGAATTCCACGTAGTTGGCAACTCCCTCAACCAGAAACCAAACAAGAAGATCCTGATGTGGCTGGTCGGACTTCAGAACGTTTTCTCCCACCAGCTGCCCCGAATGCCAAAAGAATACATCACAGGGCTTGTCTTTGACCCGAAACACAAAACACTTGCTTTAATTAAAGATGGCCGTGTCATTGGTGGTATCTGTTTCCGTATGGTTCCATCTCAAGGATTCACAGAGATTGTCTTCTGTGCTGTAACCTCAAATGAGCAAGTCAAGGGCTATGGAACACATCTGATGAATCATTTAACAGAATATCACATAAAACATGACATCCTGAACTTCCTCACATATGCAGATGAGTATGCAATTGGATACTTTAAGAAACAGGGTTTCTTCAAAGAAATTAAAATACCTAAAACCAAATATGTTGGCTATATCAAGGATTATGAAGGAGCCACCTTAATGGGGTGTGAGCTAAATCCACGGATTCCATATACAGAATTTTCTGTCATCATTAAAAAGCAGAAGGAGATCATTAAAAAGCTGATTGAAAGAAAACAGGCACAGATTCGAAAAGTTTACCTTGGACTTTCATGTTTTAAAGATGGAGTTCGACAGATTCCTATAGAAAGCATTCCAGGAATTAGAGAGACAGGCTGGAAACCGAGTGGAAAAGAGAAAAGTAAAGAGCCCAAAGACCCTGACCAGCTTTATAGCACACTCAAGAGCATCCTCCAGCAGGTGAAGAGCCATCAAAGCGCTTGGCCCTTCATGGAACCTGTGAAGAGAACAGAAGCTCCAGGATATTATGAAGTTATAAGGTTCCCCATGGATCTGAAAACCATGAGTGAACGCCTCAAGAATAGGTACTACGTGTCTAAGAAATTTTTCATGGCAGACTTACAGCGAGTCTTTACCAATTGCAAAGAGTACAACCTCCCTGCGAGTGAATACTACAAATGTGCCAATATCCTGGAGAAATTCTTCTTCAGTAAAATTAAGGAAGCTGGATTAATTGACAAGTGATTTTTTTTCCCCTCTGCTTCTTAGAAACTCATCAAGCAGTGTGCCTAAAGCAAGGTGGTTTAGTTTTTTACAAAGAATTGGACATAATGTATTGAAGAGACTTGTAAATGTAATAATTAGCACTTTTGAAAAACAAACAAAAAACCTCCTTTTAGCTTTTCAGATACATATTTAAATTGAAGTCATAGAACATTTTTATTTTATGGAATAGATTTTAATCTATTTACTACTATTAATGTAAATTTTCTATGGCATGTCCATTAGCTGACTATTCCATGATAGATGATCAGGGGTTTCCTCAAAACCTGTATGTGAGGAAATTGCACATTGTAGCAAAATTTGGGGAAATCCATAAAATTTTCAGACCGTGAATGTTGCCATTTTTTTCTAATGGAATGTGAGAGTTTATTTTATTCTGAAGGACTTTAAGGAAGGGATACGTGATTTTCAAAAAAGCCTGTAAGAGGGGAAATATGTGATGTCTGAAGTCTCGTCGTAGACTTTTTATATATATTTTTTAAAACACTCATTTAGATGAGGTGCTTTGAGCAGTTCTGAAAAATGCAATTCCAGGAAAGCAACTGCTTTGATTCCTAAGGAAGAAATTCTAAATAATGCAAACTTTTAAAATAAGCATCTAGGTTTTTGATAATTCTGTCTACCTACAACAAACTTGTTAGTACATAACCACTATTTTAATAATTATTTTCTCTACACAAATGTGTAATATCATATTTGACTTTGCTTATGCAGGCCATAAGGTTCCAAAAGATAATTTCCCTGTCCACAAAGGCATAAACTTGAAAACACATGACATTGAATCAACATGCTTTAATAGGAAAAGATGTGTGGTCTATATATGTATCAATCTGGTGAATCCTCGTTCTAATAAAGAATTTTTTTTCTTTTCTGTGATGCACACAGCCACACTGATAATATGGATATGAATATTTTCCTTCTTATATCTCCAGATTGTTTATTGTCTGAGATAAATTCTCACCAAGGTTTGCTGTCAGTATTTTAACACCTAGATTAATATATGGGTCCAGGGTCATAACCCCCTAAAAGCCATCATGCAACCTTATTAATCTGTCTTGGGATTCCAGTTTAGTGCTTGGATTTATTTCCTGATTACACTACATAGAAAAGTGGGACATCTGCCATCCCAACTCTGGGAAAACCATCTCCTGTACAACCATATAAATGAAGGCCATCTTGATGGTCTCAACACTAATTTTTATGATGCAAATTTATAAACTGATTTTTGTAAAGGACAAGGTTTTAAAAGCATATTTAACTTGATGTGTTCTATCAGCATAAATAAAATGGTCATGAATCGTCATTAAAAACAGTTGCCAGTGATAATCTGCATGAAGGAAAAAGAACCCTGCAAATGGCTATTGAGTTGGAAGTATTGTTTTTGATATGTAAGAGATATTCAGAACGCTCACACTGAAAATGCCTCAGCTTTTTAAAGTGTAAGAAACCACCGCGAGTGGTGTCTAGATTTCTAATGAAGAAGATACAGTTTGGATTAAGTATCTTGGACTGGTTTTAAATAGTGCTTTGTACTGGATTTGCCGAAGCATCTATCCAGCCTGGTATCCTGTGAAAGTTTGTTATTTTCTGAGTAGACATTCTTATAGAGTATTGTCTTTAAAATCAGATTGTCTCTTCTATATTGAAAGAATTTTTATGTTTTCTAATTTAAAAATTAATATTTTCTTATAGATATTGTGCAATAAAGCTGAAGTAGAATGTGTGGTTTTTGCATATGCTTTAACAGCTGATAAAATTTTACATTTGTAAAATTAATATATTGTACTGGTACAAAATAGTTTTAAATTATATTTTAAAAAGCTTTCAAAAAAAAAAGCAGTCTTCAAACAGCTTACAATTTTTCTTGGATTGCTGAGAAGCAGTCATTAGCTTTGCTAAGCATGGTTTTGGGACATTCTAGGAAACAAAAATAAGAATAACAAGTTTTAAAAATAACAAGTATCAAATTTGATAAAATAATTGTAATAGTCACCATTAACACAAAAAACACAGATTTTGGAGTCACTCAGATGTAGCCTTAAACCTCAATTCTGCTATTTACCAAATCTTCTCATGGGGTAAGGATTATGTGAGATGATACAGATATTCTCCAAAGGTTACTACCTTTACCCACAGTTGATTATTATATAAATACTATGATATCTATCCGACTGTTTTCTTAACCACATTGGCCTAGAATGAAAATTTAATTTTAGGTAATTACAAAATTCAAACATTAAGACATTTAAGTTAATTACAAATTTTCTGAAATGTGTATGCATGATTTATATTTGCATGAATTCCTTCTTGTGAGAGAACTGTAAGCATTTCATTCTTAGTATATCTTACTTAAGTGGGTTGGCATTGCAAATACTATAGGCTGCTTCTATTCTGTTTGTCAAAAAGCTAAAAAAAAAATGATTATATAAATGCAGCTCCTTACAAGAAAGAGAGAAAAAAACAAAAATAATCCTTGTGACTCAATGATTGCTGAATAAAAGCCACACATAGCTACTAAATAGAAAGGTGCACCTAAATATGCTACAAATGAAGACAAGACATGGACTGAAATAACAGTCACTGAAGAAATGTATGCTGTGAGGAAAAATTTAGGCTGAGATAAATCATTTTTAAAAGATGAAAGTGTAGGGAGAAAAAAAAAGAGAGGCATGACTAATCAATCAAGTGTGAGCTTAAGTCAAGGAAGAAAAGGAAAAGCTTTAAGCATACTAAGGCACATGGAGACGCACAGACCTGTAATACAGACTTCGGTTCATAAGACATCCCTGATAATACTGATTAGGATTTAGAATCAGTTTTTAAAAAATACTTCCGTAGTAAAGAGTTTAATTTTAAGTCGTCCAATTAGTTCAACATGGTCATCTACTACTTCCTGAAAGCTGTAACATTCTTACTACAGAGAAAAATGAAAAAAGATTTTGAAATCACAGTAGGAGTGCTTATCCATATAAACTTTGACCAAATTTTGTATTTCCTCTACTGTAGGAAAACTTTTCCCAGTACGATTTTCCTATCACTATGTATTTTCCAGTGTGTGGTTTTTTTTTTTTTGCAATCCCCACTCTATCACATTATTTATCAATCCTTTGTTATTTACCAAAGTTTAAAAAAAAAGAATTCAACTGCTTATATTTCTATAAAATGGCCCCTCTGACCACTTTTCCATTACAAACAGAAAACAGTGATAAGTAGACCACTGCTAAATTTTAAGAGAATACTATACAAAACTAGCTTCAGAGTGAAAAAATGAGTTTCATAAGAGAGCACTTTACCTTGGTATCAAAATTGACGTCTTCATCATCTGAGGTAGGCCATGAATCATCAATACCTGGTTTGCCAGAAAGCCTTTAGAATAAAAATATACAAAAAATGAGTGAATTCATTTCTTTAAAAACAAAACAAAAACCTCCTAGTTCAATCTGGATGCCCTCTCCAAAAAAATAAGAACAAAAATATGGTGAAAGGTCAACTATCTGTATATTAAGTAATGTTTCTTGATATAATTAAAATTTGGTTTTTGAAAAAGATTTTAGTTACCTATTGCTACCTCTACCTCTCCAAATCTATTTAATATTCAATAAAGACTCAACCTTTTCTTGTGTCTGGGGAGGGATAGCAGGGGGAGAAATGCAAGATGTGGGTGAAGGGGAGGAAGACAGCAAATCACACTACCGTGTGTGTACCTATGCAACGATCTTGCATGTCCTGCACATGTACCCCAAAACTTAAAATGCAGTAAAAAGGAAAAAAATAAAAATAAAATAAACAAATGCAAAAGAGATCCAAAAAAAAAAAAAAAACTCAGCCTTAGTTCTATAACAAATAGTGACAGCCAAGAGATTTTGTCTTCACAAATTGTCTGTCCTGAAGACTGAACTGAAAATCCAATTAATGGCTAATATGACTTTTGTTACCTGAACCAGAACAAACCTGATAATCTAAAACAAGGCGCAGACCAGATGCAGTGGCTCACGTCTGCAGTGGCTTCACCTCTTTGAGAGGTGAAGGCAAGCAGATAACCTGATCCCAGGAGTTCAAGACCAGCCTGGCCAATGTGGTGAAACTGTTTCTATTAAAATACAAAAATTAACCAAGCGTGGTGACACATGCCTGTAATCCCAGCTACTCAGGATGCTGGGGCAAGAGAATTGCTTGAACTCAGGAGAAAGAGGTTGCAGTGAGCTGAGACTGCACCACTGTATTCCAGCCTGGGTGACAGAGCAAGACGCTGTCTCAGAAAATATTAAAAAATAAATAAAGCAAGGTAGAAAGATACACTGTCCCTTCTCTGCGATCTATCTCCAGTTCAAAGACTAATCTGTGTCACTCAAAAATGGCAGTCTTGGTTCTTCAACATGGAAACCACTTTAGGCCTCACTGCTTCCCTTTACCCTAAAACAGGATAGGGAATCCCCTGAAATGTTTGAAAGCTAGAAGGACAAAAGTCAAAATACAAATGTATGTGCTATTATTGGGACTACTCACCCCAGAAACATTAAAACATTAAAAGTAATAAAATCCATTATTTTCCTTACAGAGGTCCTGCCTTATTCTGGTCCACATAAACTACCAAGCCCTTAAAAATCTTTATAGGCACTCAGATACCCAAAGAAAAAGACTGCTGGAGAAAGAGCCCTGGTAGTTGCACCTATATTTCTCTAACTACTATCTAAATACATTCCCTCCTGGGCTCCCACTTACAGATCCCTCTTCTGCAGGGGTCCATGGCCTCTCTAACCTTTAAGTCTTCATCCTATGAAAGCACAAATTCCTGAAAGGATGGTCTCAAATGCCCAAGAGTAGGAGCTCTCTATTTCCTGCTCCTGGAAAACAAGCTAAATGGAGTCTCAGTCATCTGCCACCAGCATAGCCATGTTACCAACTACCCAACTGAAGCTCCATGACTGACTTGCCAGCCAATCCTACTCCTGCACTACCCTACATGCCCATGGGAAGGACATCAGAGAATTGGGAAATGAGGCAGAGGTGAGGGACACCTTCCCTGGGCCACAGATCTATGTAGTTCAGCAGCCTCCAGCTCCAAAGTACTTAAGCCACCACTCTATAAATTGAGGTAGAAGTAGTTATAGCACATTCCTATTGGCTGTAGAGACTCTCCCCAGTGGCTCAATTATTTTAACATTTTTCAGTAGAAACCCTGAAAGTTTGCCAGTTCTTCCAATTATACAAAAAAGCAGCAACCTGTTCAGGACTCCCCTGAACCCATTTTAATATGCCTTTCTAGATAATTCCCAATATCCTTTATCCTTCATTCCTATCATTTATCATTATCAAATTCATCAGAAACCTCAATATTCTGATCTCTTTTCCAAAAGCCCTGTTCCTATCCAACCCAGTGTTGTTTCTCTTCAAACTCAGCCTTCCTCTGCTAATTCCATTCTTTGCTCTTCCACTGGATTCACTATATCTACTCACCCTTTATTTTTATTTTATTTTTTTGAGACGGAGTCTCGCTCTGTCGCCCAAGCTGGAGTACGGTGGCACCATCTTGAGTCACTGCAACCTCCACCTCCCAGGTTCAAGCGATTCTCCTGCCTCAGCCTTCCAAGTAGCTGAGACTACTACATCACCATGCCAGCCTAATTTTTTGTATTTTTAGTAGAGATGGGGGTTTCACCATTTTAGCCAGGATGGTCTCAATCTCCTGACTTCGTGATCCACCCTCCTTGGCCTCCCAATGTGCTATGATTACAGGTGTGAGCCACTGTACTCACCCTTTCTATCATTCAAATATTAACTGTAGGATAATAAAGAAGGAAGAGTACTGTACTCTGAAATGAGTTTGGATGTCATATCCAAATAAATCAATGTAATCTCTTTGAGTTTCAGGTTCTCCATCTGAACCATTTGACCAAAATGTTAAACACAGATTGCAGTACTAAATGGCATTTTGATTAGTCTGATTCCCTAAAATCCTGAAATTCTATATGCTTTTGATTCTGTTGATAGGAAAATGAGAAATACTCAGCTGGCAGAAATTGAAAAAAATAATAGAACACTGTTGGCTGAATAAAGAAAATATTATATATATATATATAAAACATTTTATATTCATATGTTACATATGTTTTATACATATATATATATGGTGGGTGTGTGTGTGTCTGCGTATGTATACATACACATACATATGCAGACACACACTCACCCCGTAGAATACTATGCAGTTTTTGTTTTAAAGAGAAACAAAATCATATCCTTTACACAACTCAGATGGAGCTGGAGTACTAGCCTAAAGGAACACCAAATTGAGAAATCAGTAGGTAGAGAAATAAATCAGAAACATCCTCTAACTAGATGCTAAGTATAATTAACACAATATGGTCTATATGTAGACAGCCTTCACTTACAGTAAAATAATTGCTTTCTAAGACTTGTCTCATTTGCTTATTTAAAATGTATGGCCCTGTGGCCACAGTTAAGTGAGATCTGGCCTAAAACCTTGGATGATAAAGACAAAGTACTAGTTACCACGGCAATTATCAAACATATTAAGACAAATTGTTGGACTGATCAGGCTCCTAAGAAAAACTCTAACAGTTAACATATAACTAAATGTAGCTCTCTGAATTGATCTGATTTGGACCTGTACCTTGATCCAGTGCTGCACAGGTCTCTCTCAAGCTATGTTGAGGAGCAAGAGAAGGGATTTGGGAGCCAAGCAAGCTGACGGTCAAATCATGGGTCAGTTGCTTGCTAACTGTGAGGTCATGGGCCAATTAATCCACCTCTCTGAACTACACCATTGGGTTTTAATAGCACAGATACTTTGCAAAGCTGTTGGGATGACTATATGGAGAAGCACATAATACGGTGTCTAGCCCAGAGTAGGGCACTCAACAGATAGTTTCTTTTCTCTGTATTCCTTTAGTTAATTTTTTTTTAATCTGCAAAATACTACCTGCTTAAGGAATCTTCAGAGCTCTCATCCGCTACAAAAAAGAGAAAAATAAAACACATTTTAAATCAACAATAGAAAAACATACAATATAGAAAGCATAAGACTGTCATGCTTTGTTATAAAGCATTCTTCTGAGGCCATATCTGGGGACTATAATAGAATTAATATTCTATATAAATATTCATATGCATAGAAAAAAGTTAATCTTCCCTGCAGACCTGCTGCTCTTCTCTACTCACCTGACAATTCCAGTTTAAATGCTCGTGCACAGCCTAGAAACCTATGAATCATCTGAGATTTCTCTCTGCCCCCTAACTTTTTACACTCAATAATCACTAAATCCTACTAACTAACCTCTTTTCTGCCTCTACCTTACATTTCCACTACCCCGGAAATATAAACATATTTACTTAATGTGTTACCTATTTACTTAGTATGTTTATATCTAATTTTTTTTTGAGATGGAGTTTCACTCTTTTTACCCAGGCTGGAGTGCAATGGCATGATTTTGGGTCACCGCAACCTCCACCTCCCGGGTTCAAGCAATTCTGCCTCAGCCTCCCGAGTAGCTGGGACTACAGGTGTGCGCCACCATGCCCAGCTAATTTTTTTATATTTTTAGTAGTGATGGGGTTTCACCATGTTGACCAGGATGGTCTCGATCTCTTGACCTCATGATCCACCTGCCACGGCCTCCCAAAGTGCTGGGATTATAGGCGTGAGCCACCACGCCTGGCCATTTATATCTCTTAAACATGGAATCTTACTGATGGCTTTTATGAAAAACAACATGCACCCTTAATGTTATTTCTTAAATGAAAAAAATTAAGCAAAACTAATTTAAAAAGTCATAACGTGAAGAGAAAGACCAACATTTTAAACTGAATAAACTGGTCAGGCATGGTGCCTCATGCCTATAATCCCAGCACTTTGGGAGGCCAAGGCCAGAGGATCACTTGAGGCCAGGAGTTTGAGACCAGCCTGGCCTAACATAGTGAGACCCTTTCTCTAAAAGAATAAATAATATAAAATGAATAAACTGAGCTTCCTAACTTGATGTATTTCACCATGGATGGTAAAAACCTCATAATGGATCAATACTAATCCAAGGATTAGTGACTAGGAAACTATGGCTTTTACTACTGCAAAAGCTTCCTGTGTTTCCCAATCTCTTTACCTGATTACCTTCCATCTATCCTGTATACGAGGGGCCAGCAAACTAGAGGCCTCAAGCCAAACTCAGCCAGCCATACGCTTTTGTAAATAAAGTTTTATTGAGGCACAGTCATGTTATTCACGTACGTATAATCTATGACTGCTTTCACATTACAATGGCAGAGGGAATAGCTAGGACAAAGACTACATGGCCTAAAATATTTTCTGTCTGGCACTTTACAGAAAAGCTGTCCATCCCTGCTTTATACCACAGCCAGAATGCCTAATACTCAGGTCTAATCTTGTGACTCTCCTGCTCAAAATTCTCCAGTGAATCCCTGCAGCAAACATTGCTGACTCCCTATCCAATTGCCATTCTTTAACCTTTCTTGCTAAGAAACACAAGTCTGCTGGGATATTTATCATCCCAAAACCCTCCCCAGCTCCACAAGAGAAATTCTTATTCTAAGCTAATCAAAGTAATTACATTTGCTTTCCCAGTGACTGGTTTAAAAATGAGCATGTGATGTAACCCAGCTAATAAAATGTGATAGGAGCCTGGGAATGGTGGCTCATGCCTATAATCCCAGCACTTTGGGAGGCCAAGGCGGGGCAGATGGCTTGACCTCAGGAGTTTGAGACTAGTCTGGGCAACAGGACAAAACCTTTTCTCTATAAACAATTAGCCAGACGTAGTGGTGTGCACCTGTAGTCCCAGCTACCTGGGAAGCTGAGGTGAGAGGACCACCTGAGCCTGGCAGTCAAGGCTGTAGTCAGCTGTGATTGCGCCACTGTACTCCTGCCTGGGTGACAGAGTGAGAGCCTGACTTGAAAAAAAATAATAATAAAATGAAATAGGAAGTCCACTGCAAGCTTCTGAGTTTTCTTCCTATTTAAAAGAAATGTGAAAAAAAAGCAGCCCTTCTAGCCGTTAGAGCCAATGTTTTCTGAGAACATGATGTTTAGAGCTGTTGCTAATTAACCAACCATGAAAGGAGATGTGAACAAAACACTGCCAATGGCACAGCTAAAAGAGGGACAACAGGTGGGATACAATGACATCACTGAACCACCAAAACAACTCTGGTTCTTATTACTTTACCACTTCTAGTTAGGTCACCCATTATTTGCAGCCAAAAGCATTCTAACTGATAAATTTCCCATGGCCTACAGGCTCAGATCTACACTGAACTATTAAAAAACATCTTTCATAAGGTTGCCTTAGCTAGGTATCAACCTCATTCCCAACCACTTCCATATTACCCTTTTTGCACTGACAAAACTGAACACCCATAAACTCTGTGAAGTTTACTCAAGTGTCTGAGCTTTACATTTGCTACTCCTTCTGCCAAACATGCAATCTTGTCAGATGTTCCTTCTGTTAAGGATCATTCTTCTGACTTTTTACCTGGCAAACTCCTACTCAATCTGCATGCTTAACTTATATCCCACTCACTGTTTTAAACCTTTAATTCTTTACCAGAGACTTAAAGTGTCTGGCACATATTGAACATAATAAATACATAATAAATGATAAATATAAGCTCTCAGAGGACATAGCACACAATAAGCCCTGAATAAAGTAGTAAATAAGAAAAATTACAACCATCATGACAAGCGCCTGATTCTATTCTTTAAATGTTTGTATTTTGTGGATAGCTGTTGTTGATTCGAAAAAAATAAAAAATACCCTGAGTGTGGTGGCTCACACCTGTAATCCCGGCATTTTGGGAGGCCGAGGTGGGTGGATCACCTGAGATCAGGAGTTCGAGACCAACCTGATCAACTTGGTGAAACCCTATCTCTACTAAAAACACAAAATTAGCCGGGCATGGTGGTGCATGCCTATAATCCCAGCTACTCGAGAGGCTGGGGCAGGAAAATGGCTTGAACCTGGGAGGCAGAGGTGGCAGTGAGCTGAGATCATGCCACTGTACTCCAGCCTGGGCAGCAAGAGTGAAACTACATCTCAAAAAAAGAAAAAAAAAAACAGAACAAGACTCTGTCTCAAAAAAATAATAATGATAATATTAATCTCCTATTGGTATTGGTGCACACTGGCTAAGTTCTGCAGTTCTTGTTGCCATTTGTTTATGGTACCAGAAAGGTATTGTTGAGTTCCCAGTTTAAAGATAGTTCATCTTTAGTGACACAAATCACTATGTAATGACCCTTGAACAACAGAGGATTGAACTGCACAATTCCACCTATATGTGGATTTTCCTCATCTCTGCCACCCCAAGACAGCAAGACCAACTCTCCTCTTCCTTCTACTTCTTGGCCTACTCAACATGATGACAACCAGGACGAAGACGTCTATGATAATCCACTTCCACTCAATGAGTAGTAAATATATTTTTCTTCTTTATGATTTTCTTAATCATAATTTCTTTCTTGTAGCTTAATTTACTTTATTAATACATATACAAAACACATGTTAATTGGCTGTTTACATTATCATAAGACTTGCAGTCAACAGTAGCCAATCAGTAGTTAAGTTTTGGGGGAATCGAAAACTAATGCAGATTTTCAACTGCACAGGGGATCACCAGTCCTAGCATGCACACTGCTCAAGGGTCAACTGTAATTAATATTCATTTAATAAGCACAACCACTTATTATAAAAATTAAATAGAAGATTCATTTTTAAAACAAGTCCAGTTCATCATGATGTGATTATAAAGAACACATAAAACATACTAAATTAAAAATCTTTTTCCTTATTTATACAAACATTTCATATAGAAATTTAGGGATGATAATTAAGTAAAAGAATTTTTTCACAAAGTACCATTTGACATCATAAATATCTACAAGTAACTTCTTTTTTTTTTTTTTTTTTTTAGACGGAGTTTTGCTCTTGTTGCCCAGGCTGAGTGCAATGGCACAATCTTAGCTCACTGCAGTCTCCACCTCCCAGGTTCAAGCAATTCTCCTACCTTAGCTTCCCAAGCAGCTGGGATTACAGGCATGTGCCACCACACCCAGCTAATTTTTTGTATTTTTAGTAGAAACAAGATTTCTCCATGTTGGTCAGGCTGGTCTCAAACTCCCAACTTTAGGCAATCCACTGCCTCGGCCTCCCAAAAGTGCTGGGATTACAGGCAAGAGTCACTGCACCCAGCTGATGTAACTTCTTAAATAATTCTGAATTCTAGATTAGTAAAAGAAATAAAAAAAAATACACATGTACCTTATACACTGATTTTCTTAACTGCTTTTCTGTGATCAACACTCCCTTACTTTTACTATTTTATCCAGGATACTATTACCAAGAGTAATTCACTATCAGAAGTCTTACCTGAATCACTATTTTGAGAAGAATTTTTAGGTAGCCTTTCTTCTTTGCGTTCTGAAATTAGGTGGTGACTGCTATATATAGAAAAATATAATAAATAAAATTATTTTAATACTGATACAAAAAATACTTACCAAATATCTCAAATTCTCAAAAGTATGTCGGCCAATATCAGAGTAACAGCAGAACTTTATCCCATATACTTCAAATATATAAGCTCTACAAAATTTCTTGTTAAGCTTCAAATTAAATAAGAAAAAGAGTAATGAGAAACAGTGATGAAGTGAGGGCAGTGCAGCTGAGCAAATTAACTAGAGTTAGCTTGACATAATGGAAAGTGTCCTGAACCCAGAAGAAGTCCTAGCTCTGTAACCACCAGCTGTTTGTTCTTGGACAAGATGCTTCCCTTAGGCTCAACATCTTCTTCTAAAAAAATAAGGATTTTACTGCCTTATTTCACCACAGTTATAAAGATTTAACAAGATATCATTTTTTAAATGCTAAAGTAATGGAATAATTTGTTCCTGAATTTTATTGCTAAAACTATTTTGGAATCCCAAATAAAACCTATTAAGTGTTTCTCCAAAAGTTCTAATATTCAAATGCTGCCATTTTCAGAAAATATTACTAAGTCCTAATTTTGGTTATTAGTTATTCTATTCTTTGTGGTTTCTAATCTCAGTGAATTTCATAATTTATAACTGAATTCACTTTTAAATATAGCATCTCATTAAATTAGATAACATAATTGTCCCCTATTACTGAACTAATTGACCACAGCAAGGGCAGAAAACTAACAGATGTCAAGACCTGGCGTAGATGATGACTATTCCTTCTCTACCTCCTCAAACTCTGAACCAGCAGATCTTTGTAAGAATGACGCTTAATTTTCATGTTCATCATTCCAACTGATGTGGAAAACCCCTACTTTTATTTAGACACAGGCCGTCATTCCAGCACCCAGGCTGGAGTGCAGTGGCGCTGTCATAGTCCACTGCAGCCTGAAACTCCTGGACTCAGCCCCGAGTAGCTAGGACTACAGCAGCACGCCATCACACCTGGATCATTTGTATTATTTTGTCGTGCTGTTAAGGTCTTGCTATGTTGCTCAGGCAGGTCTCAAACTCCTGGCCTCAAGCAATTCTCCTGCCTTTGCCTCCCAAAGTGCTGGAATTACAGACATGAGCCACTGCACCAGGCCTCTACTTTTAAGTTCCATGAAGGAGATGCGAATTGACATTTTCTCATTTCTGCAATACCTACTAACAACATATTTACACATAACATCCCACATGTTAGCTCCATTCTCATTTCATAAGTCACCTTACACATGAATATTTTTGTCATGAAAATCACAATTTCAATACTGGGTGCCACCCTTTTGCTTTAACTCACACTGTTAACAAATAGTAAAATGGCCTTCCAGGGACTGTGCAAAATATGGAACGCTTCAGGAATGTGTGTGTCATCCTTATATAGGGGCCATGCTGATCTTCTCTGTATTGTTCCAATGTTAGTACACGTGCTGCTGAAGCAGGCGCAAAGCCCTACTTTTATACGTGGATACTGATGAGCCATGGAAGAGGCTTAGCTCTGTTCAATCCAACGAACCTACTTTAGGCTCAGAGAATTCTGTTGAATGGCTTCCTTGTGAGGTACAATTGTAAAATATTTTTAAAATTTAAGGTAGAGATGCAAGTAGCTTGGGAGATTTTCATTATGAAAAACAGATCACTTGAGGGCCAACCACAAGTTAGTACTCACTACTCTAGGGAAGGGCAATAGAGAACCTTTCACGGCCTAAGAAAAGCTGCTACACAATATGAAAGGGCTTTGGAGTACACACCTGGTAGCAAAGAAGAAAGGAAACTCTGTTCTCTTCCTGAAACATTATTTGAACTTCTCTGACAGAAAAATCCCAACTAATATTTGCTAAAGAAAAGAAAAACAAAAGCCTTGGTCAGGCGCAGTGGCTCACGCCTGTAATCCCAGCACTTTGGGAGGCCGAGGCGGGTGGATCACGAGGTCAAGAGATCGAGACCATCCTGGTCAACAAGGTGAAACCTCGTCTCTACTAGAAATACAAAAATTAGCTGGGCATGGTGGTGCACACCTGTAATCCCAGCTAGTCAGGAGGCTGAGGCAGGAGAATTGCTTGAGCCCAGGAGGCGGAGGTTGCGGTGAGTCGAGATCGTGCCATTGCACTCCAGTCTGGGTAACAGCAGCGAAACTCCGTCTCAAAAAAAAAAAAAAGCTTCGATGGCTAACTTACCATGAAAGTCAAGGCTTAGATATGGTCTAAGATTTTGACCAAGGCTCCACATTAAGAGTTTGAGTGTGGAGGGAAGGGTCAATCTGTGTGTGGCTAAAGCTAGGATGCCAGCTGCCAGAGCAGGGTGCTAGTGCTTTGAAAACAATGGCTCAGCCTATAAACACATGTATGTGAACTTAAAAAAAAAAGTTTTAACTTTGAAGTCTACATTTGAATCACCATGAAGACTGAGAGATCTCAATCAGTAAGAGCATCCTGTTAGCAAAGGTCAATCATTTCCAGACTGCAGGACCAGTTTCAATGGCAACAATGCGGCCACAGAATCGCTGGTAACAAAAAAATGATGAGAATGTCCTTTTTTCCCCTCCTTCTGACTTATAAAAGAGGACTGCCTTCCTTGGACTTAAAGGAACCCCTTCGGTTCTTGAAAAATTTAAGGCGGACGGCATAGCAGATGGTCCCCAGGGGACAGTTCAAGATTTTCTGCGAAACTGGACATTTCAAGACTCAAATAACCAGTTAGAAAAATTAAACATGTGATACTCTTTTTATCCCATGCATAGGGGTTATAATTGGAATGAAATTAATGATATTGGGGTCCCTATGGAGTAAGTTCGTAAAATCCTGAGATAAAAAATCCTACACCCAGTTGGACACAGTGTCTCATGCCTATAATTTCAGCACTTTGGAAAGCCGAGGCAGGCAAATTGCTTGAGACTAGGCGTTCAAGTCCAACCTAAGCAACATGGCAAAACCCCATCTCTACAAAAAATACATAAAATTAGCCAGGCCTGGTGGCATGTGCCTGTAGTCTCAGCTACTTGGGAGGCTGAGGTGGAAGAATCTCCTTAGCCCAGGGGTTGAGGCTGTGGTAAGCTCTCATCATGCCATGCACTCCAGGCTGGGTGACAGAATGAGACCTTGTCTCAGAAACAAAACAAAACAAAACAAAAAGAATCCTACACCCATTGCTGCTTCTAACTAGTCTAGCCTTTTGCTTGATTTCTGGCTGATGAAGCAGACTAATTCACTGCCATTCCAAAATTACCTGAACCAAACTATGACATCTCAACTGAAGTATAAGATGCAATCATTATAATTATTTTAAACCTCTATTTAGTGTTAACTAGCCTTTTATTGTAAACATTTACATTCTAAACCACTGAGAACAGCATAGTTTTCTGTGGTCCATCCCTAGACATATTAAGAAAAAACATCAAAACTCTGCCGAATAAAAAGTCTGACTATACTTGATGATTCATAAAATAGAGCAGGCATGAGGGGTGCTCTAAAATAAGAGAGATATGGCCAGGCACAGTGGCTCATGCCTGTAATCCTAGCACTTTAGGAGGCTGAGGCAGGTGGATCACTTGAGGTCAGGAGTTCAAGACCAGCCTGGCCAACACGGTGAAACCCCATCTCTACTAAAAATACAAAAATTAGCAGGAAATCGCTTGAATGCAAGAGGTAGAGGTTGCAGTGAGTCAGTCGTGCCACTGCACTCCAGCCTGGGCAACCAAGCAAGACTCCGTCTCAAAAAATAAATAAATAAAAATAAAATATAAGAGATAATTTTATGCTTAGAAACTTTGATAAAGTTATATATACAGATAATTTGATATACTTTAACAATTTAGTATCTTGCCTGTCTGTGTAGAATTAACTACTTACATCTATAATAGACATAGGCATCTTGGGTGCTCAAGTGTTCATCTTTGTAAATTATCACCAAGGCTAAAAGGAAAGGACCAAAAAGAGGCCTCTTGTCTCACTGGGGTATTATATAGTAGATGTCTTTTGATGGGCAAAAACTGTGCATAAGGAAAATGGTGAATGTTTATTGCAGAAATAAAAGAAAACATCGGGGAAAAAAGTACAGGTCATCAGTGCTCCACCTAGTTCCAATAACAATGGTTTAATTAAATAACGTGAGTTCCCCGACATGGTTCCAAATTCAGTTACCATGGGATTTTAACTGTGAGTAATTACATAAAGTAGAAACTTTTTGTGAGCACTTCAGTCCACAAATCACAACATAAATAACACATGCAATTAACATCAGTGACCCATCACTTCTTTCAAAGGATGCTGTTGCCAATCACTGCACACTGATTATTGAGTTTACACAGAGAGCAAAGTATGTTACTGTCTCGCCTCCTTGTCTCCCAGTGAGAAGCCCACATGATATTTTAAGAAAATGAATAATCAAAAGAGGAAATTGGTCAACAGGCATGAAACTGTAACAAAAACTGAAAAGGGATAACAGGAAGTGTAATTCAAATGAAACATGAGTGTAGTTATAGAAGAAATAGCAACAATTCACAAAAACAGATGTTTCCTTGGTATTTCAAGTATTTTTGCCAAATAAATCAATTCTAAATCTAATTGAAGCTCTATATTTACAGAAATACAGGGGGCAGAGACACATGTTGTGTTAGGCTGTTTTTCTGTTGCTATAAAGAAATACCTGAGACTGGCTAATTTATAAAGGAAAAAGGTTTAATTGGCTCACAGGTCTGCAGGCTTTACAGGAAGCATGGTGCTGGCCTCTATCTGCTCACCTTCTGTCTGGGGGCTTCCATTCATAGCAGAAGGCATTGAAGGCAAAGTGAGAATAGGATTCTCATATAAAGAGACTGGGAGCAAGAGAGCAAGCCGGGAAGGTGCCACACACTTTTAAACAACAGATGTCCTGAGAACGAACTCACTCTCAGTGGGACAGCACCAAGTTATACAAATCCGTCCCCTTGACCCAAATGTCTCCCACAAGTCCCCACCTCCAACATTGGGGATTATATCTCAACATGAGTATATTAGTTCATTTTCATACTGCTATAAAGAAACTACCAGAGACTGGGTAATTTATCAAAGGATTTATAAAAATTGACTCACCGTTATGCATGGTTGGAGGGTGGGCCCTCAGGAAACTTCCAATTATAACAGAAGGTAAAGGAGAAGCAAGACACATCTTACACGGAGGCAGGAGAGACAGTGGGCAAAGAGGAAATACCAGACACTTATCAAACTATCAGATCTCATGAGGACTCTCTCATTATCACAAGAACAGCAGAGGTAACTGCCCCCATGATCCAATCACCCCCCGCCAAATCCCTCGAACCACACAAGGGAGTCATAATTCAAGATGAGATTCAGGTGGGGACACAGAGCCAAACCCTATCAATGAGATTTGGATGGGACATGCAATCTATAACACAGGTTAAATAATACCACAGAATGCGATCAGAAAATGCGGAGTGTTGAAATACCACAGGGTAAATAATCCGGTTTCTTCAATTAAAACTAAAGAAACCAAGAGTGCAACTAAAAACAGATGTAGGTGACACATGTAGGTGATATACTCAAAAACATCAAAGGAAACTTAAGACATGTTGTCATCCAATTGTAATGTATAGTCCTCATTTGGATCCCAATTAAAATAACTATAAAATAATGATAATTATAATAATTTACAAGATGAAAATCTTGAAAACTGACTGAATATCTAATTTGATGCATTAAGAGTTATGTCTAAATTGTCTCAAGGTCTTAGGGTGTCAGGGCCTGTGGTTTACATCATTAATATATAAAAATGCATACAGAAATATTTGTAGATGAAACAATGTTTGAATTTTCTAATAAACTGAGGACACGTATATTATACCTCAGGCTAATAATGAGGAATATGGGGGAAGTGTGTGGAGGTATAGATGAAGCACAATTGGCCAGGTGTTGATCATTAGTAAACTGATTAAACAGTAAATTAGGTTCATCAAACTATTAACGTTTTCTCTACCTTAGCAAATGTTTGAAAATTCTGTACTAGATAAACAAAACTCTAGGAGCATAATAAAACCAAATACCCACTGATGTACCCCAAAGTGCTGAGTTTACAGTGAGTACTAGATTAATATTTAATAATCCTGTTTTTTGAAACAGAGTTGTGCTCTTGTTGTTCAGGCTGGAGTGCAATGGCACAATCTCCTCTCCCTTCAACCTCCGCCTCCTGAGTTCAAGAGATTCTCGTGCCTCAGCCTCCCAAGTAGCTGGAATACAGGCACCCACCACAAGGCCCAGCTTTTCTTTTTTTATATATTTTTAATAGAGACAGAGTTTCTCCATGTTGGCGAGGCTGGTCTTGAACTCCTGGCCTCAGGTGATCTGCCCACTTCAGCCTCCCAAATTGCTGGGATTACAGCGTGCACCACCATGCCAGGCCCAAAGGATTCATTTTGTTACAGCTGTCATAAGAATAACTCATGTGGTTTATCAAAAACACCTTATTATTACATTATAGTTACTGACTAGAACAAAAATGATCATGAAGATGTTTCAAAGAATATGTTCCACTTTAATCGGCTAAAAAATATTTGGTATATAATCATTATTACCAAATGTGGGATTGGCATCAAAATAATTATCAAAAATAATTTTTAACTGATTATTCCATGTTGTGTTTAATGATAGAAGAATTATTTAATTTTTCCAAATTAAGATGAGCAACTCACTCAGATCTTTAGCCCAGGAAGGAGTAGGTGAGGCATAGCCTGCTTTCTTGGCTGTCGATTACTTCTGGAAATGATGTCGAAGGCCTTGCTGGGGAAGATGCACCTGGTAAATGATGTGGGCAGATAACTAAGAGTATAATTACTCAGGAGCCTGATAAATGTCTACATTTCAAAATGGCAAGGTTTCTACTTTGGGAAGCCAAGGTGGGTGGATCACTGCAGGTCAGAACTTGGACACCGGCCTGACCAATACTGCAAAACTTTGCCTCTACTAAAAATACAAAAATTAGCCAGCCATGGCAGAATCTGTCTGTACTCCCAGCTGCTTCAGAGACAGAGATAGGAGAATAGGGTGAACCTGGATGGGGAGGATGCAGTGAGCTGAGATCATGACACTGCACTCCACCCTGGGCCAAGGACTAGATTTAGATTTTTTTCATATAGATTGTCTCAAATCAACCAAACAAGACAAAACGTTTATATATTTTATGGTTTATAAAAAATCTTAACTCTGGTTGTTACTTAGAATTTCTATTCCACAGAAGTTTCTTAAGTGCTATTTTTGTACTAAACTTGAAGAATTTTGTAATGTACATTGGCATGCAGAGTACAAATATATCCCCATCATTTTAGGATCCCTTTACAGCATTAGGAGTATTGTAATTTTCTTAAATACCAAAAAAAAAGTTAACAATTTGCAATCTTTCCAATTGAAGGGCACGAATTCCAGCTCATGCTGCTTCTGCACTGGGAATTTGGCGCCACAATAATAAACTGAGGCATCAATGACACACTTCTCTCAACAGTAAATCTAAGAATGAAATGTTTATTTTCAGTGGTTTTGCTATTTCCTGGGGATTATGGAGGAAATGCTTGGTTAGGATACAAATGGTGGAAGATTATACCATGAAATAAAAGGTGAGAGATCAAGTAGAACATGCTATTGTATTACTAATATTTTACTATGAAGAGGGCATCATCATAAATACAGGGATTTGGAGCTCATCTTAGCCCTTCCCCCCAGGTTCGTTCAATACATACCATTTTATTAAAGTTGTGTGTATACCTGTCAGTCTAACCTACTAGTTGAACAGCTCCCCTAATTGATTCTTCCATTTCTCTACCATATCTTGCCTCGAGTCAATTCTAAAGAAACGTTTGATGAAAGAAGGTAAATACCAATAACATGTGTAAAGGGCTGCATCTAGAAAGGCGCTCTATCCACGTGAGCATTAGAAAAATGTGATGTACTCAGTGTATGAATTTTAGAAAATTTCCCCATTACATTTGCTAGTTTAAATGAATATGTGTGTTATTTTCAAAAACATGTAAACTGAATATATACTTATTGAATGCATATATATTATATACACACATTAAATATGTATACATATAACATGTACACATGTTAACATAACAGAGTAGACTTAACTCATGGCAATGTTTTTTTTCTGAAAGCACCTGCAGATATTTGTCTTTCTAGTTTCAAAAACCCTCAGAAGCCATGGGGGAAAGGGGACCCTTTGGATGTCAGACAGTGCATGAGGCACACTTGGTTACAGTAATTTTAACCTAATTCATATTCATAATGCACAGTGAGGAAACCAGAAAATTGCTAGCAGCCGTCAATGAATAACAGGTGGGGCGGGCTGCTGGGTGGCTGGGCCTTGTGAGCCGGTGCCTGGGCTCCCACATCACAGATGGAAGGGCCGCACGTGGAGGGAACTCAAGGCCTGATTGGTTCCTCCTAAGCAGGACGCGATCTGGTTGGCAGGGCAACCGGCCTTCAGTTGGGGGCCTTCAGTTGGGGGCCTTCAGTTAGTGCCTTTAAAGTTGGTTTCATTCCGCTGGGAGAGTCAGCAGGTGCTGAGCCGTGCAGACCTGGAAGCAAGCAAAGACCCAAGGTGCCCAGGAACAGCAGAGGCTTCCCATAAAAACCACGCTGACCTGTCACATGTGGACCAAAGCCAGCCCCAAGCAGGGCGGGTGCTGGGGTTCTGCAGAGCCGTCCTGCTCTAACATCTATGAGTGGGCGGCCAGCAAAGGTGCAGCCCTAGCAGAGAGGAGTTACAGGCGCCCTGAACACGCTGTACCCCAATGCCAGCCCCAGGCGTCCCCGGCTCAGGGTGAGGGGGGCGGAGCCGTTCTTCAGCTTCGATTCAGATCTACAAGATGGAGATGGCTCTAGTGCCTGACCCCGCTGCTTTGGAGCACCCTGGCCACCAGAAGATGCCCAAAGGTAGGGAGGCAACGGATACCGCTTGGCCTCAGGGATCCTCTGGCCGTTGCTGACCCAAAGTTCCCCCTAGAGACATCCACAACCCGGGACTCCTCCCTCCCTCCCTTTGTTAGCTTTCCTAGGCCCAGCTCCCAGGCAGGAAGACTGGCTCTGCCTCGAGTCCCCACCCCTTCTTCTTTCGCTGTTGTGTCTGGCCGGTTTCCTTCCTCTTCCCTACCCCAGTGCCCACTTCTGGGACCTCTTCTTCTTCCCACAGGTGGCCGAAAACTAAGTTTACAAAATACAGAATGGATGCTACAGATTTCACTGCTGTAGAGAAAACGTCTGGCACCTTTCTTTTTTTTTTTTTTTTTTTTTTTTTTTTTTTTGAGACGGAGTTTCGCTCTTGTTACCCAGGCTGGAGTGCAATGGCGCGATCGCGGCTCACCGCAACCTCCGCCTCCTGGGTCCAGGCAATTCTCCTGCCTCAGCCTCCTGAGTAGCTGGGATTACAGGCACGCGCCACCATGTCCAGCTAATTTTTTGTATTTTTACTAGAGACGGGGTTTCACCATGTTGACCAGGATGGTCTGATCCCTTGACCTCGTGATCCACCCGCCTCGGCATCCCAAAGTACTGGGATTACAGACGTGAGCCACCACGCCCGGCCTTGGCACCTCTTCTATTTAAACTTAAGGAGCCACAGTGGAGCTGTTTTCCAATGCCAGCCCCAAGCGGGGCCAGCTCAGGCTGAGGTGGGCGGAGCCATCCTGAGGCTCTGCGATCCAGGAGGTGGAGGTGAAGGTGGGAGCAGCGCCAGACACCTCTGCTTGGAGTCTGCCCAATCTGATGCGGGGAGCAGAAGACACCCAAAGGTAGGGAGGCCACAGATACCGCTTGCTCTCAGGAGCTCCTCTGGCCATTGCTGTCCCAAGTTTCCCCCCGGAGACAGCCACAGCCTGGGGCTCCTCCCTCCTGCTCCTGGTTCGCTTTACTAGGCCCAGGCCCCGAGCAAGAGAACTGACTCTAGGACTCACAATTTCGTATGTTCAATTCTAGACCGGAGCTCTATACTAAAGTAATGTCAGAGGTTCTCTTCTTGTTTCTACTCATGAAAAATGGTTTTTTTTATAGAGACAGGGTCTCACCGTGTTGCCCAGGCTGTTCTCAAACTCTTGGTCTCAAGTGATTAACCCACCTTGGTCTCCCACATTGCTGAGCTGACAAGCAAGAACCACCACACCTGGGCTTTGGATAGGCTCCTGCTCTGTGTGTTTCAGCTGGTCTTCCTGCTCAGCTGTCAGGAAGATGCTCCTGCAGCATCGTTTCAAATCTTTCTGCAAAAATCCAGTGGATCCTGTGATTTATTAGCATAGAATAGCCTATTATTTGTAGAAGAGAAGCTAAACAATTCACAGTTAGTAACTTATGGCCTAGAAATTTTTATTTCATGATCAACACAACTGTTTATAGATGCTTGTGGTCCAAAAATGCAGATTCCTAATCATCCCCAAGGAGAAGTGATCCACTGAAAGACAACCTGGGAGGGAGTTTAGGATTGTTCTGAGGCTGTGAAAACCAATGAAATTCACACGTAAGAGGGTAGAGAAAGGGAATCTGCATGTTTTGATCCTACACGTGCTGGGTGTAACTTGGTCTTTGTAAAGTTGCACCACCTTTGAGGCAGGGAGGACTGGATTTGAATCCCAGTTCTATCACTCATTATGACTTGATGGTCAATGTGCTTTTAACTCCTCTGAGCCTCAGTTTGCTCATCTGTTAAAGGTGGGATTGTTATGAGGACTGCATAAGGTAAGTGTGTAAAAATCTGGGAATGATGCCTGTAATTTAAAGACAAAGTTGTTATGTGACTTCAATAAGGTAAGTAAAAGTCTGTACACAGTGTCTTTAATTTTGTGATTGTTCAATATATGGAGAAGGATTATTTTTCTTTAATTTTTAAACAAGTTTATCAAATTGGTATTAAAAATATTTTTGAGATAATCAAAGGATCAGTAAGTTTAAATCACCATAGTCAGGAAGCAGTTCACAATCTATTTACTGAGTAAGTGCTAGTTAAAAGTAGAAATGGGCCAGATGCAGTAGCTCAGGCCTATGATCCCAGCACATTGGGAGGCCAAGGTGGGCGGATCACCTGAGATCCGGAGTTCAAGACCAACCTGACAAACACGGGGAAACCCTGTCTCTAGGTGATGGGGAGGAAGGCAGCAAATCACACCGCCACGTGTGTACCTATGCAGCAATCTTGCATGTTCTTCACATGTACCCCAAAACCTAAAATGCAATTAATAAAAAAGTTTGGGAAAAAAAATAAAGAAAATGGGAAAAAATAAAGATTAATTCAAAACAAAACAAACAAAAAAAGAAACCCTGTCTCTACTAAAAACACAAAACTAGCTGAGTATGGTGTCACATGCATGTCATCTCAGCTCCTCGGGAGGCTGAGGCAGAGAATTGCTTGAACACGGGATGCGGAGGTTGCACTGAGTCAAGATTGCGCCATTGCTCTCCAGCCTGGCCAAGAAGAGTGAAATTTCATCTAAAAATGTAATGATGATCACAATGAAAATCTTGTATTATATGGTGGTTTTCTCTTACCTAAGCCTCCTGATTTGTCGAAACCAAAGATTTGAAATTGTTCTATCAAATTGACCATTAGAAAAACATGATGTACTTAGTATATAAATTTTACACAATTTTCTCACTCTTAATTTGCTTAAATATGTGCATTTAAAATTAAGAATATAATTGTGAATATGTATTAACATATTTCATATATCGTATCAATTATATATATATCATAGATCAAAAGATCACAGAGTAATCTCAGTTCGTGGCACTGTTTTTTCTGAAAGCACCTGCAGAAATTTGCATTCTGTGTAGTTTCCAGAAAACTCAGAGGCCGTGGGGTATAAGGGTCTTTGAAAGTCAGGTTGTACATGAGGTAAGTTAGGATACAGAAATTTCACCTGAATTCATATTTATTATTCACAGTAAAGAAAGTTGCTACCAGCTACCAATAAATGAAAGGTGGGATGGGGTAGTTGGAGGGGTGGGGCTTTGTGAGCCAGTGCCCAGACTCCCACCTCACAAATAACAGGCCGACGCCTAGAGGGAACTCACATCCTGATTGGTTCTTCCTAAGCAGAACACGATGTGGTTGGCAGGGCAACCGGCCTTCATTATTAGGTGGCTTTCATTTAGGGCCTTCAGTGGGTGCCTTAAGTTGGTGCCATTTGGTTGCCTTTCCTGGGGAGAGGCAGGAGGTGCTCAGCTCTGCAGAAATGAGGACAAGCAGAGGCCCAAGCTGCCCCAGAAGAGCAGAGGGGCCCCATGGGGACCATGCTGCCCTGTGGCAAGTGCACTCAAGCCAGCCCCAGGCAGGGCCAGCACAGGGGTTCCGTGGAGCTGTTCTGTGACTTTGATATCAATGAGCGGGCGGCCAGCAATGGTGCAGGTCACAGCAGAGAGGAGCAGAAGCTTCTGAAACATGCTGTCACCAGTGCCAGCCCCAAGCGTGGCCGGATGGGGGTGCGGTGGGTGAAGTCATCCTGAACTCTGAGATCCATGAGCCACTTCATGGTGGAAGCAGCGCCAGACACCCATGCTTGGAGCCTGCCAAATCTGATTCCGGTGTCCTGACCTGCAGCACATTACATTGGTGATGCGACCAGAAGGCGTCCAAAGGTAGGGAGGCCGCAGATACCACTTGGTCAGATACCTCTGGCTGTTGCTGACCCAAGGTACCCCCCAGAGGCATCCACAGCCCCAGGCTCCTCCCTCCTGCCCCTAGTTGGCTTTCCTAGGCCCAGGCTCTAGGCAGAAGGACTGGCTCTGCCTGGACTGCCCACCCCTTCGTCTTTCCCTGTTGCATCCAGCCGGTTTCTTTTCTCCTCGCTTCCCAAATGCCCACTTCTAGGCCCTCTTCGTCTTCTTCCCCTAGGCTGGTCAGAAACTAAAGTTTTCAGAATACAAAATGGATGCTACAGATTTCAGTGCTGTAGAGAAAATGTCTGAAAGCTCTTCTATTTAAACTTAAGTAGCCACATTGGGACTCACAATTTTATATCTTGAGTTCTAGACCAAAGTTCTCTATTCTAAAGCAGTGGCAGTGGATTGCAGGTACTCTTCCTGATTCTAATAATAAAAAATAATCGTTTTTTTCTAGAGACAGGGTCTTACTGTGTTGCCCAGGCTGGTCTCAAACACCTGGCCTCTAGTGATTCATTCACCCTCTTTGGCCTCCCACATTGCTGGGATGACAGGCAAGAACTACCGCACCTGGCCTCTGGAGGCGCTCTCGCTTTGTGTGCCTCTGCAGGTCTTCCTGCACAGCTGTCAGTTACATGGTCCTACAGCAGAGTCCACCCTTTCTGTCCAAGTTCAGTGGATACTGTGATTTTTTACATGGAATAGCCTTTTATTTATTGCAGAGAAGCTAGACAATTCAAAGTAAGTAACCTGTGGCCTAGCAAATTTCATTTCTTGATCAACACAGCTTTTAAAAAGTGTTTCTTTTGGTCTAAATACGCAGATTCCTAATCATCACCAAGAAAAAGGGAACCACTGCAAGGCAAACTGGGAGGATGTTTAGGATTGTTCTGAGGCGTGAACGCCACTGAAATTCACACATGAGGGTGTAGAAAAGGGAATCCGTCTGTTTTGATCCCTCTGTGTTCTGGGTATAACTTGGTCCTCATTAAATTGTACCATTCTTGGCATCAGAGAAAACTGGAGATGAATCCCAGTTCCATTCTTCATTATGAGGTCATAATGAATGTGTTTCTAACTCATCAGAGCCTCAGTTTGCTCAACTATAAAAGATGTGATTTTTATGAGGCCTCCATAAGGTAAGTGTGTAAGAATCATGCCAAAGTGCTTATAATTCAAAAAGAGGGTTGTTATGAGGCTGCTATAAGGTAAGTGTGTAAAAGTGTGGACACAATGCCTATAATTTTGTAAGTGTTCAACATATGGAGAAGAAGGATTATTTTTGTCTCATTTAATTTTTAGAGCAAGTTTATAAAGTTGATGATACTCACATTTTTGAGATAATCAAACCAAGGACCAGAAAGACCAAACAAATCACCACAGTCACAATGCAATTCACAATACATTTACTGGGTAGATTTTAGTTAAAAGTACCAATGATAATCACATTGAAAATCTTGTATTTTGTGGTGGTGTTCTCTTACATAAACCTTTCAGTTTGTTGAAACTATAAATTCTAAGTTGCTCTATCAAAGTGATCATTAGAAATCTGATGTACTTGGTGTGTACAGTTTAGAAGATTGTATATTATTTTCAAAAGTGTAAAACGAATATATGTGAATTGGATGTATATATACATATATATGAAATGTGACTTGACATTATAGAATAGGCATACCTCATGGCAAGGCTTTTATCTGAAAGCCTGTGCAGAAATCTGTCTTTTTTTTTTGTTTCGAAAAATCTCAGAGCTTATGGGGGAAAGGGGGTTCTAGGAATCCCAGCTAGTGCATGAGGCAGATTTGATTTCAGTAATTTTAACATCATTCATTGTAAGATGATGATCGCTAGGAACATCATCACAGTGAGAAATCTGAAATCTCCTAGCAGCCAGCAATGAATGAAAGGTGGGGTGGGGCTGCTGGCAGGGTGGGGACAATGGCAGGGTGGGGCCTTGGAGCCATGTGCCTGTGCTCTCATGTTCCAAGTTTAGGGACAGGCATGCAGGGGACTCTGGGCCTGATTGTTTCCTCTTCACCAGGATGCAGTCTGAATGGCAGGGCAACTGGCCTTCACCTGGTGACGTTAACTGAGTGCCCCCATTGGTTGCCTTGGGTTGGTAATCTCACCTGGTTGTCTTCAGGTGGTGGCCTTGAGTTGTTGGGCAGCGGTGGAAGGAGCTCCATTGATGTTCTCTCCTCCCGCAGTCACAGCTCTCAGCTCTAAGTCACAGCATCCAGGCCCATTCTGAATAAACCAGGCAGGGTGGTGGCTGTTGCAGATAAGTCAGCTCAGGGTGACCAGGTGAGGGAGGGTGAGGCTGTTAGTGGTGTGCAGCTCCATGGCCTGGGTGCTGCCTGTGTCAGCCATGCCTATGCTGAGAAGAGGTGGCAGGTGCTGAGCTCTGCAGACGTGGCTGCAGTGAAGGCCCAAGCTGCCTGACATGCTGATCTGCCCCTTGTGGATCACACTGACCACATGCACCAAACACAGCCCGAGGCATGGCCGGGCAGGGATTCTGTGGAGCCATTCTGGGCTCTGACATCTATGAGTGGGTGCCTAACAGAGACACAGTCCCAGCAGAGAGGAGCAGAGGTGCCCAGAACAACCTGTACCCCAATGCCAGCCCCAAGCATGGCAAGCTCAGGGTGCAGTGGGAAGAGACGTCCTGACACTCTAAGATCTACCACACAGAGGTGGCAGTACGCCAGACCTCACTGCTGTGGAGCCTGCATGGTTGGATTTGGGAGCCGGAGAGCGTCCTGACTTGCAGCACATTGGCGACCAGAAGACACCCAAAGGTAGGAAGGCAACAGACACTGCTTGGCCTCAGGAGCTCCTCTGGCAATTGTTCACCCAAGGTTGCACCTGGAGGCATCCACAGTATGGGGCTCCCCCCTCCTTCCCCTAGTTAGCTTTCTTAGGCTCAGGCCACAAGCAAAAGGACTGGGTCTGCCTTGCCTTCCCAGCTTATCTTGGTTCCCTGCTGGGTCCATCCAGTTTCCTTCCTCCTTCCTACCCCAATGCTGAGTTCTGGGACCTCTTCTGCTTCCCCCAGGCTGGCCAGAAACTAAGTTTCCAAACTACAAAATGAATGCTACAGATTTCATTGCTGTAGAGAAAATGTCTAACGTTTCTTTTATTTAGACTTAAATAGCCCTATTGGGACTCACAATTTGATATCTTGATTTCTGGACTAGAGCTCTCTGTCTTCAAGCAATGTCAGAGGGTCAGAAGTATGTCCTCTTAATTCTAATCATTAAAAAAAATTTTTGCGGGGGGAGAGGCAGGGTGTCACCTTGTTCCCCAGGCTGGTCTCTAACTCCTGGTGTCAAGTGATCCACCCACCTTCCCTTCCCACATTGCTGGGCTGACAGGCAAGAACCACCACACCTGGACTTCGGAGGTGCTCTTGCTTTGCGAGTTTCCACTGCTCCTCCTACCCAACTGTCAGTGAGATGCTCCTGAGACATCATTCCAAAGTTTTCTAGACAAATTCAGTGAATCCTGTGATATTTTACATGTAATAATACCTTTGCTTATTGCAGATAAGCTAGACAATTCACAGTAACCTAGGTCCTAGAAATTTTCATATCTATTTTTTTTTTTTAGATAAAATTTTGCTCTTGTTGCCCAGGCTGGTGGGCAATGACAGCATCTTAGGTCATTGCAACCTCTGCCTCCTGGGTTCAAGTGTTTCTCCTGCTTTAGCCTTCTGAGTAGCTGGGATTAGAGGCATTCACCACACACTCAGCTAATTTTGTCCTTTTTAGTAGAGATGGAGTTGCACCATGTTGGTCAGGCTTGTCTCGAACTCCTGACCTCAGGACATCTGCGCACCCTGGCTTCCTAAAGTACAGGTGAGAGTCACCATCATCCCTGGCCAAAAGTTTCATTTCTTGATCAACAAACCTGTTTCTAAGGAGATGCTTGTAGTCTAAATATGCAGATTCCTAGTCATTTGTAAGCCGAAGGGAACCACGGCAAGGCAACCTGGGAGGGAGTTTAGGTTAGTTCTGAGGCCATGAAAGCCATTCAGATTCACACATAAGAGAGAAGAGAAAGGGCATCCACATGTTTTGACTGCCTCCACTTGCTCAGTATAACTTGGTCTTGGTTATGTTGCACTGCCTTTGGCGTCAGAGAGAACGGGATTTGAATCCCAGTTCCATCACTCATTAGGACGTGATGATGAATGTGTTTTTAACTCCTCTGAACCTCAGTTTGCTCATCTATTAAAGATGGGATTATTATGAGCCTTCCATAATATTAGGGTGTAAAAATTGGTGTGGACACAATGCCTGTAATTTAAAGAATAGGGTTTTTTAAGGCTTCAATAAGGTAAGTGTGTAAAAATCTGGACACAATGTCTATAATTTTGTAAGTCTTCATTCTATAGAGAAGGAGAATTTTTTTTTTAATTTTTAGAGCAAGTTTATAAAAACTGGTGTTACTCATATTTTTGACATGATCAAACCAAGGATCTGAAAAATTCAATGAGTCACTAGAGTCACAAAGCAGTTCACAATACATCTACTGGGTAATTGCCTGTGGAAACTAGCAATGCTGATTACATTGAGTCACTATGGTTACAGTGCAGTTCACAGTACATTTACCGGGTCATTCAAAGTAGCAAAGGTGATCACATTTAAACACTAGTATTAAGAGAATGCTTTTCTCTTACATAAGCCTCCTTGGCTGTTGAAGCCATCGATTCTAAGTTGATGTATCAAAGTGATCATTGGGAAACTGTGATATATTAGTGTATAAATTTTAGAAAATGTCCTCAATTACTCTTACTAATTTGATTGAATATGTGTTATTTTCAAAATTATGAATGGAATATGTATGGATTGAATGCATATGTATATATCTATATGAAATATAATTAGACATCACACAGTAGACTAAGCTCATGGCAATTTTGTTTCTGAAAGTACCAGCAGAAATCTGTCATTTTTGTAGTTTGTAAAAAACTCAGAGGTTATGGGGTAAAGGAGATTCTATGAATTCCAGCTAGTGCAAGAGCCAGATTTGGCTTCAGGAATTTTAGCATAATTCATTGTAAGGTGATAAACCTTAGGAACTTCAAGACAGTGAGAAACCTGAAAGCTCTTAGCAGCCAGGAATGAATGAAAGGTTGGATGCGGTGGCTGGCAGGGTGGGGCCTTGTGAGCCACGTGCCTGGTCTCTCAAGTTCCAAGTTGGCAGGGACACATGGAGGGGACACTGGGCCTGATTGTGTCCTCTTAACCAGTATATGGCCTGGTTGGCAGGGCAACCCACCTTCACCTGGTGGCCTTCAGAGGGTGCCTTCATTGGCTACCTTTGTTTAGTGCCCTCAGTTGGTGCTCTTCAGTTGTTGGTCTTCAGTTGGTTTGGCAGTGGTGGAAGGAGAGGAGCTCCATCTGTGCTCTCTCCTCCTAAAGTCACAGTTCTCAGGCTTGTTGCACCTAGGCACACTCTAAATAAACCAGGCAGGTTTGCAACTTTTACAGACAAGTCAACTCAAGGTAGGTGGGTGAGGTAAGGTGCGAGATGCTAGTGGAAGGCAGCACTATGGCCAGAGTTGCAGCACATTGGCGACAAGAAGACAACAAAAGGTAGGGAGGCAACGAATACTGCTTGGCTCATCTGTATGTTATGTTATGCTCATCTATAAAAGATTGGATACAGCAGGAGCTCCTCAGGCCACTGCTGACTCAAGGTTCCCCCCAAAGACATCCACAGCCTGGGGCTCTTCCTCCTGACCCTAGTTAGCTTTCCCAGCCCCAGGCCCCAAGCAGGAGGACTGGCTCTGCCTCGAGTCCCCACCCATTCTTCTTTCTTCCTATCCCAATGCCCAGTTCAGTTTCCTCTTCATCTTGCCCCAAGCTGCCTGAATGCTAAGTTTTCAAAATTTAAAAATGTAAGCTACAAATGTCATTGCTATAGAGAAAATGTCTGAAAGCTTTTCTAGTTCAACTTAAGTAGCAACTGTGAGACTTACAATTTCATATCTTGAATTCCAGACCATGCCCCTATATCATAAAGCAATGTTAGAGGCACTCATCTTGATTCTAATCATATAAAAAAAAATTTTGTAGAGACAGATTCTCACTGTGTTGCCCAGGCTAGTCTCAAACTCCTGGCCTCAAGTGAATCACATTGCTACGGTGACAGGCAAGAACCACCACCCCTGGCCCTTGGAGGTGCTCTTTGTGTGTATAGTCTGGTCTTCCTGCACAGCTGTCAGTAAGGTGCTGCTGCAGCATAGTTCTAAATCTTTCTGCAAATTCAGTGGATCCTGGATGTTTTTTACGTGGAATAGCCCTGTGTTTTATAGAAAGGCTAGACACTTCACAGTTAGTAACCTAGGGCTTAGAAAATTTTATTTCATGATCAACACATCTCTTGGCCTAGAAATTGTCTTTTCTTAATCAAAGCACCTGTTTATAAGGAGCTAAATATGTGGTCTAAATATGCAGCTTAGTAATCATCCCCAGGAAGAAGGGAACCACTGCAAGGCAACCTGGGAGGGAGTTTAGGATTGTTCTGAGGCCATAAAAAACCATGAAACTCACAAAAAAAAAAAGGGTAGAGAAACGGAACCCACATGTTTTCACTCCCTCCATCTGCTGGGCACAATTAATCTTTGTTATGTTGCACAACTTTGGTGTCAGAAGGAACTGGATTTGAGTCCCAATTCCATCACTCATTATGACATGGTAGGGAATGTGTTTCTAACTCCAGTGAGCCTCAGTTTGCTCATCTATAAAGGATGGGAGTGTTATATACCTTCCATAAGGTATGTGTGTAAAAATCTGGCCATAATGCCTGTAATTTAAAACATGAGGTTGTTCTGGGGCTTCCATAAGGTAAGCGTGTAAAATCTGGGCATAATAAATGTAATTTAAAACATGCGGTTGTTATGTGGCTTTGTAAGACAAATACATAAAAATCTGGATACGACGTCTATAAATTTGTAAGTGTTCAATATATGCAGAAGGAGAATTATTTTTCTCTCTAATTTTTAGAACAAGTTTATAAAATTGTTGTTGTATTTTGAGGTTAATCAAACTAAGAATCAGAGAGATTAAATATGTCACCATAGTCACAAAGCAGTTCACAATACATACTGGGTAATTGTTATTTATTACAGCAATGAGGATCACATTTAAAATACTGTATTATGTGGTGGTTTTCTCTTCCATAAGCCTCTTTCTTTGTTGAAACCATGAAGTTTAAGTTGTTCTATGAAAGTGATCAATAGAAAATTGTGATGAAGCTTAGTGTATAAATTTTAGAAAATTTCTTCTACTAGTCTTGTTAATTTGCTTGAATGTATGTGTCATTTTCAAAAAACAGAAGTTGAACATATATGTATTGAATACATTTGTGCATATGTATGTGTTTAAAACTTTACATTACAGGGTAGGCTTAAGTCATAGCAAAGTTTTTTTTCTGAAAGCACATGCAGAAATCTATCATTTTTCTAGTTTCTATGAAGCTCAGAGGTTATGGGGGAAAGGGGGTTCTATGAATCCAAGACACTGCATGAGGCAGATTTGGTTTCAGTAATTGTAGCATCATTCATTATAAGGTGATGATCCCTAGGAACCTCAGCACAGTGAGACACCCAAAACCTCCCAGTAGCCAGCAATGAATGAAAGGTGGGGTGGAGCCTATGGCAGGGCAAGGCCTAAGAGCCATGTGCCTGTGCTCTCAAGTTCCAAGTGTAGGGGGAGGCATGCAGCAGACTCTGGGCCTGATTGTTTCCTCTTAACCAGGATGCAGTCTGGATGGCAGGGCAACTGGCCTTCACCTGGTGGCCTTCACTGGGTACCCTCATTGGTTGCCTTGGCTTGGCACCCTCAGCTGCTGGTCTTCAATTGGTGGCCTTGAGTTGTTGGGCAGCAGCAGAAGGAGCTCCACCGATGTTCTTTCCTCCTGCAGTCACAGCACTCAGGCTTGTCGCATCCAGGCCCATTCTGAATAAACCAGGCAGGGTGGTGGCTGTTGCAGATTAGTCGGTTCAGCGTGAGCAGGTGAGATGGGGAGGGCTGCTAGTGACATGCAGCTCCATGGCCTGCTGCTACCTGTGCCAGCCATGCCTATGCTGGGAAGAGGTGGCAGGCACTGAGGTCTGCAGATGTGGGGGCCAGTGAAGGCCCAAGCTGCCTGAGATGTGCTGAGATGCCCTTTGTGGATCACACTGACCACATGCACCAAATTCTGTGGAGCCATTCTGGCCTCTGATATCTATTAGTGGGTACCCAACAAAGGTACAGTCCCAGCAGAGAGGAGCAGGGGTGCCCAGAACAACCTGTACCCCAGTTCCAGCCCCAAATGGGGGCAAAACTCAGGGTGTAGTAGGAAGAGACGTCCTGACACTCTGAGATCTACCACGTGGAGGTGGCAGTACGCCAGACCTCACTGCTTTGGAGCCTGCACGGTTGGATTTGGGAGCCGGAGAGCATCCTGACTTGCAGCACATTGGTGACCAGAAGACATCCAAAGGTAGGGAGGCGACAGACACTGCTTGGACTCAGGAGCTTCTCTGGCCATTGCTGACCCAAGGTTGCACCTGGAGGCATCCACAGCATGGGGCTCCTCCCTCCTTCCCCTAGTTAGCTTTCTTAGGCTCAGGCCACAAGCAAAAGGACTGGGTCTGCCTTGCCTTCCCAGCTTATCTTGGTTCCCTGCTGGGTCCATCCAGTTTTCTTCCTCCTTCCTACCCCAATGCTGAGTTCTGGGACCTCTTCTGCTCCCCCACGTTGGCCAGAAACTAAGTTTCCAAACTGCAAAATGCTACAGATTTCGTTGCTATAGAGGAAATGTCTAACATTTCTTCTATTTAAACTTAAATAGCCCTATTGGGTCTCACAATTTCATATCTTGATTTCTGGACTAGAGCTCTGTATTCTAAAGCAAGGACAGAGGGTCAAAAGTACTCTTCTTGATTCTAATCATTAAAAAATTGTTTGTAGAGGCAGGGTCTCACTGTGTTCCCCAGGCTGGTGACTCCTGGTGTCAAGTGATCCACCTGCCTTGGATTTTCACATTGCTGAGCAGATAGGCAAAACCAGCACACCTGGACTTTGGAGGTGCTCTTGCTTTGCGTGTTTCCACTGCTCCTCCTGCCCAGCTGTCAGTAAGATGCTCCTACAGCATCGTTCCAAATCTTTCTTCACAAATTCAGTGGATCCTGTTATGTGTTACAAGTAATGTCACCTTGGCTAATTGCAGATAAACGAGACAATTCACAGTTAGTAACCTAGGCCATAGAAATTTTTATATCTTTTTTGAGATAAAATTTTGCTCTTATTCTCCAGGCTGGAGTGTAATGAGACAATCTTAGGTTGTTGCAACCTCTGCCTCCTGGGTTCAAGCAATTTTCCTACCTTAGCCTTCTGAGTAGCTGGAATTAGAGGCATTTGCCAGACTCTTGGCTAATTTTGTCCTTTTTAGTAGAGATGGAGTTTCACCATGTTGGTCAGGCTTGTCTCAAACTCCTGGCCTCAGGACATCTGCCCACCCTGACTTCCCAAAGTTCAGGCGAGAGCCACCATTCCTGGCAAAAAGTTTCACTTCTCCATCATTAAGCCTGTTTCTAAGGAGATGCTTGTAGTCTAAATATGCAGATTCCTAGTCATTTCCAAGAGAAAGGGAACCACTGCAAGGCAACCTGGGAGGGAGTTTAGGATGGTTCTGAGGCCATGAAAGCCATTCAAATTCACACATAAGAGGGTAGAGAAAGGGAATCCACATGTTCTGACTGCCTCCATGTCCTGAGTATAACTTGGTCATTGTGAAGTTGCAGTACCTATGGCGTCAGGGAGAACTGGATTTGAATCCCAGTTCATCACTCATTAGCACGTGATGCTGACTGTGTTTTTAACTACTCTGACCTTCATTGTACTCATCTATAAAAGATGGGATTATTTTGAGGCTTCCATAATATAAGTGTGTAAAAATTGGTGTGAGCAAAATGACTGTAATTTAAAGGATAGGGTTGTTTTAAGGCTTCAATAAGGTAAGTGTGTAAAAATCAGGGCACAATGCCTATGATTTTGAAAGTCTTATATACAGAAGGAGGATTATTTTTCTCTCATTTAATTTTTAGAGCAAGTTTATAAAGCTGGTGTTACTCATATTTTTGACATGATCAAACCAACAATCTGAAAGATTCTATGAGTCACTACAGTCACAAAGCAGTTCACAATACATCTACTGGGTAATTGCCTGTTGAAACTAGCAATGGTGATCACATTTAAAATCTTGTATTAACAGAATGCTTTTCCCTTACATAAGCCTCTTTGTTTTTGAAGCCATAGATTCTAAGTTGATGTATCAAAGTGATCATTGGGAAACTGTAATATATTAGTGTACAAATTTTAAAAAATGTCCTCTATTACTCTTATTAATTTGATTGAATATGTGTTATTTTCAAAATTGTAAATGGAATATGTATGGATTGAATGCATATGTATATATACATAAAATATAATTAGACATCAAGGAGTAGACTTAGCTCATGACAATTTTTTTTCTGAAAGCACCTGCAGAAATCTGTCATTTTTGTAGTTTGTAAAAAACTCAGAGGTTATGGGGTAAAGGAGGTTCTATGAATTCCAGCTAGTGCAAGAGCCAGATTTGGCTTCAGGAATTTTAGCATAATTCATTGTAAGGTGATAAACCCTAGGAACTTCAAGACAGTGAGAAACCTGAAAGCTCTTAGCCAGGAATGAATGAAAGGTGGGATGCGGTGGCTGGCAGGGCGGGACCTTGTGAGCCACATGCCTGGTATCTCAAGTTCCAAGTTGGCAGGGACACATGGAGGGGACACTGGGCCTGATTGTGTCCTCTTAACCAGTATATGGCCTGGTTGGCAGGGCAACCCACCTTCACCTGGTGGCCTTCAGAGGGTGCCTTCATTGGCTACCTTTGTTTAGTGCCCTCAGTTGGTGCTCTTCAGTTGTTGGTCTTCAGTTGGTTTGGCAGTGGTGGAAGGAGAAGGAGCTCCATCTGTGCTCTTTCCTCCTAAAGTCACAGTTCTCAGGCTTGTTGCACCTAGGCCCACTCTGAGTAAACCAGGCAGGTTTGCAACTTTTACAGACAAGTCAACTCAAGGTAGGTGGGTGAGGTAAGCTGCGAGCTCTAGTGAGATGCAGCCCTTTGGCCAGGGTTGCCCGTGCCAGTATGACTTCGCTGGGAAGAGGCGGCATGTTCTGAGCTCTGCAGACATAGAAGCAAGTGAAGGCCCAAGCTGCCTGGGAAGAGCAGAGTTGCCCCAAGGGGACCATGCTTAAGTATCTCATGTGCACCAAAGGCAGCACCAGGCAGGGCTGAAGTAGGGGTTCTAAGAAGCCATCTATGGGTGAATGGCCAGAAAAGGCAGAGACACCAGAAGAGAGGAGCAGAGGATCCCAAAACATGCTGCCCCACAATGCCAGACCCAGGCAGGGCCAGCTCAGAGTGTGGTGAACAGAACCATCCTGATGTTCCAAGATCTATGAGGTGGAGGTGGCCAGAGCTCCTGACCCGACTGCTTTGCGGCCTGCTGAGTTGGGTTTGGGAGCTGGCCAGGGTCCTGACTTGCAGCACATTGGCGACAAGAAGATGACCAAAGGTAGGGAGGCAACGAATACTGCTTGTCTCATCTATATGTTATGTTATGCTCATCTATAAAAGATTGGATACAGCAGGAGCTCCTCAGGCCACTGCTGACTCAAGGTTCCCCCCAAAGACATCCACAGCCTGGGGCTCTTCCTCCTGCCCCTAGTTAGCTTTCCCAGCCCCAGGACTCAAGCAGGAGGACTGGCTCTGCCTCAAGTCCCCACCCATTCTTCTTTCTTCCTATCCCAATGCCCAGTTCAGTTTCCTCTTCATCTTGCCCCAGGCTGCCTGAAAACTGGGTTTTCAAAATACAAAATGTAAGCTATAGATTTCATTGCTGTAGAGAAAGTCTCTGACAGCTTTTCTAGTTAAACTTAAGTGTCACGGTGAGACTCAAAATTTCGTGTCTTGAATTCTACACCAGACCTCTTTATGATAAAGCAATGTTAGAGGCACTCTTCTTGATTCCAATCATATAAAACGATTTTTTGTAGAGACAGGGTCTCACTTTGTTGCCCAGACTAGTCTCCAACTCCTGGCCTCAAGTGATCCATCCACCTTGGCCTCTCATATTGCTAGGGTGACAGGCAGGAGCCACCACACCTGGCCTTTGGAGGTGCTCTTGCTTTCTGTGTTTCGGCTGGTCTTCCTGCACAGCTGTCAGGAAGATGCTCCTGCAGCATAGTTCTAAATCTTTCTGCACAAATTCCGTGGATCCTGTGATTTTTTACGTGGAATAGCAATGTATATTTTAGAAAAGCTAGACAATTCACAGTAACCTGGGGCCTAGAAAATTTTATTTCATGATCAACACATCTCTTGGCCTAAAAAAATGGTTTTCTTCATCAAAGCACCTGTTTATAAGGAGCTAAATATGTGGTCCCCCAAAAAAGGGGCCACTGCAGGGGAACCTAGGAGGGAGTTTAGGATTGTTCTGAGGCCATAAAAACCAATGAAATTCACACATGAAAGGGTGGAGAAAGGGAACCCACGTGTTGTGACTCCCTCCATATGCTGGGTACAACTCAGTCTCTGTTACGTTGCATCACCTTTGCTGTCAGACAGAATGGAATTTGCATCCGGTTTCCATCACTCATTATGATGTGGTGGGGAATGTGTTTTTAACTTGGTTGAGGCTCAGTCTGCTCATCAATAAAAGATGGGAGTGTTATGTGATTTCCATAAGGTACATGTGTAATAATCTGGCCATAATGACTGTAACTTAAAAGATGAAGTTGTTATGTGGCCTCCATAAGATAACTCTGTAAAAATCTGGCCATAATGACTATAATTTAAAACATGAAGCTGTTACATGGCCTTCATAAGGTAAATGTTTAAAAATCTAGGCATAATGCCTATAATTTAAAAGATGAGGTTGTTATGTGATCTCCATAAGGCAAGTGTGTAAAAATCTGTGCATATTGTCTGTAATTTAAAACATGGGGTTGTTATGTGACCTCCATAAGGTAAGTGTGTAAAAACCTGACCATAATGACTGTAATTTAAAATATGAAGCTGGGGCTTCCATAAGGTAAGTGTGGAAAAATCTGACCATAATGAGTGTAATTTAAAATACGAAGCTGTTACAAGGCTTCCATAAGGTAAGTGTGTAAAAATCTGGGCATATTGTCTGTAATTTAAAGCATGGGGTTGTTATGTGGCTTCCTTAAGGTAAGTGTGTAAAAATCTGACCATAATGACTGTAATTTAAAATACAAAGCTGTGGCTTCCATAAGGTAAGTGTGTAAAAATCTGGGCATATTGTCTGTAATTTAAAACATGGGGTTTTATTGGCTTCCTTAAGGTAAGTGTGTAAAAATCTGACCATAATGACTGTAATTTAAAATACAAAGCTGTGGCTTCCATAAGGTAAGTGTGTAAAAATCTGGGCATATCGTCTGTGATTTAAAACATGGGGTTGTTATTGGCTTCCTTAAGGTAAGTGTGTAAAAATCTTACCATAATGACTGTAATTTAAAATACGAAGATGTGGCCTCCATAAGGTAAGTGTGTAAAAATCTGGGCATATTGTCTGTGATTTAAAACATGGGGTTGTTATTGGCTTCCTTAAGGTAAGTGTGTAAAAATCTGACCATAATGACTGTAATTTAAAATACGAAGATGTGGTCTCCATAAGGTAAGTGTGTAAAAATCTGGGCATATTGTCTGTGATTTAAAACATGGGGTTGTTATGTGGCTTCCTTAAGGTAAGTGTGTAAAAATCTGACCATAATGACTGTAATTTAAAATACGAAGATGTGGCCTCCATAAGGTAAGTGTGTAAAAATCTGGGCATATTGTCTGTAGTTTAAAACATGGGGTTGTTATTGGCTTCCTTAAGGTAAGTGTGTAAAAATCTGACCATAATGACTGTAATTTAAAATACAAAGCTGTGGCTGCCATAAGGTAAGTGTGTAAAAATCTGGACATACTGTCTGTAATTTAAAACATGGGGTTGTTATGTGGCTTCTTTAAGGTAAGTGTGTAAAAATATGGCCATAATAACTGTAATTTAAAATACGAAGATTTTACATGGCTTCCATAAGGTAAGTGTGTAAAAATATGGCCATAATAAGTGTAATATGAAGATTTTACATGGCTTCTATAAGGTAAGTATGTAAAAATCTGGGCATAATGCATTTAATTTAAAAGATGAGGTTGTTATGTGGCTTCCATAAGGTAAGTGTGTGAAAATCTAAACACGATGCCTGTAAGTTTGTAAGTGTTCAATATATAGAGAAGGAGGATTCTTTTTCTCTAATTTTTAGAGCAAGTTTATAAAATTGGTGTTATATTTTGTAGATAATCAAACCAAGAGTCAGAGAGAATAAGTAAGTCAGCATAGTCACAAAGCAGTTCACAATACATGCTGGGTAATTTTTATTTATTAGTAGCAATGAGGATCACATTTAAAATACTGTATTACTGGGTGGTTTTCTCTTCCATAAGCCTCTTTCTTTGTTGAAACCATAAAGTTGCTCTATGAAAGTGAACATTAGAAAACTGTGATGAACTTAGTGTATAAATTTTAGGAAATTTTCTCTATTAGTCTTGTTAATTAGGTTGAATATGTGTGTTATTTTCAAAAAAGGTAAACTGAATATATATGTATTGAATATATACAACATTTCACATTGTAGTGTAGCCTTAAGTCATGGCAATGTGTTTTTCTGAAAGCACATGCAGAAATCTGTCATTTTTCTAGTTTCTATAAAGCTCAGAGGTAATGGGGGAAAGGAGATTCTACAAATCCCAGCTAGTGCATGAGGCGGATTTGGTTTCAGTAATTTTAACATCATTCATTGTAAGGTAATGATCTTTAGGTACGTCAGCACAGTGAGAAATCTGAAAGCTCCCAGCAGCCAGCAATGAGTGAAAGGTGGGGCGGGGCCTGGTGAGCCTTGTACCTACTCCCTCAAGTTCCGAGTCTGGGGGGAAGTGTGGAGGTGCCCTGGGCCTGATTGTTTCCTCTTAAGCAGGATGTGGTCTGGTTGGCAGGTCAACCAGCATTCACCTGGTGGCCTTCAGTGGCTGCCCTCATTGGGTGCCTTTGTTTTGTGCCCTCATTTGGGGGTCTTCAGTGGGGGACCTTTAGTTCATGGGTGGTGGCAGAGGTTGAGGAGCTCCTCTGTGCTCTCTCCTCCCGCAGTCATAGCTGTCAGGTTTGGTGCATTCAGGCCCATTCTAAATCAACCAGGCAGGTTCTGACTGCTGCAGGAAGTCAGTTCAGGGTGGGCAGGTGAGGCATGGTGCAGGCTGTAAGTAGGGTACAGCCCCATGGTCCAGGGCTGTCCATGCCAGCCATGCCTTGCCAGGAAGAGTCAGTAGGTGTGGAGCTCTGCAGACATATGGGCAGGCAGCGGCCCAAACACCCAAGAAAATCAGAGTTGCCCCATGGGGACCACACTGACCTGTTGCATGTGCACCAAAGTCAACCCCGGGCAGAGCCCCACAGGGGTTCTGTAGAGCCATCCTGGAGCTCAGACATCTGAGTGGAAAGCCAGCAAAGGCACAGACCCCAGCAGAAAGGAGCAGAAGTGCCTGGAACACACTGTACCCCAATGCCAGCCCCAAGCGGGACCAGCTCAGGGTGACGTGAAGGGAGAAGACCTGCAGCTCTGAGATTTACGAGGTGGAAGTGACAGTAGCACCAGACCCCACTGCTTTGGAGCCTGCCCAGTCGGATTTGGGAGCCAGTGAGGGTCGTGACTTGCGGCACATTGTCGACCAGAAGACAACCAAAGGTAGGGAGGCTATGGATACCCCTAGGACTCAGGACCTCCTCTGGCCCTAATGATGTCGAGTTCCCCCCTGAGGCATCCACAGCCTGGGGCTCCTCCCTCTGCTCTAGTTAACTTTCCTAGGCCCAGGTCCCAAGCAGGAGGACTGGCTCTGCCTCGAGTCCCTACCCCTTCTCTTTCCCTGCTGTGTCCATATGATTTCTTTCCTCCTTCCTACCCTGATGCCCAGTTCTGGGCCCTCTTCTTCTTCCCACAGGCTGGCTGAAAGCTGTTTCAGAATACAAAATGTATGCTACAGATTTCATTGCTGTAGAGGAAATGTCTGATTGCTTCTCTATTTAAACTTTGTTCTCTTCATTTCTTTTAACATTGGAATAATTAAGCCTCATGATAGATGTGCCTTTGTAACTTGAAAATACTGTACTCAATTTTCACAGTTTTCAAAATAATGTTTAATTTTTCTTTTGATAACTTTTTGGTGAACAGGTAGTATTCAGTTACTTGACTAACTTCTTTAGTGTTGATTTGTGAGGTTTTAGTGCATCTCACCCAAGCAGAACACACAGAATCCAATTTGTAGTGTCTTATCTTTCTTTCCCTTCTTAACGTTTCCCCCTCATCTTCCAAAGGCTGTTGTATTATTCTTTTTTGTTTAGTTTTTGAGACCGAGTCTCACTCTGTCACCCAGGCTGGGGTGCTGTGTTGCAATCTCAGCTCACCATAATCCTTACTTCCCGTGTTCATGCAGTCCTGCTTCAGCCTCCTGAGTACCTGAGATGAGAGAACCAGGCCTGGCTATATTTTTTTTGTATTTTTAGTAGTGACAAAGTTTCACCAAATTGGCCGTTCTGTTTTCAAACCCTTACCTTAAATGATCTGCCCACCTCAGCCTGCCCTAGGGCTGAGATTACAGGAATGAACCACCAGGGCCCAGCCAAACTTTCCCTTTTTCTTTTCTTTATTTTCTAATCTCCTGAACTCATTCTTTGAGTTGTCATGAAGGTAAGGGGGTTTCTCAAATTACTGGAAAACTAGTTTAAGAAATAAACAGGCAGAACAGTGGTGCTGAGCATGGCTAAAGCGTCTCTGCGTTCACAGGGAGAGGAGCTGAAGACCTTCTGGCCTGGGCTGGGCAGCAGTTCAGTTGCAGGATAAACAGCCTGAGTCCTCTGCGGGATGCTTTGTAAAGAACCCAAGAAATCAACGTAGAGCTTCTTCTAGATGATTCTCTCGCAGCTGTAAACCTTCCATGAGTCAAGCTTTGTGTCAAAAGGACAAATTAAAAGGCAAGAAAATGAAATTGCAATATCAGGACTTTGGGGGTGAAGGGTGGGGAACACATCTAATAACAGATTATTTCAAGAAATCCCACATTTTGCCCAAATCTCTGTCTGTTGTGTCTCTGTCCAATGTACTCTTTGTTGAGGACAATATTCAAAAGTTGTTCCTGTACTCAGTGTGGTATGAAACTAGAAAAATACATTTCAGGAAAAACAACAAAGTAATTATTTTGAAGGTAAATAGGTTTTCAAGGTTTATTCTTCAATTAGGAAAATGTTTTCTAAAGCAAAACATACTATTCCTCTCCATGATCCCAGTTAATCCAGACCCTCCTCAGTGGGGTTTATAAAATACCATACTCACCTTCCTGAACCTTCTGCTGAATCGCATATGAAATTTTGTCACAGAACCTCAGATTTTTCATAAGGTCTTGTGTACCATGCCATGCCTATGAATTGCTTTTTTTGCTTTATTTTTATTTTTATTTTTTTGTAAGAAGTAGCCAGCAACTATCTTTCTTTGCTTTAGAGATGTAAACTGCTTTGTATTTTCAGATTAACTTGCAATAATGTTGAAAATGCTTTGCTCACTCCCCTTTTCTCACTTCCTCCCTCTCAGGACCTATAAAAGGCAACAACCCCCAGCCCAACGGACAGATGCCCCAGGCTGCACATTCTGTCAGTGCTGTTCTTCAAGAGGCCCAGACACGTGCTGAAACATGGAAGGTGAGGCCAGCAAGCAGCTGACACACATTCCACCCAGCCACCCCAATAAGCCCATGTCCTAAACCATTCGCGTTGTTCCAATAACTGCTCTTTTAAAAAGAAAAAATAATCTTGGTCCAATGGCTCACACCTGTAATCCCAGCACTTTGGGAGGCTGAGTTGTGCAGAACAACTGAGGTCAGGAGTTCAAAACTAGGCTAGTCATCTTAGTGAAACCCCGTTTCTACTAAACATAGAAAATTAGCCAGGCATGGTGGCCAGTGCCTGTAGTCCCAGCTACTAGGGAGGCTGAGGCAGAAACACCACTGGAAACAGGGAGAAGTAGGTTGCAGAGAGCCAAGATGGCTCCACAGAACTCCAGCCTGGGCAATAGAGGAAGATTCCGTCTCAAAAATAAATGATAAATAACAATAATAATAAAAGCCATTTGGAGTCATTTCACTATCCCAGAGCAAAGACCAGTTTATAAGCAACCAGGAGTCTCAATGACTGAGGGTGATTAGGGACAGAGGCTCCCCAGGGGGGCAGACAAAGACCTCACATATCTATGGCATGTCCTGTCCACTAGGGCTGTGTTGTCAAGAATAAAGAATGCTACTCAGGAGGTTGAGGCAGAGGATCCCTTGAGCCCGGGAGGTCGAGGCTGCACTGAGCCCAGATCGCATCACTGCACTCAGCCTGGGTGACAGAGTGAGACCCTGCCTTTATTAATTCATTAATTTAAAATTTCAGAAATTTTCCAACAGTGAATGCTGCTGTCATTTGGTTACAGGAAACAAAGCCAGCCCTATGGAAACACCATGAGCGCAGAGCACTCCAACACGCCCGACACGCCCCCAAATCCAGCCTGCCCCCTCCCCATCCAGTGCGGTGGTCCTCAGACACCAGTGGCAGCCCTGCCACGCCCCCCAAGGCCAAGGGCACCAGCAGCAAAGGCTTCCCTACTCCATCCAATGACTTCCTGCCACCACCCCGACTCCTCCAGGCCACCACCTGGGGTCACCAAGACACCTTGTATGTCCCCCAAGAGGCACAAAGCATCAATGTTCAGAAGCGGCAAATGAATAAAAGTTAAATGTTCTTCCTCAACACGGTATTTCTAGAAAGATTATTGGGTCACTCTATCTTGAGATCGACAATATCATTAAAAATAGCTTTCCCCATCCCATGCCTTCTGAAGTCTTGGTGACCTTAGATAGATTTTCCATCTCTACCTCTGCGACCTTCAGATTTTACAGAAAATTGAGAGAGAAAAACGAGAAAACATGACAAGCAGAGGCTGTTCCCTTTCTCTGAGATCCTTTTGCTTGATTGATTGGAGTCCTGGACATGGGCTGTTTTGTTTTGCTTTTTGTAATGCTTGAGTAACAGTCATTGAAAAAAATTATTTATTTAGTTTTTGAATTCTGTATGATTACAATGCTAAAAATATCCTTTACATAAGAATGTAGGGGCAGGAGAAGGCAATCTTATCTATATATTTCAGTCTGGAATGTTTTCCCTCGGAGATACATTTAATGCCCAATTTATCCGAGGCTCTTGGAACCTGGATCTCTTCTCTTTCAGTTTGGCTTCTGATGGGCTAAAACGCTATTTTCTTAGTTTTCTTTCCAGGGCTCCTTTTTTTTTTTTTGGCTTTTTTCAATTGTAAAACTCCTCAAAATCTTAGGGTCAGTGGAAAATAATGTTATTTTAAACTTAAGGAAGATAACTAATGGTATGTTTTAGTATTTGGGAAGCGTAAGCTCTAAATCATGCTGTCTCAACCCATGGGCTGCAAGCGGCCCAGGACAGCTTTGAATGTTGCCCAATAAATATTATAATATTATGAGCTCTTGGCAGGGTGTGGTGACTCACACCTGTAATTCCAGCACTTTTGGGAGGCCAAGGCTGGTGGATCACTTGAGGGCAAGAGTTCCAGACCAGCCTGACCAACATGGCAAAACCCTATCTGTACTAAAAATACAAAAATCAGCCAGGATGGTGATGCACACCTGTAATCCCAGCAACTGCAGAGGCTGAGGCGGGAGAATTTTTGAATCCAGGAGGCGGAGGCTGCAGTGAGCTGAGATTGTGCTGACTGCACTCAATCCTGGGCAACAGAGCAAGACTCTCTCTCAAAAAAATGATGAGATCTTTTTGCAATTTTTTGAATAGCTGATCAGCTCTTGCCAGTGATAGTGTATTTTATGTGTGTCCCAAGGAAGCAAAAAATTGGACACCCCTGCAGTCTAAATGGAAATTTAAAATGAAACAAATAGTTTTAAAACCAAAATATTTAGTAATTAAAACTGGCAAGATGCTCTTAAATTTTTAAGCATATGCTTGAAATAGAAGAAAAATTTGCTTTACATTAACTTGTATTTCATGAATAGTAACTCTCCAGTTTAAGGCATGTTGTATTCTTTTGATGTCAGAGGTAGTAATACAGCTTTTCTTTATAAAAATAATTTTTAATTTTATTTCACTTTAAGTTCCAGGATATATGTGCAGAACGTGCAGGCTTGTTACATAGGTAAACGTGTGCCATGGTGGTGTGCTGCACCTCACAACCCATCAGCTATTAAGCCCAGCATGCATCAGCTATTTATGCTGATGCTCTCCTCCCCTCCACCCACTCAACAGGCCCCAGTGTGTGTGGTTACCCTCCTGCGTCCACGTGAAAAACACAGCTTTTCTGATACCTGACTAAATTATGGTCATTATGCAGATGTCTGGGACAATACAGGAAAGGTTCAGCAGTGAGAGGTGTGAAAGTTGTCAGAATCCCCTCCCAGTGTCCATGTGTTCTCATTGTTCAACACCCACCTATGAGTGAGAACATGTGGTGTTTGATTTTCTGTTCTTGTGTCAGTTTGCTGAGAATGATGGCTTCCAGGTTCATCCATGTCCCTACAAAGGACAGGAACTCATCATTTTTGATGGCTGCATAATATTCCTGGGGTCTGTCAGGTGGAAATAGGGGAGGGACAGCAGGGGGTGGGGAGTTGGGGAGAGAGAGCATGGGGGGAAACGCCAGATACAGGTGATGGGGAGGAAGGCAGCAAATCACACTGCCATGTGTGTACCTATGCAACAATCTTGCATGTCCTTCACATGTACCCCAAAACCTATAATGTCAGAATCAAAATGGAGTCACTCATGTTAAAAAAAACACTGACAAAAAGAACCAGGCAAGTTTATAAATAGAGGGTTCTCATGAGGATCGTAAACTTTGATTTTTTCACTCAAGTAAAACACAATCTTTGGTGTATGGCTGAAAGGTCTTTGTAAGTACTGCCTATTCCTGAGTGGGATTATTTAGGTTGATCCTGAAAATGCAGCAGACATTGTTTCTTCATGAAAATTTTAGTGAGATACTGGATGTGGGGAGGAGTGCAAAAACCAGGGTGAAATCAGAAATTAGAGCGGGAGCACAAGGGCAATAATATATATTATGAAAAATAATATATATTATGAAAAATAATATATATTAAAAATATAGGGCAGTGATACTCTATTACAGCTTATAAAAACTTCATAATTTATTGTATAATGCTGCCACTGGGACAAAGACCCATGTAATAGGCCAACTGCGACAAAAACCACTGGCCTTGGTAGAGTTTACAGAAAACATGATTTAACCTGTCACATGATGGAACATGAACTAAAATTTTACAGTAGGTCTCAAAGAGGAGAATGAACATTTAAGCCTCATATTTTGTTTGATCATAGGAATCTTTTCTGGTATGAAACTGAAATGATTTGATTCTAGGATAATTGCAGCTTTGAAGTGTGTTGAGACTTATGGCTTGATGTGTGGTCCGTGTTTGCAGATGGTTTATGTGTGCTTGTGTACAATGCACTATAGATGGTCCTTAGAACAAGCTTGTTAAGGATGCTGCACAGATCTGCCTGTAGCCTGTTATCTATTCTGCTGAATCCATCAATTACTAAGGAAGATGTTTCAAAATCTTCTGGGGGCACATTTGTCAATATCTTTTCATTGTTCTGGCAAATTGTGCCTTGTATATTCTGACACTGTTTATTATTAAGTGTAAATAAAAATGAGGTATGTAACTTCCTGGTGAATTGAACCATCTATCACCGTGTAATGTTTTCTGCATTTTAGTTTGTATTCATGCTGCTGTACTGTTTTCTGTTATTTGCTTGACAAATCTATCTATTCGTTCCCTTTCAAACTCTCTATGCCTTTATGTTCTGTTTGCCACTTGTAAACGACATATAGTGGATTTTGTTGTGTTTATGTCTAGTTCTGGAATTATTGTCTTTTAACTGCAAGTTTCTTTTTACTTTTTTGAATGTTTTAACTTTTCACCCAGGCTGGAATGCAGTGGTGTGATCATGGCTCACTGCAGCATCAGCCTTCTGGACTGAAGCCATCCTCTTGCCTAAGCCTCCTGAGTAGCTGGGACTATAGGCTTATGCCACCAAGCCTGGCTAATTTTTACTTTTTTTTTCTCTAAAAAAAAAAGAAGTCTCACCATATCATCTAGGCTGGTCTCTAACTCCTGGCCTCCAGCAGTCCTCCTGCCCTGGCCTCCCAAAGTTAATGTATTTGTCCATTTTCACACTGCTACAAACCTGAGACTGGGAAATTTATAAAGGAAGGTTTAAGTGACTCAACAATCCTCCCACCACAGCCTCCCAACTAGCTGAGACCACAGGCACATGTCACCACTCCCAACTAATTTTTAATTTTTTTGTAGGGAGGGGCATCCCCCTACGTTGCCCAGGCTAGTCTTGTATCCCTCGGCTTGAGTGACCCTCCCACCTCAGCCTCCAAAGTGCAGGGATTGTAGGCATGAGCCACGACACCCGCCCCGTTTTTTCCCTTCTCCAAGTCAAGTGGGAAGTCAACACAAACTAAAAATCAAGGCCAGGCACAGTGGCTCACACCTGCAGTTCCAACACTTCAAAGGGTGAAGTAGAAGAATGGCTTGAGCTTAGGAATTTGAGACCAGCCTGGGCAAAAAGGGAGACTTCATCTGCACTAAAAGGACAAAAAATTAGCCAGGCATAGTGGCACATGCCTGTAGTCCTAGCTACTTGAGAGGTTGAGATGGGAGGATTGCCTGGGCCTGAGAGGTCAAGGCTGTATTGACAATGATTGCACCACTGCACGCAAGCCTGAAAGATAGAGTGAGACTCTGTCTCAAAATAAATATATATACATATATAGGAAAATATATATAGAGAGAGAGGGAAAGAAAATCAATACATAGAAGTGATAGACTCTTACAGCTCTAATTAACTGTATCAGTATTATGGCCCAGGCTATAACAAGATGCTTTATACATATATTCCTCACATTATGAGAACCTTGCAAGGCCGGGCACAGTGGCTGATGCCTGTAATCCCAGCACTTAGGGAGGTGAAGGCAGGCGGATAACCTGAGGTCAGGAGTGCTGGATTACAGGTGTGTGCCACCAAGCCTGGCCTACAGCATCTTTTTGTTTGTTTGTTTTTGAGACAGAGTCTCACTCTGTCTCCAGGCTGGAGTTCAGTGGCGCAATCTCAGCTCACTGCAACTTCCACCTCCAAGGTTCACGTGATTCCCCTGCCTCAGCCTCTCAAGTAGCTGGGACTACAGGCGGTTGCCACTGTGCCTGGCTAATTTTTTGTATTTTAGTAGAGATGGAGTTTTACTATGTTGGTCAGGACGGTCTCGATCTGCAGACCTTGTGATCTGCCCACCTCGGCCTCCCAAAGTGCTGGGATTATAAGCATGAGCTACCGAGCTAAGAGCAACGTTTTCTGTTTTAATGTGGCCAAGCAATCTAAATGAAAATGGCCTGGCAAAATTGTGTAGTGCTGTACCTGCCAACTGTGTGAGCTTGAGTGTGATACTTATTTGACAATACAGTGTTTCCTCTCTATGTTTCCTTATCTTTAAAAAAAAAAAAGGCAAATGATAATGTCTTAGTCAGGACTGTCAAGTACAATCCGAGTGCTTGTTGCTACACTCTACTTGGCAAATTCTACTCATTGATGTTTCTTAATATATAAACCTAATCTATACCAAGATAAATTACAGGTGCATATTAACAATCTTTACTTGTAAAGCACTCTGCCTATTTTTACATACTATTCTTCAAGAAGGAAAAACACCATCAAACCGGCTCATTTTCATAGATGTCTGTATATAGTCTATGATGCCTTTATTCCATTAAAAAACCCACATGATTAAATATGAAATTAATGTACCCAGTTATGAGGCTACCATATTCTTTAACACAAAGTGTGGTTCAGAAGAATGAGAAAATACACCAGAGTACCGAGACCAGCGTGGCCATAGAGACCCCCACTCAGGTGGCACTGAAGGAGTTAAGAAGCAGACACCCAGATGGAACAGCAAAGTGGGACTAGCAGGGGCCAACAGCCTTCCCAGCTGAGAGCCTCAGGGAGCTGACATCTTTCCATTGTGAGGACCTGGAGCAGATTCCGACCCACGGAATTTTTTCTTTTCAAACAGTCTGATTTAATTAGGAAGTTGAGGTGGAGTAGAGTGGGATCATCAGAAGGCTGACATGGGACCCCTGGAGTTGGCAATCACAGCAGCGTGAGGTTGGCAAGGGAGCAACACCATTCAAGGCAAGGCACAAACTTTGGCAAGGAGAGATGAGGGTGGGACCCCACTTCAATGGACATGCTCAGGGAGGCCAGTGGATTACATGCAATAGGGAGATCATTCAGGCAACTTCAGCTCTGAGGCTGGGCATCTGTGAGGGCTGAAGGCTCAGGCTGTTCGCAGAGGCTTGTGATTCACCTGGGAGATGCTGACGCCCATGAGTCTTCCACACTCTCTGGCAGGTGGCTTAGAATGTCCAGTACTTCCCCAGTCACTTTGGCTGCCCCCATGGTCCCACTGCCACTGGACACCAGTGTGATCTTATTGGCCGAAGTCAAGGGACCGCTGATCTCCTCTGCCACCTGGAGCAGCTTCTCTAGCAGCATGTCTAGTTGAGCAGCCTCTTGGTACACCTGGAACGCTTCTGCCTTCTTCGCCATCTGCTCAGCCTCAGCTCAGCCTCGGGCCCCTATGGCAAAGGCCTCAGCTTCCCCACCCATCCAAACAGATTCGGCTTCTGCCTCTGCCTGCATAATTAGCTGGGACCTGTGCACAGAAGGGAAGTGTAGGGTGGAGCCCAGGGTCCCTTACTCCCAGGAGAAAAGCCCAGTGATACAGAGGCAGAGGTTCCTGCAACCTGAGATCCATAGGAGTCCAGGTGGTGAAGGCCTCAGTCCTTCATCTTGGGGTACCTAGGTGGCAAGGGAGCTAGGAGGGGTCAGGGAGGGGACATTTACTTCTCTGCCTCAGCTAGGCGCTCCAGCTTGTAGCGCTCGGCTTTGGCTTTTTTTTTTTTTTTTTGGAGAGAACATGGTTTAATTAAAGGCAAGGCTGATTTCAGCAGCTGCAGGCCTTGCACAGACAAAAACAAAAAATAAAACCCAGAAAACAAAACAAAACAGAACAAAAAACCACAAAACAAAGTTTACTACACAAAACCAGTTTCTGATCAAGATTCTCCTTCCCCTCCTCATTACTCCACAGTGAGGATGATAAGGCGAGGAATCTCGCCCCAAGAGTCAGAAAACATTCCAGACACCAAATTCTCATGCAGAATGGGACTTTAGATGGGAACTGGGTATTACTGGGAGATGGTAAACCTGGTGAGCTTGTCTAGGGCGCAAGAATGAGTGACAGTTCAAACACTGGAATGTTGCAGCTGCTAAATGCAGAGCTCAAACACACAAACTGGGTAAAGGTGGTAGGAAAACGGCTTGAGACAAGGAGAGAAAGGTGGACACAGGGAAGAGGCTGAAGAGAAGCACAAAAGGTTTCATACTGCCATTGGGTGGGGGGCTTCACCTTTTCAGACCTTTCAAAAAAACAAAACAAAACCCAAACACCATGTCAAACTAAAAGAGCAATAATGTAAGCATACTGGGGGGAGGGGGCTCTAACCACTCTCTCTGAAGAGCAAGGAGCATTATCTCACCCCATTCTCTCTGAACAGGTGATTTTTTATTAACAAATAGGTGTTCTGTGTTTTCTCATAGAACCAAGAGCAACCAGGCAGGCAGCTGGTGCCTGCTTACCACTGATGAAAGACAAACTAGAAAGTATTCTCCACGAGGGAGCCACGAGGGAGCCACGGGGGAAGGGTCACATATCCCATCCTTAAAGAATTGTTTTAATCAAAAAAAAAAAAAATGGTGTATGATACACATATACTCTTTTGCTACTGTAGAATGCCCCAAGCAGTTTTCCACTTGGTGGGGGAGGCAGCCAGCTTTTTCCTTGCCATGGTTCTCAGCAAACAATATAATTTATCATACACTTTAGGACTTGTCCCTGTATCAGAGAACTGCAATTACCTACTGGCTGGTCTATTTCCTCATTAGAGTCAATTTTTTGAAGACTAAATTGCATTTCTGAATCTCTAATGGTTACCCTCTAGCTCACTGGCTCTGTGTGTTTGAGTGCATGTGCTGAATGCTTAATTATATCACTTACTTTCTGTTAGAAACACGGTGTCTGTCAGCACCAGAACAGCACAGACAGATCTGGCCTTAGAGCTAAGGAAAGGTCTCAAGTATCTCCCAGGCTGGATACACACAGGTTCAACATTACCAAACATGAAGGAATCCCACGCAGCTCAGTACACCCAGGTGTGAGCATCATTGCCAAATTATACCTATGAGGTGTTGGGAGGAGACTCAAAAAGCCGAGAGGCCGGGCTGATTTAGCTATTTCACAACAGAACCGATCGTGGTCGGACTTGTTCCTGGGAAAATGCGGAGGCTGGCACTTTCTTCAAGAACGGATTGCAAAAGGCAGCCACCTCCGCGTGGCAGGTCACCGCCAGGAAAGGCGGACGCTGAAACCGTCGCCTCCGGCTTAGGCCGCAGAGCGGGAACCGGATTCTCTGGGTAGTTAGTACCGGTGAGGGTGGCGCGCGGTGCCATTTCTAGCTAATAAATGGTGCCTGCAGGCGTGGCCTGTCCCCCTGCCGGGCTTCGGGGAAGGGGTGGGGATAGGAGGCTCCCCTCCGGGGAAGGTCACGTTCGGGGTCCCCGGGCCGGGCCTCCGCGCGCTTCTGCCCCGCCTCCTCCTGGGAGCGGCCGCTGTGCCCGCCGGCTGCCGACTGGCAGACGCCCGAGGGCCCCGCGCCCGCAGCCTGGCAGTACGCGGGGAGGAGGTCGCCGCCGGCCCAGGCGTGGCAGAAGCGCTTCCTGTGCCAAGTTTCCGGCTCCGGGTCCCCGAAGGAGGATCGCGGGCCAGAGGCGGAGCCGCCGCCCTGCCGCGACTTTCAGACTCGACTATGGCCTCGCGCTGGTGGCGCTGGCGGCGGGGCTGCTCCTGGAGGCCTGCGGCTCGGAGTCCAGAGCCCGGCTCCCCCGGCCTTGCGGGGCAGCCGGGGCCGCGCGCCGCTGCAGACGCTTGCTCGCAGGTGAGGTCCCGAGGCGCGTGTCTGGCTGGGCGCAGAGGTCAAGGCACCAATGACAGCCGCGGGCGGAATGAATGGGAGCGGGGAGCGCGTGCGCCGGAGCTCCGGGACGCCGGGGGTCTCTCCGGGATGCGACTCCGGAGCGGAGGGGTGTCCGCGGTGGGACGGAGCCGCGCATTGGACTGAAGGATCCTAGGTGCTACTCGGTGGGATGAAAGCGGTGTCCTGGAGACCCCGGCAGCATTTGGGGTGGAGGAGAAATCTATGGGGAGTCGCGTCCTGGGGAAAGAGCAGGAGCGATCTTACTATCTACAGCGGTATGGACAAGATTAAGCCTGCAGACCGACTGCAGCTACTTCCTTGTTTTAAAGGCAAAGGTGAGCTTGGAGGTCGCTCCAAGATATGGAGGATCGAATCGGCCTCGGAATAGTCCGAAACGGTCTTGTGGAGAATGCAAGGCTGCTGCTAGGGTGCATGGGACCTTAGCTGCCCAGCAGTGGCTTGGGGAGGAGAGCACACCTGGATGGGGCTAGAAGGGCACTGGAAGGGAAGAGAGAAACCCTGGAGTCACCGAACGTCAAAATCCCAGTGATAGCTGATTCTTTCAGCGTCTCCTCTGCTGTCTTGGTTTCCAATCTCCTTTCCCTTTCAGTTCAGTTTAGGCCCTGGAAATGGACACTGAGCCCTTCCGCACTTTTGATTCTCAGTGTGCCATGGGTAGGCCCATGCTATTAGCATAACGGTGCAAAATCTATGGACTCACTGTTTATTTGAATTTTGTACTCTTTTAATTTAGATTTGGCACATTTTATATGTCCTTGTTCTCATCAAACATCATTTTCAGTATGAAATATATAACACTTAACAATACCTGCTTCATACCAAAGTGGGTGCATATCACAAATTTTCCACAACCAGGTGTTTGGGCCAGGTGCAGTGGCTCCCACCTGTAATCCCAGCACTTTGGGAGGCTGAGGTGGGAGCATCCGTTGAGGCTGGGAGCTTGGGACCAGCCTGAGCAACATAGCAAGACTGTCTCTACGAAAAATAGAAAGAATTAGCCAGGTGTGGTGGTGTGTGCCTTTAGTACTAGCTGCTCAGGAGCCTGAGGCAGGACGATTGTTTGATCCTAGGAGTTCAGGATTACAGTGAGCTGTTTATGATGATAGTGCCAATGCACTCCAGCCTGGGCAGCAGTGTGAGACCCTATCTCTAAAAATTCAAAAGCAAAAAAGACATTTGGTGACTGAATGGCAGCTGAGCAACTAGACACGCTAGACAGTAAAGAAAGAATAGGATATGGGGGATGAGGGAAACATGGGAAAAGAGACTTAGAGGAAGGTAGGCTTTGCTGGGATCCATTTTAGTACTTTCTCTCAGACTTCAGATATTTCTAGTTACACAGATGAACTATTTAAACCTGTTAAAGGATTTATTTATAAAAAGTACAATTTTTTCAAAACACATTGATATTATTTTTAATTTCCCAATTTTTTCGGTTTTTCAAATTGTACCACAACATAGGACTGTGATATTTTGCTATTACTTCAATGTGAATAAATTGAGTAAAGTATATCATTTACTGAGTGCCCATGCTGTACATTTAAAATATGCATCATTTAATTTAGTCTTAGTCCCAGCACTGAAAGGTAATCAACCAGCTTCAAACGACAGTTTTGGACAAAGCTGAACACAGGTCTGTCTGCCCCACACTTCTCTTTCTCTTATATCTGCACAATAGCAGAAAATTGGCAAAGTGTATTTTTACTTTCCAAGATGCCACATGTGCCAAGAATAAATCAAATGATGTTAAACATAATAACATATCTTTAAAAAGCTTTTCAAAATATATTTTCACCCTGACAGTGACCCTTGTAACTTGCAATTTTTGGAAATATTAGTATGTAAGTATAATTCAAAATTGTCAAAATATTTTTTTCATTTATTGTTTTCTGGACACAGAGTCTCTGTCTCCCAGGCTGTAGTGCAGTGGCAGGATCTCGGCTCACTGCAACCTCCACCTCCCAGGTTCAAGCAATTCTCCTGCCTCCCAAGTAGCTGGGATTATAGGCATGCACCACCATGCCCAGCTAGTTTTTGTATGTTTAGTAGAGACAGGGTTTTACCATGTTGCCCAGGCTGGTCTTGAACTCCTGACCTCAAGTGATCAGCCCCCTGCTCAGCCTCCCAAAGTGCTGGGAATACAGGCATGAGCCACCACACCCAGCCTGTCACTTCTTTTTAAAAGTATTTCATGCCAACCAAGCAACCTTAGCTGGGGAAAGTGTGCTTTCTTGGAGAGAATATGCTTCATGGCTTTCCCGTCTGCCTGAATGATGACAAGGAGGGACTGTGTCGATCAATGATGCCAAGACCATGTATTTCTGATGTGTGTGTCAGTGATGCTTTTCACTGTATTACTACATTAGCATTCTGGTGTCTGTCTCAAGCAAGTGTGTTTTGGTTACTTCAAGTATCTCAGGGCCTAATAGTCCTTGGGGAGACAGAAGGACAGTAACTAAGCCACAGGGACAAAGAGCAATATTTAAGCCACATCTCGCTCTCCACCAGAGCTCTATTACCTCCTGATGGTTGCACATTCTCCTGACTTCACTAGTAGTGTGAACAAATATTGTAGTAGGTTAACCAGTGTGCATGTGATCATGTCAAATCATTTCTCAGTATATCTTTGATTTTTTTTTTTTTTTTTAATTTTTTAAAGACGGGGACTGTGTTGGCAAGGTTGGTCTTGAACTCCTGGACTCAAGCAGTCCTCCCCCACTTGAGGATTGGCACCTGTCCATGTCTTTGATTGTTACCCAGCACTTATCTGACTGAGTGTGGTGGCTCAGGCCTGTAATACCAACACTTTGGGAGGCGGAGGCAGGAGGATCACTTCTGTTCAGTGGATTGCTTTTTTTTTTCCTAGACCAGACTGGGCAGTGACACCTCCTGATATGGTTTGTCTGTGTCCCCACCCAAATCTATCTCAATTGTAATCCCCAATTACAAGTGGGGACCGAGAGGGTCAAGGGAGAGAGCAAGTAGAGGTAATTGGATCATGGGGGTAGATTCCCCCCTGCTGTTCTCATCATAGGGAGTGAGTTCTCAGGAGATCTGATGGTTTGATAAGTGTTTGGTAGTTCCTCCTGTGTTCACTCTGTCTTCCTGCTGCCTTGTGAAGAGGTGTTTTCTTCTCCTTCCACCATGATTGTAAGTTTCTGAGGCCTCCCCAGCCGTTTGGAACTGTGAGTCAATTAAACCTCTCTCCTATAATTATAAATTGCCCAGTCATGGGTAATTTCTTTATATTCTCCTACCTTAGACTTTATAGCAGTGTGAGAAAAGACCAATACAGGAAGTTGGTACCAATGTAGTGGGGCACTGATACAAGTTACCTGAGAATATGGAAGTGACTTTGGAACTGGGTAACAAGCAGAGGTTGGAATAGTTTGGAGAGCTCAGAAGAAGAAAGGAAGATGTGGGAAACTTTGGAATTTCCTAGAGACTCGTTGAATCACTTTGACCAAAATGCTGAAAGTGATATGGACAATGATGTCCAGGCTGGGGTGGTCTCAGATAGAGATGAAGAACGTCTTGGGAACTGGGTAAGGGTCAGTCTTGCTAAGCTTTAGCAAAGAGACTGGCAGCATTTTGCCCCTGCCCTAGACAGATCTGTGGAACTTTGAGCTTGAGAGAGATGATCTCAAATTGGAACTTAGGTTTAAAGCGGAAGCAGAGCATAAGTTTCAAAAAATTTGCAGCCTGAAGATGCAATAGAATAGAAAAACCCAGCCAGGTACGGTGGCTCATGCCTGTAATCCCAGCACTTTGGGAGACCAACGTGGGTGGATCATGAGGTCAAGAATTGGAGACCAGCCTGACCAATATGGTGAAACCCCATCTTTATTAAAAAGACAAAAATTAACCCAATATGTGGCATGTGCCTGTAATCCCAGCTACTTGGGAGGCTGAGGCAGCAGAATCGCTTGAACCTGGGAGGCAGAGGTTGCAGTGAGCAAGATTGTGCCACTGCACTCCAGCCTGGACGACAGAGCAAGACTCAATTTCAAAAAAGAAAAGAAAAAACCCATTTTCTGGGGAGAAATTCAAGCTGGCTGCAGAAATTTGCATAAGCAACAAGGAGTGGAATGTTAATAGCCAAGAGAATGGGGAAAATGTCTCCAGGGCATGTCAGAGACCTTCTCTGCAGCCCCTCCCATCACAGACCAGGAGGCCTAAGAAGGAAAAATAGTTTCATGGGCTGGGCCCAGAGCACCACTGCTCTGTACAAGAGCAGCCTTGGGACTTGGTGCCCTGCATCCCAGCTGTGGCTAAAAGGGGCCAAGGTACAGCTCAGACCATTGCTTCAGAGGGTATAAGCCCCAAGCCTTGGTGGCTTCCCTGTGCTGTTGAGCCTGCAGGTGCACAGAAGACAACAATTTGGGAACCTCTGCCTAGATTTCAGAGGATGTGTGGAAACGCCTCAATGTCCAGGCAGAAGTCTGCTGAAGGGGGAGAATCCTCATGGAGAACCTCTGCGAGGACAGTGCAGAAGGGAAATGTGGAGTCAGAACCCCCACACACAGTCCCCACTGGGGTACTGCCTAGTGGAGCTGTGAAAGGTGGGCCACCGTCCTCCAGACCTAGAATGGTAGATCCACCAACAGTTTGCACCATGAGCCTGGAAAAGCTACAGTCACTCAACACCAGCCCATGAGAACGGCAGTGGGCGTTGAACCCTGCAGAGCCACAGAGGCAGAGCTACCCAAGTTCTTTAGAGCCCACCCTTTGCATCAGCATGACCTGGATGTGAAACATGGAGTCAAAGATCATTTTGGAGCTTAAGTAATGACTGCCCTGCTGAGTTCAGACTTGCATGCGGCCTGTAAGCCTCTTTGTTTTGGCTGATTTCTACCATTTGAAATGGAAACATTTACCCAATGCCTATACCCCCATTGTATCTTGGATGTAACTAACTTGTTTTTGATTTTACAGGCTCATAGGTGGAAGGGACTTGACTTGTCTCAGGTAAGACTTTGGGTTTCAACTTTTGAGTTAATGCTAGAATGTGTTAAGACTTTGTTAGACTATTGGGAAGGCATAACTGGTTTTGAAAAGTGAGCACATGAGATTTGGGAGGGGCCAGGAGCAGAATGTTGTGATTGGCTCTGTGTCTTCACCCAAATTTCATCTCAAATTTTAATCCCCATGTGTCAAGGGAGGGACCATGTGGAGGTGATTGGATCAGGGAGGCAGAGTCCCCCAGGCTGTTCTTGCAATAGTGAATTATTACGAGATCTGATGGTTTTCTAAGTGATTGGTAGTTCCTCCTGTATTCGTTCTCCTTCCTGCTGCCTTGTGAAGAAGGTGCCTTGCTTTTCCCTTTCTCTTCTGCCATGATTGTAAGTTTCCTGAGGCCTCCCCAGCCATTGAGAACTGTGAGTTAATTACACCTCTTTCTTTTATAAATTACCTAGTCTCAGGTTTTTCTTTATAGCAATGTGAGAATGGACTAATACACCTCATCTCTACTAGAAATTTAAAAAATTAGCTAGGTGTGGTGGCATGTTCCTGTAGACCCAGCTACTCAGAAAGCTGAGGCAGGAGGACAGCTTGAGCCCAGGAGATTGAGGCTGCAGTGAGCTATGATCACACCACTGCACTCCAGCCTGGAAGAATCATAGTACATTCATGAGAGGCAAGGTTGACTTTCAGAGGGTGTATGAGGGAATGGTAGGGAACAAAATCAGAGTTAGAAAATAACTGTTGCCCGTCTCTTTTCGTACTTCACTGCTTTCCTGAGCACCTCTAACCTCACTTTGGAAGACTGCTCTAAAGTACTTTTAAAGCAGAAAATAGTAGCTTGATTGAATAGATACTGTATTAAATGTATCTATTTACTAAGTACATTAGTAAATAGATACATTTAATAGTATTTAGTACATTAGTACTATTACTTAGTACTAATGTACTAAGCTCTGAGCTAAGAGCTTTACATATGCTTTCTAAATTAATATCCACCTCACTCCCTGAGTAGGTATTATGAGAAAGACGTCACAAGGTAACACAAAAGTTGAGATTTGAACCGAGATCTGTCTTCCAAAGTTCATGCTACTGATAACCATTTGTCCACTTGGTGGTAAAAAGCCCCCCTCTGTTAATTACCTGTGTAATTTATCCTTCAACCCAGGTTAGAGGTCCGTAACTGAATAAAAAGTTATTTAAGTTATTCAGTTAGAATAGTTCAGTTAGTTATAACTAATCATAGTTATTTGGCCAAGCACAGTGACTCACACCTGTAATTCCAGCACTTGGGAAGACTGTGGCAGGATTACTTTTGCCCGGGATTTCTAAAAATAATATCTATTACTAAAGACCTAATAATAATTAGGTCTCTTACTGAAGAACTTTTACTTTTCCATTAAGATGCCCTTATTTATAAGTATCATAATAAAATACTGAATTTATATGAACCTCTAAAAAATGAGGAAACTTTTTTTTTTTTTTTGAGCCAGAGTCTCACTCTGTTGCCCAGGCTGGAATGCAGTGGCGCAATTTCGGCTCACTGCAACTTCTGCCTCCCGGGTTCAAGCAATTCCCTGCCTTAGCCTCCCAAGTAGCGGGGATTACAGGTGCCCACCACCATGCCCGGCTAATTTTTGTATTTTTAGTAGAGATGGGGTTTCACCATGTTGGCCAGGCTGGTCTTGAATTCCTGACCTCGGGATCTACCCACCTCAACCTCCCAAAGTGCTAGGATTACAGGTATGAGCCACCACACCTGGCCTCAAAATAACTACTATTTTTTTTTTTTTCTTGAGACAGAGTCTCACTCTAGCCCATGCTGGAGTGCAGTGGTGCAATCTCAATTCACTGCAACTTCCACCTCCCCAGTCCTGGTTCAAGCAATTCTCCTACTTCAGCCTCCTGAGTAGCTGGGATTACAGGCGCATGCCACCACACCCAGCTAATTTTTGTATTTTTAGTAGAGATGGGGTTTCACCAATTGGCCAGGCTGGTCTTGAACTCCTGACCTTGTGATCCACCCACGTCGGCCTCCCAAAGTGCTGGGATTACAGGCGTGAGCCACTGCACCTGGCCAAATAACTACTTTAAACCCCATTGGTTTATGTGCTGTCAAACTGTTCTCCCATGTGTAATATCAAAATGTCCTGAGGTGGGTTGGTTTTCTTGACAATATTTATCCAAAAGTGTCGTTTCCAAAGTGTGTTGAGTAACAAGAACTTAAAATAGTATTTGTATAAATATAAATTCTTTCTTTGCTATTGAAATCTTTTTTCTCTGACCAATCTTAGTTAAATGGAAGGAAATTGCTTTAAAACTACTTTGCAGGTCTGGAAAGATGGATATCAATATGGAAACTGCCTTGCTTTTGGAGGAAAGGATGGACTGTAGATGGTTTTTATTTTCTGTTTTTTTCCTTTGTTTTCTGCAATGACAAGTATTTTGTAACAACAAAAGAAAACTTAAAATTTTTTTCTAAAGTTTGCAGTCTACCTATAAATGGGTGATTAGAAGATAAAGATTATAATTATGGGGGTTTTATCATCCAATGTTACATTTTTTCAGGAATATTCTTACAAGTTTCTTGACATTTTTATTTTATAGATACCCTATTTTAATCTTGTGAAGCATCTGACATCTGCCTGTCCAAATATATACAGTATATCACGGTGAGTTTACAATCCATACTGCAACCACTAAAATTATTCATTTTAAAATCTGTTATTTTAAAACCTTTTTTTTTTTTTTGTGGACACAGGGAGCTTACTATGTTTCCCAGGCTGCTCTTGAACTCCTAGTCTCAAGTGATCCTCCCACACTCAGCTTCCCAAAGTGCTGGGATTGCAGACATAAGCACCCAGCCTAAAATTATTAATGATAGTGCCTGTAAATTTCTAAATTGTAGCAGGCTAGGCCAACAAATTTAATATGTTGTTTGACTGAGTAATATTTGCTCTGTGTGATCCGCCTAGTCTAAAATCAGGATATATAAAGTTTGAACTCAACCCAGAACACAATGAACATAGTTTAATTTATCTTTGATTTTGTGGGTTCTCAAGGTTCTGCTGGTAAAAATGATCTATTGATCTGTCATTTAGCAAGAATAGAATTTTGTATGTTTTCCCAAATTATAATGATCTTTTCAGATTCATAATTTCTTTTATTTTTTTATTTTTAAACTTATTTCATCTGGTAGACAAAGGTAAATGATTGATTTCCAACAAGTATTTGGGCTGAATTTTCCATCCTCTGAGTCTACTAAATATGTATGTATATAAAACTTACTTGAAAATGAAGTCGTGCATTTTTGCATGTCCCAGGTTTCATCATACAACCCCAGACAGTAAAACACACAGTGGTGAGAAATACACCGATCCTTTCAAACTCGGTTGGAGAGACTTGAAAGGTCTGTATGAGGACATTAGAAAGGTGAGTATTTTATTCTGCTGTAATGTAACGTTTTACTAAACCTTACTACAATTTTATTATATTTATTATTATTATTATTTAGAGATGGAGTCTCACTCTGTTGCCTAGGCTTGAGAGCAGTAGTGCAATCTAAGCTCACTGCAACCCTCACCTCCCAGGTTCATGCAATTCTCCTGCCTCAGCCTCCTGAGTAGCTGAGATGATAGGTGTGCACCATCATGCCTGGCTAATTTTTGTATTTTTAGTGAAGATGGGGTTTCGCTGTGTTGGCCAGGCTGGTCAGAAACACCTGACCTCATGTGACCACCCGCCTTGGCCTCTCGAAGTGCTGGGATTATGAAAAACCAATGCAGGTGTTCAGAGCTATACAATGCTGTTTGCAGTTTTGGCTCATGTACGGTCAAGTTTTAAATGTTTCTTGAGCAAGAACCACATGTGACCCAGTGCCAGGCAATATGAAAAATGCAGTATGTGCTAATGTCCAGTAAGAGGTTATGGCAGGGTTGGGAACCTGAAAAAAAATGGTCCAGGTAGCTCCTCCTTGTCCGATGAGTTATCCCACTTTTCCTCTTCAAACCCACCACCTCCCAGTGACTCCAGCTGTCTCTTCCTTATCCAATTCTGAATGTCGTTGCCAGACAGCCCCAAATACGGCATTTTTTATTCAACTCTTTTTCCTGAAAACTTGCAGTAGGTCCTCACGTGGTTGGGCACGGTGGCTCTTGCCTGTAATCCCACGAATTTAGGAGACCAAAGTGGGAGGATTGCTTAAGTCCAGGAGTTTGAGGCTGCAGTGAGCTATGATCCTGTCACTGCACTCCAGCCTGAGTGACAGAGCAAGACATTTTTTCTGTCTTTAGAAAAAAATTGGCTGGCTGCGGTGGCTCATGCCTATGATCCTAGCACTTGGGGAGGCTCAGGCAGGTGGATCACTTGAGGTCAGGAGTTCAAGATCAGCCTAGCCAACATGATCAAACTCCGTCTCTACTAAAAATACAAAAATTAGCTAGGCATGGTGGCATGTGTCTGTAATCCCAGTTACTCAGGTGGCTGAGGTAGGAGAATTGCTTGAACCCAGGAGGCGGAGGTTGCATTGAGCTGAGATCTTGCCACTGCATTCCAGCCTGGGTGACAGAGTGAGACTACACCTCAAAAAAAAAAAAAAAAAAAAAAAAAAAAATTTTTTTAAAATAAAATGCTGCCCAGAAATGTCCATGTGCCCCTTTACAAGTGCCCACTTTCCTCCTTTCATCCTCAAGCCCCGCGCACACTGACTCTCATATTCTGATGGCAACACCAATTCCTGTTTCACAGACGGTAGGGGCCGTGAAGAAAGAACTCCTTCAGCTCCTACTCTGTCACAATTGACCAGCTTGCCTGCGCCTTCTCTGGTGATTGATTGCCTGATCTCCTCCCACCCACAGAAGTCATGTCCCTTCCCTCTCTAGGGGCAGTCCCTTAGCCACCTCCCAGCTCCTTAGGAACTCCCCCAGACGTGGCCTCTCCCTGTCTGCAAACTTTCATTGGCATTGTTTCTTCAATATCCATGGGTGTTCAGTTTCTTCACCTGCTTTTTTTTTTTTTTTTTTTTTGAGACGGAGTTTCGCTCTTGTTACCCGGGCTGGAGTGCAATGGCGCGATCTCGGCTCACCGCAACCTCCGCTTCCTGGGTTCAGGCAATTCTCCTGTCTCAGCCTCCCGAGTAGCTGGGATTACAGGCACGCACCACCATGCCCAGCTAATTTTTTGTATTTTTAGTAGAGACGGGGTTTCACCATGTTGACCAGGATGGTCTCGTTCTCTTGACCTCGTGATCAACCCGCCTCGGCCTCCCAATCACCCGCATTTTTAAAAGGCCGATGGCCCCTGACCCAATGCTTTACTCCCTCCCTTCTATTACAGTATCCCCTGCCCTTTGACTCTCTCTGGAGCCGTCACGTTCCCTCCACTATTGCACTGGGGCCCCCTGTCCAGCCTCATCTTAGAAGCTGGTTTTGCTTGAGTCACTGATAGCTTCCCTGTACCAAATCCTAAGGGATGTGTTACCAGCAGGAAATCCATACAGGTCTGCAGCAACCTCAATTCTTACCTCCTCAGAAGAAAGAATTCGACTGAGGAGCATTAAGGCGGAGAGACCGAGGCAAGCTTTAAAGCAGGAGTAAAAGTTTACTAAAAGGTTGAGAGCAGGAAGGAAAGGAAGTACAGTACACTTGGAAGAGGGCCAAGCCGGTGACCTGAGAGAACAAGCGTGTGGTGTGGCCTTGGAATTTGGGTTTTTGCCTGAGGACATGCTTCCAGGGACTTGCATCCCTTCTCCCTTGATTCTTCCCTTGGGGTGGGCTGCCCGCATGCGCAGTGGCCGGCCAGTGTTTGGGAGGGGAGCATGCGCAGTGGTCCGCCAGTGTTTGTGATGGGAGCATGCGCATTGTGTTCCCTGGAGTTTTGCACATGCTCACTTGGGGCATTTTTCACGTACCAGTCCCAATGTTCCTGTAAGGACATATACCAGTTAAACTCCGCCATTTTGCCTCTTAGCACATGTTCAAGCCCACTCGACCACCTCCTGAAATCTTATTGGGAAGATTGAAAACTTGAAAATGATCTCCAGTTTCAAGTTTTTCTGTTAGGAGACGGCTTTCCCTGGGCACTAGCTGTGACCAATTAGTATTTTAGAGACACAGTTAACAACTGCCTGACCATCACCTGATGGTCGCCTGACATTCCTGGTGTGGGTGGGGGAGCCCTCTCCTGTCCTGCTCGTGCCTGACTAGCTACCTACTGTGAACAGACGCTTCAGGGTTTTCTGAATATTGGGCGCTATTGAGTGTAACCCCTCCTTAAAACATGGTTCCCTTCGCTCTGCACTTTCTTTCTCCACCTCATCCTGAGGCTGTTCTTTGGTTCATCACCTCTACTTTACTTCCTTTAATTTTGCCATTCCCTGGGGTTCCCTTGGCCCCCTGCTGTCTCTCTGCCCCTTGTATACCCGTGTCCATACTTGGGTCTCCCAAATAACATCACTACTCCAGGTTGAGTTGCATCTCCCACACCCATGTAGCTGACTGCTCACCGGGAGCGCCATGGGTAGCCTTGACGGTCTTAGACTTAGCTGAGACTTGACTTTTCCCACACGGGTTGTTTTTTCTGCTGTTTTCCTGTTCTTTGGAGAACCTGGGAAGAACCCAGGACCCTCTCCTCCCCTCCATATCCTTCTAGTCTGCCTCTTGTCAGTCCCTATTGCCCCAGGCCAGGCAATTCCATGCCCCTAGTCCTTTCATTTGTGCTCTTCTCCTCCCTGGCTCAGCTTCCGAGGTGACGGCTTACCTGGGTGATAGCACCACACCCATCACACTGTGTTGTGTCAATGGCAATGATCATTTTACTTTTCCCCATCTAGACCCTGAGCTCCTTGTAGGCAAGGCTTGTCTTACTTATCTTTGTGACCTCTGTGCTATTTCAGTGAGTCGGTAATTTACTGAATTAAGGATGGGCCCACTGTGTTGTATTCGTCTATGCCGGGCTGAGGGTTCATTGGCTCCCACAGCATCCAGGGGATAAACTCTAAGTTAGTCAAACATGTCCCAGACTGGCAGATACCCCAGAGTGGCAGATACGAGTGACACACACCTGTCAACTAGAAGGGTCTCACCCTCTCTGTGAATCAGAACCCTGTTTAGGCTTCTGATCCCACATCAAAGCCCATCTCCTCCATGAAATACTTGGTTTTTCTAGCCTGCACTGATCTCTTCCTTCCCTGAACTTTTAATGTATTTAATGTACAGCATTACATTAAATGTACAGCGCTGTTCACACTGCCACTGTATTCATCATTGATTATTTCGTATTTGCAAAATTTTTGTCTCCCAATTTGAGTTGCAGGCTCCCATACTCAGGCAGGCTATGCCCTACACCTCATCTGTGAACCCTCATAATGTCTTTTGCCAAATAAAGGCCAAACCAGATGAACTGGGCCCTGCTTCTTCTCCTTGGCTGTGGTCTGTCTTTCTGCCTCTCATAAACAGCTTTTCCCTGAGGAGTTTGAGGCTGCAGTGAGTTATGATCGTGCTACTGCCCTGAAGCCTGGGTGACAGAGCAAGACCCTCTGTCTCTAAAAAAATAAAAATAAAAAAAACTTTGCCACCCGACACAGGACACCCCCCCACAACACCCTCCCCACCAGCTCCGACCTGCTTCACGGGCTCTGATGGCTACTGGCTCCACCTTCCCCATCTTTCTCCTCCTGCCTCCATCTTTCAAGCTGCCAACCAGCTCTTATTCCTTTTGCTGTCCGGCTGTCAGTGAGCCCAGAGTCCCTTAGCTGCCTAGTGCTTTCTTCCCCCTTATGCTGTCTCTTGGAGTCATCTGGTGTCTGATCCTGTCAGTGGGGGCAGGTGGCAGTACCTTCTCCAGCACTCAGCCCACTTGGGGCTGATCCAGGCATTGTTCACATTCCAGCCTGCAGGACAGCCAGGTGGATGGCCGTGCAGCGTTGGAGCCTTGCCAGCAGAGTGTTGAATTTCTCAATTGAAATGAACACACTTAAAAAGTTTTCTAGAAGAAATCCTGTCCGGGTGTGGTGGCTCATGCCTGTAATCCCAATAGTTTGGGAGGCCAAGGCAGGTGGATCACTTGAGTTCAAGAGTTTGAGACCAGCCTGGCCAACATGGTGAAACCCCACCTCTACTAAAAATACAAAAAATTAGCCAGAGGTGGTGGCAGGTGCCTGTAATCCCAGGTACTTGGGAGGCTGAGGTAGAAGAATCCCTTGAACCTGGGAGTTGGAGGTTGCAATGAGCTGAGATTGCACCATTGCACTCCTGTCTGGGTAACGTGAGCAAAACTGTCTCAAAAAAAGAAAAAAAAAATCCTGTTGACTTTCTGTCAACAGTTTTGATGCCATTGTGACACAGAGAAACTTTATTTCAGGAACTGCTCATATCAACATCAGAACTTAAGGAAATGTCTGAGTACTACTTTGATGGAAAAGGGAAAGCCTTTCGACCAATTATTGTGGCACTAATGGCCCGAGCATGCAATATTCATCATAACAACTCCCGGTAAGCTCTTGTTTTTATTCCTTTGTTGTTTTTATATTTGGGAAGGCTTTCTTCCCAAGGTTACTGTTTTGTTTCCCATTTAAGAAGTAGCATGTACCAGCCAGGCGCAGTGGCGCATGCCTGTAATTCCAGCACGTTGAGAGGCCGAGGTAGGCAGATCACAAGGTCAGGAGTTCAAGACCAGCCTGGCCAATATGGTGGCAGGTGCCTGTAGTCCTAGCTATTCAGGAGGCTGAGACAGAAGAATTGTTTGAACCCAGGAGGTAGAGGTTGCAGTGAGCTGAGATCATGCCATTGCACTCTAGCTTGGATGACAGAGCAAGCTCTGTCTTAAAAAAAAAAAAAAAAAGTAGCATATATACCTAAAAATTCACTTTGTGATGTGTACATTCTGACTTTAAGTCACTAAAGTCACTCTGGAATCTAGCATCTTTCTTTTACAGACCTCTTAATGTCCATTGAAGAAAAACTTTAGCTGCAAATTAACATTTAAGAAAAAATTTCAGAACCAAATTTGGTTTTCTTGTTAGAAAACCAACCAAGAAATACCAGGATGGGTGGATACATTTAATCATTATACACAGGGAGCAAAGGTTGATTGTTCTAAAGTGATAAAGTGGACCATTATTCTGGGCAACAAACACACATGCTGGGGTGCCTGCCTTCTGTGACCCTCTGAATTGTGCAGAAGCGAAATTGTCTTTAAAGGAGACATTTTGAGGCTGAACATGGTGTCTTATGCCTATAATCCCAGCATTTTGGGAGGCCACAGCAGGAGGATCGCTTGAGCCTAGCAGATTAAGACCAACCTAAGCATCACAGCAAGACCCTGTCTCTATGAAAAATTTAAAATTAGTCAGGCATGATTGCATATGCCTATAGTCTCAGCTATTCAGGAGGCTGAGGCAGGAGGATTTCTTGGGTGCAGGAGTTGGAGGCTACAGTGAGCCATGATTGCACCACTACCATCCAGCCTGGGTGACAGAGTGAGACCTTGTCTCCAAAAAACACATTTTTTTTGGCTATTGGTCTTCAACTCTTATGTATTGAACATATATAAAAGCTATAAATATTTAAAAACCTGCAATGTTTTAATGTAAAGGAAATCTTAAAAGGTAAAAGGCTTTCCCTAGTACCTTACATGGTGATCGCCTCATTCTCTCCTCCCATCAATTCTGTATTTGGTCATTCAATATATTAACATATAATTTTGTGTTTAGCTTTGTTCATTTACCTTTGTGGGTTTTTTTTTTTTTTTTTTTGAGACGGAGTTTCGCTCTTGTTACCCAGGCTGGAGTGCAATGGCCTGATCTTGGCTCACTGCAACCTCTGCCTCCTGGGTTCAAGCAATTCTGCCTCAGCCTACCAAGTAGCTGGGACTACAGGCATGCACCACCATGCCCAGCTAATTTTTGTATTTTTAGTAGAGACGGGGTTTCAGCATGTTGACCAGGATCGTCTCGATCTCTTGACATCGTTATCTACCTGTCTTGGCCTCCCAAAGTGCTGGGATTATAGGTGTGAGCCACCGCGCCTGGACACCTTTGTTTTTTTAAACTTTTCCCATGTTGCTGCAATGTCTTTATAATTTTGCCAGGCACAGTGGCTCATATCTGTAATCCCAGCACTTTGGGAAGCCAAGGCAGGCAGATCACTTGAGGTCAGGAGTTTTAAGACCAGCCTGGCCAACATGGTGAAACCCCGACTCTTTAAAAAATACAAACTTTAACTGGGCATGATGGTGCATGCCTGTAATTCCAGCTACTCAGGAGGCTGAGGGAGAAGAATCACTTGAAACTAGGAGGCAGAGGTTGCGGTGAGCCGAGATGGCAACACTGAACTCCACCCTGGGCAACACAGTGAGACTCAAAAAGTATAAAAGTTGATTCCTTCCCAGATAGAATCAGCGTCATCCTGGCATGGAGGGTGCGGAAGAAGGTGCACACACCAGTCACAAGGTCTGCAGCCCCTTGCTCTCACTGAGGTTCTTATGCTTGACCTTGAACTCATGCATGAAATGATCACCATCTGCTCATCAAAATCTCCACCTTAGTGGGTGTCCCTTACTGTAGACTGTACTTCAAAGATCCATTTTCATTGTGCTTATAGACATATGAAAGTGCCACCTCCTGGGTGACACATTTCCTTTGGTGGCAACCCTCTTGCCTGTCCCATAAACAGCAGCAGCAGTGGCTGGCTCAGTGACTCAGAACACACAGAAACCAGGAATGGTTCTAGAGTTGTTAGTGGCCTGACCTTGGGAATGACTTGAGCCAGTTGGGGCTAAATGGCTGCTTTGTTACCGTCTTTCCAGGGATAGGCGTCGGTAATCTCAGCTTTTATAGCGCTATAAAAGTTATCTTCTCCGAATATAGGATTATCACACCTGGACTCTCAACCTGTTATCCAATGTGAAAACTGTGTCTTATAATTCGACCCTCTAAACATCTAGTCCAGCTTTGAAAACTGGACTCATGTAATTCAATGCCGTTGACTATTTGCAGAATCAAGATCAGCAGATCTGTGCACAGCACAACTTGGGTCGTCTGTTATCCTGATTGCTGGCGATGATACTCACTTCCTAGAGCTAGAAGAGTTTCACACAGGAATGGATGGTGCTGGATTTATCCCAATGATAACAGCCAGTCTCTTCAGTGAGACTGCTGAGCAGGCTACGTTTGGCTTGTCTGAGAAACGTGCAGACACCATAACTGTGCTGCATTCAATGAGTGAAGCAATTTTATAGAAATCTGTTTATCATAAAGCTCTGTTTTTTTGAGACACAGTCTTGCTCTGTCTCACCCAGGCTAGAATGCTGTGGTGCGATCTCAGCTCACTGCAGCCTTCACCTCCTGGGTTCAAGTGATTCTCCTGCCTCAGCCTCCTGAGTAGCTGGGATTATCAGCCCACATCCAGGGACTGATGAAGGGCATTCTATCCTTACCCTAGAGGGTGTTTTAGGCTGTTGATTGCAGCTCAGTTCAATTAGCCAGGTGTGTGTCATCATGACTGGCTAATATTTTATTTTTAGTAGAGATGGGAATTTACCATGTTGGCCAGGCTGGTCTGAACTCCTGACCTCAGGTGATCCATTTGCCTCAGGCTCCCAAAGTGATGGGATTACAGGCATGAGCCACTGTGCCCAGCCCTTCAAGCCCTTTTTTGATCTGGATTCTGTAATAAAATGACTTTGGATTTTGCCGAATTCTGTTGCAAGTTAGGTTCTCCAGGAAGCAGATTCTGAGATGAAGTTTCAAGGACAGGATGTTTATTCAGGAGTGCCCTTGGGATTACTGACACCTGAGGGGGTGGGGCGGGTGGGGGAGGAAACAGGACTGGGGAGCAGGAGAAGCTGAGCTGCAATCAACAGCCTGAAAAGCTCTATAGGATGAGCAGGTAGAATGGCCCTTCATCTGTCAGTCCCTGGATGTGGGCTGCCTCCAGAAGGGGCACAGCCCCAGGTGAGCGGATTCTTTGTAGCCAAGGCAATCCTTGAAAAGGCTGAGGAATGAAGGCCAACAGGTACCAATCATGCCTGGTACAGCAGCTGGACAGAGTCGTGCACTGTCAAGGGATCTAGGGGGCATGTCTTAGAATCCAGCACAACTCTGTTTTCTGGACGTGTCTGAGTCATCTGTTATGTGGGCTCAGTCTCAAAAAAAAATTTTTTTTAAATAAATAAATGTCTTCATAATCATATCATATAATCCATTGATGGAAATTCCAGTAGACCATAATGTACATTTCCCTAGTGTTGAACATCTGTATTGTATTGCCCCTTCTCAGTAGATATTTAAGGAATGCCTAAGATTTTTCAGTACTGAAATTAATGATGCTGTAAGAGTGAGTGTCAGATACTGCTTCTTAGTGGGCGCTCACCTCTGCCTACGGCTTTCTCTGCTCTGCTGCTGGCCCCACCTTGTCAGCACATCACGCTGTGCTCAGGGCTGGCTGCCACGTTAGCTGGGCCTTTCAAAGAGCTCACAGTATATTTGTAGCAAGCAGTGAAATCTCTGGCAGTGACCTTTAACCATCATCAGAACCACTTTGACTTTACTGGAAGGCAGAGCAGCAAAAATGCTCCCTCTGAGCCAAACCTGAAGTGACATCTCCTGCAGTCTGGAGCAGAGATCTCAGCCTCGGCACTGTTGACATTTTGGGCCACACTGTTCTTCATTGGGGGTCCATGGGGTCCCGTGGGGTCTGCCATGTGCATTACAGGATGTTTAGCAGCATCACTGGCTCCACCCACTAGATGCCTCTGAGTTGGTAACGATCAAAAATGCCTCCAGACGCTGCAACATAAATGTCCCATGGTCCCACGCAGTGCAGAATCCCCCCTGGTTGAGAATCACTGGTCTAGAGTGTTTATCTTTTTAATTTCTCTCTTAATACATAATATAGTTAATTGGCCTCAGAAATAAACATGGAAAGGAAAACACTTTTCAGTGCTTTATCACTTACTATCCCCATAATGAAGTTTTTCCTTTTCCTTTTTAATATATATTTTATTGCATTTTAGGTTCTGAGGTACATGTAAAGAACATGCAGGATTGTTGCATAGGTACATACATGGCAATGTGGTTTGCTGCCTCCATCCCCATCACCTATATCTGGCATTTCTCCCCATGTAATCCCTCCCAACTCCCTACCCCCCACTGTTCCTCCCCTAGTTCTCCCCCCACATACCTCAGGGTGTGATGCTCCCCTCCCTGTGTCCATGTGTTCTCATTGTTTAACACCCCCCTGAGTGAAAACATGCAGTGTTTGATTTCCTGTTATTGTGTCAGTTTGCTGAGAATGTTGGTTTCCAGGTTCATCCATGTCCCTACAAAGGACACAAACTCATTGTTTTTTATGAATGCATAATATTCCATGGTATATATGTGCCACATTTTCCCTGTTCAGTCTATCATCGATGGGTCAGTTCCAAATCTTTGCTATTGTAAACAGTGCTGCAATGAACATTCATGTGCATGTGTCTTTATAATAGAATAATT